TCATGAGAATATCACTCCTTATGTTATCAATAAAGAACAAATTAATAAATATCAAAATACTGTAATATAATGCTTAGATTAAATTAAGATACATATATTTGTTTATATAATGAATGGTAGCTAAGAGATAAATATAACGAACGCATCCACAAAAATTTTTCAGATAACTGCATCAATAATAAAGAGGATTTTTTATTAAATTAAATAATGTAAATGAAACTTTCAAAATTAACATATTTTGATGAAAAAATTAAAGTGGCTCAGTTTACTTTTCAGAAAAAGAGCTAGCTTTATATAATTAATTACAATTTTAAAATCAACACTGTCCATTACTTGCTGGAGATTAGATAAAATCGAATTATTTTATAATATATCTTGAACTCTGTTAGAAGAGATCTTTGAGTGTTCCATCTTCAAATATTGAGTCATATTAGAATGTTGATTTTTCTATAAAGATGTGAGATCAATAAATAATATTATATATATATCAAGACATAAAGTTACTGCCAGAGTATCTCATCATTTACCGCTATTGACTAGAGGAAACTTATTTGATAGTTAATATTTACTTAATTTGTTTTATAACCCTGATGATACTAGTGATATTGAATCAACTCGTCCTCTATCGTTTTTTGTTGATGAATTCTTAACGATAAATCTAGTTACTGATTGTGATGAGGATTTATATATATTTCTTGTTGGAGTAACACTCAGAAATTCTTACTATTTCTTCATCTTTCCCATTTGAATGAGCCATTATCTATACATCCAATCATCTGTTTGTACTGATTTATCAACCATAAGAGGAGGATCTGGCTATTTGGCCTACTCAATCTATTTTAGGCGTTAAGGAGCTTAGATCCTATAGAGCGTATTCTTAGGTTTTTAACTGCTCATGGGAGGTTTTTGTTCAGAGTTTTTAGAAGGGGATTCCTATAAAATGGATGCTTTTTAAGAGTTTATTGTAGATTTTGGATTAACAGGTAAAGGTTTTTTTTTGCTATTGAATTCTTATTACTTTAGGTAGTTTTTTTGTTTAGTTGAATAAGTCTTGGGTTAAAATAATTGAACTAATTCATCATCTGATAACTCAGCTTCAGATTAACTAGAATCAGATCCATTATCTTAATCATCTGTCTATGGCATCTTTCCTAATTCCTCTAGTATTTACTATTAGATATCAGGGACATTGGCTTGATTGGTGAATTCTTTAGATGTGTCTTTTACAATTTATGATAGGGCATTACAAATACTTACACCGCAGTTAAGATAATCTTTGATTTGGTAATGCTTTTTCTGTTGACCGTAAAAACTGCATTCATAAGTATAAACCCAATTGATTTTTAGCTCTCTCCAAAGTTGTATTCTGGCAGTTTTGTCTTTGGAATTCTCAATCCTAAAAGTACAAGAGGGATAATCCATAAATGGATTTAATTTAGCCATCAACAAAGCGAACACTCGCTCTATGGTTTTAACTTAAGAAGAATAAGCGCATCCATAAACAAATGAGGACTATCTTAATAGAATATTGATATTAAACTTACTTTCTTGAATGACCATGCAAATCTATTACAAGAATGATTTATCTCTCTTTACTAAACCCTTTGACATATTTTTTAGCATAATAGACATTGGGATGTAAATATTTATTTGGTTTCTTCCATCTTCGATTTAAATCACTTCCCTCTAAACCGCATCTATAGTTTCCATTGATAACTCCATCTGGGTTCATCATTGGGAATAATTTAAAAATGCAGTTCTATCTCAAATACTCAGCTTAAGGATTATTAGAAGTTAGAAAGTCTATGATTCCTTGCATTACATAAGAGCCTTATGGTTCACCAGGATGTTATCTAGCTAGAAATACAACACCTTTTCTATAGGCTCTACGCTAAAGTGAATTTGATGTAATGGTCAATACTTCACAAGTATTCCCTCCGAGTGTTGTACATAGAACTTTACGGGATAAATATCTAATGATAAAAATATAATATACTGATTTCTTTCTTGATCGTCTAACTGTGTATTTAAGAATTCCAATAAATTTGTGTATGTGTATGGATAGGAGTGAGCAAAGAAGACCTTGTCATCATTGTGCTTGAATGTGTAATGAAATCTCAACTGATAGTACTTTTTCTTCAGTGAAAGTGGGTATTCCTTCATAAATTGACTTTTAAAATAGCTAATGTTGAATCCATCTCTACACCATTCAGTTCCACTTAGTTGGTTATCCTTAATAGAATAGACAGCTGGTTGCAATCCCTCATTAAAAAGACTGCCACTTTTCAACTAGATTGTTATGAGAAACGATCTTATACATGATTGAGCAAATTAAATTGTATGGTCTATCCTGCCTTAGCTCCAGTTACACTAAAAAAGAACCATTAGGTGTTTCCCCTTGTATTAATATCATTTTAAATGATCAAATCATACACGTTTTCCGATTTCTTAAAGGCACAAAAGAGGTTGCCTGATTCAAAATTTGAATCGAATTGTATTTAATCAGATGCACAGGATGTTAATTTTTAATCAAAAAGTGCTTCTCCTCTAAAGAAGACTCTTGGCTGTGTCCTTTGTTAAGCATTGTAAATACTTTTTAAAATTAGCGATTAGAGTGGCAAAATAAGTTCTGTCATTGTTAGTCCTTCTTCCTAAATCCAACTGATCAAATCGCTTAAATACAAGATTTTGTTTATTTTCATCATAATAATCAAGGAGAGTTCTATTGTCATCACCAACAGGAGTTTCAGAAATTGCACAATTGCGTTGTGTTGATTCTTCTAAAAAAGGGACATAAGTTTTACAAAATTATGGCAGTGATCTAAATGTATTAATAATATTATTCACTTGAGAGGGTACAATGATTTTATATCAATATCAATTGTCAATTTCCTGGGAAGCAATTCATTTGCAGGAGGCAATTTCGTAAGCGTTTCATACACCTACATATCGTCCTCGCTTGAACTGTCATTGTTATTATTATTGTTGGAATTCATTAATTATAATATTTAATTGTTATATTCTAAGGGCCAGGATCTATAACAATTCCTTCGCCCTTTCAACAACAATTCATATATACTAAAACCTAAATATTAAATGAATAATAATAAATTCCAGTCTCAGTAATGGCAAATGCTATATGCAAAACATAAGCAGACAGTAGATCATATAGAGCATCGCAATTACAAATTCCCTAACGAAGTAGAACTCCAACTCCAGAGACGTAATTTCTGACATCATTAATCTAGAAAGGGATGCCAACAGAAAGGTCAAAAATAGTTAACATTTCAAATAAAAGTAAATACTCTCTCGCATCATTGCATCTAATCTCATTCTCTCTAAAAAATTGTATGAAATTGAAAACAGAAAATAAGCAAAATTCATGTAAACAAATACCTAAATCTATTGTGAAGCACCCGTCCGCTGGTCAACTAAATCACTCAGAGAAGAAACTTATAATAAAATAAAAGTCGAAAATCAAAAACAGTTCAAAAGAATTACTCATGTCAAAGGCACTCTACAAACTTAATGATTAATTATAAAATTATAAATCTTCCACGATCAGGTTTAAAATTCATTATAAACACTTAAAATATAAATATTAAAGTAAATCATTAAACTTCTTTTCAATTTTATAGTGTATTTTCTAACTTTAAAGCTGATATTATATTTTATTAGCTAAATTGGATTTCCTGACTTATTCTCTTATACACATTAGATAATAAAATAATAAAATCAACTAATATGAATGTCATTTATTTCTCATTTCCTCAAATTTTTGGAGCCTACAAAAATCTGTCCTGTTGAATGATATTATTAGGATTAGTAATGATAGATTTTACATGGACTGGATCCTCAAATAGAAGTGTGATAAATATCAAAAAATTTGGGTCAATAACTGAATGGATTTAGATTAAGAAAGGTTATAAGAATAAAACAGGAAATTAATCGATTAAGAAAAAGAACTACTGTTAATCACTTCAATAACAGGTAATAATACAATAAGAACTTTCAATTTGTTATGCAGAACAATTTTAACTTTAACCTCTGAACACTTAGTAATTCAATTTATATAATATCTTGAGTATCTATTAATAGATTAAACTTCTTAAAACCGTAAAAGTTATCGGCTAAGATATAAATATTAATTATTTTCTAGAGGTTTTAAAAGAATTGATAATTTTGATATTGCTTATAATGGTGAGTCACTTTTGTCATCTATAGAAGAATATATTAAACTCAATATTCAAGGAATTTAAAATACTTTAGTAATGATCTTTTAAGTGGATAGAATTAATTAAAATGCAAAGATGTAATTAATAAAGCATTTTTAGTTCTCATAATTCAAGTAAAAAGATTTATTTTTAGTAAAAGCAAAGTAATCAAGGGTAAAATAGATTCACAATAGAATATAAATATAGAAATAAACCAAGAAAATGATATTATTATAAAATATATATACAATTTTTGGTTTTTCTTTAATAATAGATTTTCTATAAAAATGATCAACAACAATTGAGCTTCATCAATAATAGACTTAAATTTCAAATAATTAATTAGATGTTGATTAGTGTGATTGTAGATATAAATTATTATATTAATATATATTTATTATTATCAATACAAATTAGAACATATAAAATATTTACTTATTTTTATTTAACAGGAATCTCATTTTACCAAAAATTCTCTAACTTCATATTCAATGTTTCAAGTTTTCTATTTCTCTTCATCATATAGTTAATTTAAATACTCCTTTTAAATCATAATGATAAATTTTATTTTAGCCGATAATCAAGGTTAATACTGCATTTTATCAATAAAGCTATTTATAATATAGAATATGGACAAAATTCATAAATTCAATTCATATAGTTAAATTACAAGTAACACTATTTTCATTATTAATGAATTCAGTTTGGCATCTAGTATTAACATGAACAGTAGTATCTGTTCCACAGTTATCAAAATGACATATTAATTATTTTTTTGATTTATTTATGATCATCCAATTCGTCAATATATTGGAAGAGCAATTGCAAAAGATAAATTTCATAAACTTCGAGATTGATCTTTTCGTGATTCTTCTTTATATGGTAATAAATTGCTATAATTATAGATAATTTGTACTCCCCTTGGATTTGTGTTCCATTACATCAAGAGTCCAACGGGAAGACTTTATTTCAACCTATTCTTGGGAGTATTCTTTTCAGTAATTGTTTGCAAAGAGTGGTTTCCTCTGATGTTAGGATGGACAATAGCAATTTATTTTATTGCATAAATTTTCAAAAAATGCGCATTGCCGGTGTCCATAGTTGCATTTGGAATTCTCTCGTTTGTGCACATCTATCGACTGATGTATTAGTACTTGAGTTGGAGAATGGACTACAATGCAATTCAAATGCTGTTGACAGCTAGATACATATTTTATGCTTGTGACAAATAGGATGGAAAGGTATAAGGTAAAACATCTTTTATGATGTATTTGTCATACATTTTCATGTTTCCCAATTTAGTTGTAGCACCGATTCCTTATTATGCATTTGTGAGTCTCATAGAAAGAAGGACAGATTATACACATTATTCTCCTAAGTTTGCTTTGATTTCATTTCTTAAGGCCTTGGCAGTGAGTATGGCAGAATTGCTAATAAGGCCTCATTTCGATACGGATTGGTACTATTCGGAAGAGTGGAGAACCCAATACAGTTTATGGTTTAAATTTGCAATGATCTTCATTATCACTCCCTGTGCTAGATTCACTTATATTGCTGCATTCTACTTTACGCAAGCAGGAATGGATGCTATGGGATTGACTTACAATGATAAGACAAGTAAAATCAAGTAAATGAATTTATAGAGAAAAATGATCTATGGGTTGTATTTGATTACTCTTTTGAATTAGAGAAGAATGTGGTCATCAAAACATAGAAATGGAATTGCAATATTCAGAATTGGTTGAAGTATTGTTTCTACGATCGTCTTTAGAAGAGATTTGGCAGTTTGACATTCTACCTCGTCTTTATGATTAGTAGTCTTTGGTAATACCTGCAATCAATATGAATAGGCACGGATTTTATCTAAGTTACTATTTATTCTTTATCTTTTGGGCCATCACAGGATAAGTATACAAGTACTTTTACAAGGCTCAAAGAAGATTTTATTTGTAAATCAATATCTGTATCTCTTAGTATCCCACAACCAGTAAGACATCTCTTGGCTTGGGTGTTTGGCATATTGACATTTGATCATTTCGCAACAGCTGTTCGTGTATTAAAATGGGAGAAGGCAGTCGAGTTGCACAGTAGTGTCTATTGGATTCCTCATATTGTAATTTTGGTGATTTTCTTCTTCTTCAACATCACCTAATATGGTCAGAAGGATGGAAGATCAAAGGATGGGAAGTCAAAGAAGTTGGAATGAAATTTGTTTTATAGTAAGTACATATTAAACAGAAATATAATCAAATTTTTGGTTTTCTCAAAATCTCTTAAATTAGATACAATAAGGAGAGAACGACCATTATTGTTTAAATTATTAAATACGATCTGGGCACATAGCTAAACTATGAAATTAATCTAACTGCTACCATCATTAAATTTTTACTAATTTTAAAGGATTTATTGCTAGTAATTTTGTGTGTTGAATTAGTATTCATTTTCTTATCGATTGTAAATTATTCTATTTCGTGGCCATCTAAATAAAGTTGGACATCCAACAATAAATAGGATTCACTCGAAATAATCTCCAAACTTATTGGAGGATCAAGTTAATCTTTCACAGTGAATGATCCCCCCTTCTCAGGAAAAACAACTACTTCCTAAGACTCCTACTGTAATACTATGGACGGAATGAGTAAAATCAAAAAAAAGAGACCTATATAATTAGAATCCCATTGATACTCGTCAAGGTAAAGCCATAAATTCTTTTTTTGGTTCGCTTGAAATACTAGTCGATGCTGGCTGCAAAGGAATCTTGTTGAATATCCCTTTCGTGTATGAGGTATTTCTGCTTCATAAAACTAATCATTGGCCGTGGTTCCATTAATTTTTTTAATAAAAATTTTGGATCTAATAATGGATCAGATTACTATAAAAGACTTAGATGAAGGATCTATTCTTTATGAAGTCGAATCTTCCAGTATCAAACTCAATAAAACGCAACATTGGGGACTCTATTGGCAACAACTTTTCGAAACTCATAAATTATTATGTACTGCTGCATAGGAAAATGATATCGAATAGTTACAAATTCTATTATCACCAAAATATCATTTACCGATTGATATCAATATGAAATTGGAAGAATAATGGTCGTGTCTCCACTATGCAGCTATGGAAGGTCATCTTGATTCATGTAGATTATTGTTGGAACATCAAGCTAAACCAGACATAACTAATGTATAATAAAGAACTCCGTTGCATATCGCAGCTCTAAAAGGGTACTTGTAAATCTGCAACTTACTCCTATAACATGGCGCCACTGTGAACTTATTCGATTATCAATACAATTCTCCCTTGCACCTTGCATCTCAATATGGCAATAAAGAAATTATAGAGCTCTTACTGGACAATGGAGCTGATTACAACGTTAGGAATCATTTTAATTTCAATGCTTATGATTTGGGGCTAGATTAACAGACTTTAGAGATTTTTGAAAAAAGAGGACTTTATTAAGATTATCAAAAAAAGTCTTTCAGAGGAATACACAATAGGAATGATCACATCAAAAATTTACTAAAACTCTCAGATCGACAAAGCACATAAGCGAGTTAAGTTAAAGTTAGTCGAGTCGAAATTCAATAAGTTGGTCCCTAAGATTTCTCAGTCTTAAGCTAATTGGGTAAAGGATCTTTCGGATAAGTGTATTTGGTCTAAAAGAAAGGGAATACTAATTATTACGCTATGAAGATTTTATTCAAAAAAAAAATATAAGCTGCAGGGATAGTTAGATATATTTAAACGGAGAGAAAAATATTGACTTATGTTACCTCGCCATTTATAGTTAAATTACATCATGCGTTTTAGACAGAAAATAAACTTTACATGATTTTGGATTATTGTCCAGGAGGGGATTTGGAATAATTAATGAATGAGAGAGGCAAATTACCTGAAAAAGCTGCTAAGGCTTATGCATGTGAAATACTATTGGCCTTGGAAACATTGCACTAAAATTGCATAGTTTATCGAGATCTAAAGCCTTCAAATGTAGTTATTGATAAAGATGGTCATGCTTTGTTGACAGACTTTGGATTATCAAAAGAATTGAATGCTCAAAGAGCCACTAGTTTTTGTGGAAGTTATGCCTATTTAGCACCAGAAATGTTAGATAAAAGTGGTCATGGATATCCATTAGACTGGTATTTATTTGGAGTGTTTATTTATGAATTGGTTCATGGCAAACCTCCATTCTATGAGAGAGATAGAAATACTATGTACAAAAATATTAAGAACACTGATCCACCAAGACCAGAGAATATAAGTGATGACTTATGGGATCTCTTAAAGAGACTTTTAGAAAAGAACTAATCAAAAAGATTAGGATCTAAAGAGGATGCAGAAGAACTCAAAAACCACCCTTGGTTTAAGAATGTGAATTGGTAATAAGTTATTCAGCGAAAGTAACCAGTCCCTAAAGCTAGTTTGAGGACTGAAAATTGTGATTTGGATTTGAAATTGACATTCTCAGAACAAGCTTAGAATTCAGAGAGACACAATTTTATACATGACTGGGATTATTGATACTATAAATAAACCATTTACTTATATTAAAAGATAATATCTATTGTAGATACTTTTTTAATGCCTTTCCTTCATTCTTTACTAAAAATATATTTTAATAATAAGATAAATTGTGAAATTAATTCATGCCAATTATCTAATTTTGAGCATTCTTATTAATGATATCTAATACTATATATTATATAATATTCAGCAATTAAAACATATTTTATAAAATGTTCTACCATTATATAATTTGTTCTTGAGAAAGATTATTATATTTAATATGAATCATATTTTTTTAATTTTCTTGTTTGGTTTTGTTTTTTACTTTTTATTTTGGCAATCTGAACAATGGCAGTGGGAATTGCATTTTTTATTTCTGATGAAGCATTCGCAATATCCTTTTATGCATTTAGTTTTTTTGCATTTGCATCCCCACACCTATCTGGTGTCAAAAGAATCAAGATCATGATGCGAGGCCCTTTATTCCTTGATTTTTATTTGTTCAACTGCCTTAAGAACTTCATCCGTGTGTTATCCATCATTATAACAATCACAGCATTTGCATTCTTAAGTGCATTATCTTCTATTGTGAAAGCAGGAACAGTATAATTGCAAACAGTTGGTTTTAGAACAATGGCAAGGTTTAATATCTGAGTCCAGAGTAGGAGAGTCATCAACCTTGGATTAATTAAACTGAATTATTTACATTATAGTTAGCTTTGCTTGCTTTCCTCCTAGGCCTTGAGTTCACAATCAACTCCTCTTGTATTGAAGTTATTTAAGGCTTGCTATCGATTGAGCACGTGCTCTTAATTTCTTTGCTTGTTCTTAATAATTTAGAGGGACTGAGGATTTCGATTTACATCATTTACGGTTGCTCTTCATCGTTTATAGAGTTTTGAGAGGCACTAGGATTTAAATCCTGTGAGATCAGTACGATAGGTAGTTCCTCAGAAGAGAATTTCCTTTAAAATTTAGAATTGGTTTCTTCTAATATTTATTCGTCTTGTGGTTCAAACTCATCCACTAAGCCTTATTTCCTCTATAACCAAGGAAGTTCTGGAGATGAAAAATATCCAGCACTATTATTATAGCTTTGATAATTCATTAATAATAAATCATCATTTTTAGTTATATATTATGTCAACAATCTCGTCCAAAGGCATTTCTTTAAAGAGTTCCACATATTCTCTGGCTAAAGCTTCACTGCAATCGACGATCTCTGCTAATAGTTTGATCTTCTATTCCATCTCACTATCAGATGGTTCTTAGACTTGGACTGGCTCTTGGACTTCAACAGGTACTTAAACTGGCTCTTAGATCTCAGTTTATGAAATCTTGACTTCTTCCTTGAATTATTAAGTTTGATCAACTTAAGTTTCTTAAGCATTATTTTAGGTCTGTTCTTAAGGTTTTTCTTATTCTTGAACCAGATGGTTGTCGATTTAGGTCTTAATCACATTGATTAAGTCTTGGGCAACTGTGCCAGCTGTTTCTTTGAATTCCTTGAATTTGGGGTTTTCAATAACCTACATAAAGTGGTTAAAGATATGAGGGAAGGGTCCGACATGATGGAATTATTATTGAGAGAATGGTCTGGTTCTTTTTGGTCTGGATCTTTAGAAGTCTTCAAATTCTTATTGGTTACTAATTTTGAATGACTTGTGGTTATTGTGGATGTTTTTAGAATGACAGGATTCACATAAGTCGAAATCTGGACATTCAAGACATTTAAATCTTGCCCCAACAATAGGTTGTTTTTAACAGCCATCACATGTATGATTGGGATGAATCATTTTTTCTTGTTATTGAGGTACTACCACATAAAGTTTAACAGTGTGATGGGCTTCATCAACTAGCACTTGTAAATCTTCTTGGCAACTAAGAGAGATTTCGTCATTTTCATTATCGAAGTAAGTTAATTTGAAGTTTGCATCAATTTATGGGTAAACTTTCTTAACGTGTGCTTTGAGTGCTGAAAGTGTTGGGTTGTCTAGTTTGACAAGATGGATTTCTTTGTTATGTACTAGCTTGAATTTCATAAATTAATTTTATAATGAAAGTTAATTATATTTCGATTAATTTATAAAATAAATAGCACCTCAGTATCTGATTGATACTGATGCAGATTAGGAAGTAGGGGAACTCGTTAAGAATATATGGATTTCTTTAATTAATTGGAATTTAATAGAATTTGTGTTCTGTGGTATTGGCCAGAATTTTAGCGGATTTTGTTGAAAAAATATATAAATATAAGATTTTGACATTATTCATAATGGGAATGTCTGAAAAGTAGGGTAATTAAAGGTTCCCATTGAAATAAGTATTTGATTTGGTTGGGGGAAAACATGATAAAAATTTATTTGTATGAATTAAATTAATTAAATAATGGATAAAAAGATCATAGCAGATGTGTTCTAAAGACATTTGGAGTAATTGGTGAGCAGACTCAATGATGTATATCAAATTTCTATATGAAATAGGACATTCCAGCAATTTGTATATTATCTGGTAAGGAGGACGGATCGATCAAACCGAAGACAAAGGCCTTGTTTGTTTGGCTGTTTGGATATGATATGATCGAGACAGTGTTTTTGGCCACGAAGAAACAGATATTTTACTTGGCAAGTGATAAGAAACGTAAGATTATTGAGTGAGTTTCTAGTTCAGATGATGGAAGAGACAAAGTAGAAATTGAGTGGGAAATTTGAGGTTCACTTTTACAAGAAGGTGAATGACAACAAGGAATCATTTGAGAAGATTCGATAAAAATTAGGAAATGTCAAGTTGGGCATGCCCACTACTGAAAAATAGGCTGGGAGTTTGGCAGCTGAATGGTATGAGTATAAGGGATGGTAATAAATAGTGGATGCCAATTAATTGATTAGTGATGTCTTAGCAGTTAAAGATGATTAAGAGTAGGGTTTTATATAGCAATCTTCACAATTGACTACCCGCCTATTTAAGAAATTGATCAAACAGATAGAAGATTCAATCGATGTTGGCACACGAATCACTCATCAAGACTTGGCCAAGAAAGTTGAGTAATCTTTGGAAAATGACAAGCAAAAAGTCATGAAGGAGATTGGATTGTAAGATGGTCTCTATGATTTTGCATATACACCAATAATATAGAGTGGAGGCAACTATTAGTAAGTGGATGGACCCAATAAGGATTATCTTTCCTCAGATGTGATCATAATCCAACTTGGGACCTAAGTCAACGAGTATAACACCAATTGTATCCGTACACTCTTTATAAATCCCACTGAAATTTAGAAGAAACTCTATAATGCAATTCTAGAAGTCCAGAACAAAGTCATAACATTGATAACAATTGGCACAACTCTAAACATGGTCTTCAAAGAGTCCCTCCAATTATTGTAACACAAACTGCAGGAGCTCAACTTATAAAATTTATAATTGCCAACTTCCTTTGGATATGGAATAGGACTTGAATTAAAGGAATCCTGTTTGACCATTAATGAAAAATCTACTCATGTTGTGACCAAAGGAGAAGTCTATTTTGTCAATGTGGCATTGGAGAATGTCCAGAACGGATAAAAAAATATCACCTACACAGTTTAAGTAGGTGATGTGATTGTAATCACCAATGGTGCTACAACCATCACCACCTAACAAATTCCAAAGGCTTATAAATAAATATCTTATTAATTGTAAGAGGAAGATGAACCCGAAAGAAAGCCAGCTCCAGTCTAAACAGATAAAGATAAACCCATAAGAGCGAGGCCTCGTAATTAATAAATTTAGATTCAAAGAGAGAATGAAAAATAGAGACAGATTCACTAGGAGAAGTTAGCCAAGGATAAATAGATAGAATTAGAATAAAGATTGGAATAAGATTAATTTGTTTAAAATCAATAGGAAGTGAAGGCTTTGGAATTGGACAAATTGCAATGTTATTAAAAGCCAGAATAATATCCGAAAGAACTCTAGAAGGGATAGATTTATATTGACAATTAAAAGTGTGCTCTTTTGGTACCATTGATGGGAACCCATATACCATTCCATGTATCTTGCATAAAGAATGTGAGTAAAATTGATGAGGGCAAGATGGGATCATCAATCAGAATCAACTTTTTCACATCGGAGACTACAGCTGGATAGATTCAGTTTCCGAAGGTTGATGGTGAAACCATATTCATTAAGGAATTACAATATAGATCAAAGAAGTCTGAGCGTCCTTAGAATTTGATTCTTTAAATTAAATAATTACAAAAGAAAGTTAAGACTGAGTAGTAGGTGGAGAGAGAGAAACAAAATGTAGGTGAGATGGAACCATTGATAACTAATAAAGGAGGTAGAAAGCCAATCTTTAAGGATTTGAAGGTGAGACCTACATTTGGATCTGGAAAGGCATCAGGTATTTTAGAAGTTCATACTAATGGATTCCGTTATATTCATTCTAATAAGGAATAGTTGGACATTGTGTTTAAAAACATTAAGCATTACATATATTAAAGTCCAGAGTAGGATATTATAGCTGCTTTGCATTTTCATTTGTATTCTCCAATCGTATTGGGCAAACGTAAGACACATGATGTTCAATTCTATTGCGAAGTTGGTGGTGCAGTAGAGCATTTGGAAGGTAGAAAGAAAACTAATAGAAATGATGAGGATGAAATTGAGGAAGAGGAAAGATTGAGGATGCACAGAAGAAAGATGGCAAAAGAATTTGAAGTTTTCATTAAGACAATTGAGGAGTTGGGAGCAGATTATAAGATAACATTTGAAAAACCATTTAGAGATTTGGGATTTGAAGGTAATTGGAACAGAGCCAGATTATTCTTACAACCCACACGTGATACTTTGATGAATGTTGTCGAGAGTCCATTCTTTATATTGACACTAAATGAAGTAGAAATCTGTTGTTTCGAACGTATAATTCCAGGCATCAAATCCTTTGATCTTGTGTTTGTGTTCAAGAACTACGATAAACCAGTACTCAGAATTGAGAGTATAGATATCAAAGATCTAGAAGGAGTCAAGAATTGGTTAGATAGAGTATTTTATTATTTCTAAAGTAGATGAACCTCCTCTTTTTCGAAGTGGGTTAAAACTTGGTTTGGAAGAATGTTCTTGGATAAATCTAGAAGGACATTCCAGGATTTGTTTAGGATGGAGGATGGACCAATATTCTGGCAGAGAGTGAGGAAGAGGGTGATGAAGAAGATGATCCAGAGGCTGGTGATAGTGAATTCTCACCTGGTGAATCTGTAATTATATATTTGCTAATCTTTTCAGGGTGATGATGGCGATGATGATTCTGATTTCACAGAAGATGATGAGGATGGCGATGATGATGGTGATGAAGATGATGATGATGACGATGAGGATCTATCTGATGTTCTTGATCTCAATAATATTAGTGATCAGGATGAAGATGAAGAGGACGAGGATTCAGATTCTGGTATTATCTATATTCCTATCATGTAGATAAAAACAAAAGGAAAGGAAAGTCAAGACCTTAACAAAAGCCATAACCATTGCCATAGCATAAAACCTAGAATAAACCATAAGCGAAGCCATAATAATCTGGGCCACCTCCTCGTTCCACTCAACCTCAAAAACGTTAGCCACCTAGGAAATGAGTATCATTAAATTTTATTGATTATATTTAGTACTAAGTATAATACTATTAATAATTTCATTTAGTTTTATATATATAAAATATTGATTATGAATTATTTCCCTTGCCCCATTCATAATGGACATGTGCTTTCCATCATCTGCACTGATAAATCTTGTAATGAGACTTTATTAATTTGTCGTAAATTCAACTTTTTTAAATTAAAGCTCTGTGCGAACATGCAGATCATTAGAATCATCAAACTTTGCCAATCAAAATCATGTTGCAATTAGTCGAGACTGCTCATAATAATGCTGGAGAGTAGAATTATAACAGCATCTTTGATGTCTCTATCTTTCTAGATCAACAGCATTGCGAGTGTTTGCGAACTGTATGCATGCGAAATTCTAATCAAATTAGGTGCACAATTTCATTGAGGCATTGAAGAATACTTCGAAATAGTTAATTAAGAAGGTGGATACTTATTACTTGGATCTAAAAAATCAGCTGAAAGCCTTTGCTAGTTCAAAGATCCCAATCCACTATCTTTTAGACTCAGTCTCCAGCTACACTGGTTTTCAATAATACAAAAAGAATATTCAGTACTCAAATTCATTATTTAGATAAATTCTGGAATAATTCGTCTTCGGCAATGGAGTAGCGAGTAGATAGAGCATCGATTCTGCGATTATGAATGCATGCAAAATTCAGATTGGACAGCTGAATGATCAATTGATCGACTTGTAAAATGAGTTGGACGCGAAAATTGAGAACCTGGGTAATTTGTTTAGAGCCTAACCCATAACTGCTGTTGATTTAGTGCAATCAATTTCATTTTAATTTTCTGCGCAATTCAAGGGTGCCAACATTACCATATCAGGACAAAACTTGATTGCTGAATAGAAGACTTCTGAATCCAATGGACAGAGATTTACTATTTGCGAACCATGCATTCCCAAGAATGGAATCTACAAATTTGGTTTCAAAGTAATTAAATATGCTGGTTGGATTGGAGTTGGTGTTTGTCATAGAGAAGTGATTGTGAGTGCTAATTATAAGTTCAATTATACTAATATTGGTCATGGGTAATGTCATGTCCATATTGTAGATCCTATCTCATATCAAATAATGCATACTCATGGTCACACCTCTAGAAAGACTTGAATTCAGCCCATAAATCATTCGATTTTGGAGTTGGAGACATCATCGTGATCGAAGTGGACATCCCAAAAAAGAAAATCACTTGGCAAAAGAAGAAAACTTAGATTAAATTTGTAATTCCCAATATTTAATAAACAATAGACAATGAATCTGGACACTAGTTAAGATTTATATCCATGTGCTAATCTATGTAGTCCTGGAGATACTGTAGAAATCATAAATAAGGTTGAAGCTTGATATATCTATGTTAAATTACACCCAAGATTTTATAATATGTTTTATGGATATATATATATTATAACATATCAATTAGTTAAGATTATACGTATCTTCTTTTGAGAGTTGCTAAGATTAATGGTAGTAGTTCCAATTTATCAAGAATGAAGCTAATATTATTTTAGAATATAATATGAAATAAATGAATTAATATAATCTCTCAAAGGGCAAATAATAAAAGAAGGTTAATTTGATTCTCACTCCTCTCAAACTTGAATCATCCTTACATGTTAAAAACTAGTATTTCGAAAATTCATCCTATTATCAACGTTCATCGCCTAGAACTATTCTCCCATAATTTACACCCTAAAAGAAGAAGGCATAGATAAGTTTTCAAGAATCCAAGAATTCTCCACAATCTTCATTGATCACATCATTTAAAGTGAGACCAAGAAATTTTCACTAAGAAAAAGTGTAGTTTCAGAGCAATTTGAGTATAGCTTTTATTCAGAATTAGTAAAGGTTCAATCGAGATTGATTCCTGATGATAGTTTTAGATTCAAAGCCAAATACGCGGCTAGAACAAGGAAGGGAGTCTAATTGGGCAATACATCTAAGGTGAATTAAGATGCCTATGTGTGTTGTGCGAAGATTGAAAATAATGAATGCATTCATCTTTTTGCAATTTGCGATGGACATGGAGAACATGGACATTTGGTAAGTGGTTTGATAAAAACTCAACTTCCCATGTTGGTTTCCAAGAATAAAATGATGTTGGAGAGGAAGTACAAAAGATTGAATATAAATTTAGTTCTTCCCAAGGCTTGATGATCATAATTTAAGGACTGTCTGACATGTTACAATAGAGTCATATTGATATTTCGTTTTCAGGGTCGACTCTGGTGATAGTGTATGTTTAAAATAACAAAGTTATTGTATTGTTCATATGGTTAGATTTATTGTGCAAATTTGGGAGATTCCAGGGCCGTTCTGTTGAATAGAGAGGAGAAATGGAAAGTGAAACCATTGTCAAGAGATCACAAGCCAAGTTGTAAAGATGAAGCTGATCGAATACTGGCTAATGGAGGCAGGATAGATCCTCTAATGAACAGCTTAGGTCTTTTTGTGGGTCCTCTGAGAGTGTGGACAAATCAGAATGTGCCTGGTTTGGCTATGACAAGATCATTAGGCGATGAAATAGCGCATTCAGTAGGAGTCAGTGATAAACCAGAGATCTTGTAATTTGATTTAGAGAGGAGTGACAAGGTGATAGTGTTGGGGAGTGATGGATTATTTGAGTTTCTGAGTGATGACCAAATAATTAATTGCATATCCCCATATTATGATACATCTAACATTGAAGGGGCTTGCAATCAGTTAATGTTGAGTGCTTGTAACAGTTGGATGTAAAAATGCAATAGCTTAATTGATGACATTACTTTCATAGTATTATTCTTAACTTATTGAATGTGCACTTTATGTTTAATCAATGTTTATTGATTCAGTATAAGTTATTTTAGTAAAACAATTACATAATTATTAAAAAAGAAATTAAAATTCACAGTTTCCTTAATTTGTATTCACATTCAGGATTGATCCAGATACAGATAAGAGGGGAGGAGGGAGTCTCAAGAAGTTACGTGGTTTTCACTTTCATTCAAAAAATTAATTTTATTGGTGCTATAAGAATTCAGTGCAAACTATTATATGATATATGCATTCAATATATAAATCATAACAGTCATTATTCTTCTTCCTCCCATATTTAAGGTTTTCTAGATATAAGGCAAATCATCATACTTTAATGCTAACTTAATGAGTTCGGCTTCGCTTAAATTATTGACTTTCTTTGGAAAATGAACTTAACTATTACAACAATCACATACTTTCATCTTGTTCTTGAATCACCTAGGCCTCATGAACCTCAGGAATTGTGATGATCTTCACACTACTATCTATTTGGACATGCAAGTCCTCTTATATATTATTCTAATTTTATTGGTGTTGCTTCTCTTTCTCCTCCATGTAATTCGGCTTATCGAAAGTTGATTGTCGCTTTAAGATGCTCTAACGCTTTGGTCTGATTTCCTAATCCATTTTTATGAAAATTAATATAATTATTGATTATATCAACTTATAATTCCTAATCTCGAGTCAAGACTCCGTATTTCAATTTTATTCATTTATTACTATACATAAACCATTGAGAAAGGATACAGGAGAGTATTTCATTCACACACTCAAGTATTTATAATTATTGTTAAAATTATTATGTTATTTGAAAGCTCTATTCGAACTGGAGATCCTCGTCTTTCCACAAGGAATAAACAAGCACAAACCACTGAAGTCGTCAATGCTTACGATCAGTCCTTCAATGGCAGAGTGATCTATGCCAGAAACCTCTTTTCCAAATTGTTCTTGCAGATGATCATCATCTGTAAGTTTTATTAATTCATTTAGGTGTCTACGTCTGGATTGTGCATTCCATACCTGCCTTAGATCATTTTCTAGAAGATACCAAATGGATATTTTGGCTAAGTTTGGGAATCTGTGTAGGAACAGCCACCTTGGCTTTGATTTATCGTAATCGAATTACAGTGTCTCCCACTAATTGGCTAGTCTTCATTGTATTCACCTTGTCATTTGCCTCTGTTTGTGGCTGCTTGGTGGCCTTTGGTAATTCCTAAATTGGGTTGTTGCTCTTTGTTAATTTTGCAAGTAAGTTAAAGTTTTTAAATAGGCTTAATATTCTTTTTATTTTTATACTCATCAACCGTAAGGAGAAAGATAACTTATTCAGGAGCTGTGTTGTTTGTTTCAGCAAGCATCTTGATAGTGTTTGAACTGTTCACAATATTCACCAAGATCTCCCTCTTTTGGATTATGTTCATATCTCTGTCCTCCTTTTTATTCGCCTTTCTATTGCTTTATGACACCTACACTAACCTGAAGTATTATCAATTCCTTTATCTAGTTGCGGAGACTCATATGATATCAACAAGGCAGATGACGTGAGTGGAAGCGTAACCATTTATTGGGACATCATTCTATTATTTTTAAAGATGGCAGAGCTCATTAAAGATAATCTATCTAATAGAAAGAATTGATGACATTTATATATATTAATACATTAATTTATGTGTCCGAATTCTTTCTAAAAACTCAATACTCATAATATCCCATATAAAATGGAATCCTTAACAATAACATAGACGGATTGTAACCATACATAGAGGTCCTCTTTACAATCTTCTCTAGATGTGCTCCCCCTTGTCTAATCTAAGTAAAGCAATCCTAACAGAAATCAACCAGAGCCTTAGAACTGTTAATACATTCATATTTACCATATCTGTTAATTTCCCTGGTAAGCAATTTAACACAATGTATCTAAATCCTCTGATTTCATTATCACAACCATTGCAATCTATAGCATGTCTCTAAGAGTAAGGATCACCCTTCTTGACTTTCAGATTGTTTCCTATTCTATTCACATCTATATCATTCAACACAGATTTATCGACTAAAGGAGCATTGAAGAAGATCAAATTGTCCTTTACTCTTAATTTATTATTTCCAATTGCTTTTGCATCAAATACTTCTGCACACTTAACACAATAAAACGCATCTGAAAATGGACTGTAATATTGAGGAGTCTAATCATTTAATTCATTCTAACATAACTTACAAGCCTTCCCAGGAAATAGAAGATTGAATGTTTTCTAGGTAGTCTTATTCACTTAAAACTGGTTAACTTTATTGAGAAGCTTCAGATAAGCCTCAAAATACTTCTCCTTGCCTTCTCTAATTGTGTAATTTAAGATTGGAGCTAATCTAGTCTTATTTTCACCGCATTAAAATTCAATGAAAGTAATATTTAAAGAAAATTGTCTTTTATTATTGAGTTAAGCAAGATTGGTTAATGCATCAGAATTCAAAAAGTGAGTAATTTCATTGTACTTCTCATCACTTAAATTAACAGTTTGTTTTAGACTATCAACTCCTTCTTCCAATTAATGTTCTATTAATGACTCTAAATCTTCTACTTAACTTTATAATACACTAATATTTCCAATCTTATTAACAACGACGAAATGGGGAAATGCATTCACATTATATTAAACTAGATCTGCCTAATTCTCTTCTGTTGGGAAATAGAATTCAATTACTTCTTCAAGACCTTCATTTTTAATGAAGTAGTGCTGATAATGATCAAATTTATGTTGACTCAAAGCTACAAATCTCACTTTATCTTTAAAGGAATCTTCATTAGCAAGCAAGAATTTGATTATTGTTGGGAATAGCCTATCACTTTCTTTATTATTGTTCCAGTAGAATATGATTAAAATCTCATTTTCTTTATGTTCAATTCCTTCTTATTGATCTTGTCCAAATTTATGATAATTTTATATTGCTTAGAATCTTTACCCAACAGTTAGTTGTAATCCAGATCTCAGAGTATCTGTTAATTACTTGATATGGTTATTTATTAAATCCCTATCTAGCTATTATTCTGAATCATGATCATGTTCTTCATCACTTTCATCAATTTCTTCTTAATATTTCTTGAAAATAGGTTCAACCTTTGAATAAATAATTTGATATTCCTAAGATGTTAAATTCTATATTCCTTTCTTATGGATTTATGATACATCCTATTAGAATACTCCTTTTTCATTAACATAATTGAAACTCTCTGTTTTGATTGTAAAATCTGAAATTACTTTGTTATTTTATTTCAAAGCATCCTAAATTGCATCGGATATCTTCTTCACAATTCCATTCGTATCTTTGACTAGTTATTTCTATATTTGGATGTGATTATTGCCCAATTAGGTTTTAATTTCATTCAAAAATTGTACTATCACTTATTCTGATTACACAGAGACATCATATGCTACATGTAATTGACTTCTTTCGACTAGTTCTTGAGTACCATCATGAGATATTTTATGACTTTTAATTAAATTTAGTTTAATGAAATCGCTTTTCTCTAATTTTGTATTTTGAGACAATTGATTTGCAATAGTTTATATTAATGTTTTTTTTATTTATTTATATGTTTCTTTTTCTATAATATCTTTTGGTTTTTGAACATCTTCAGATTCTTCAACTGATTCAGCCATTGTAAAATATGTATTGATGATGTTTTCTATTTTGTTAGATTTGGTTGTTACATCTACAACATAATTGTCTTTGCCAACAACAACAATTTTAGGTAAATAGTTTAATTCCAATGCCTTCTAGAATTCATTTGATGAATCCCATCCTAAAGTGAATCGATAATGTTCGAATTCTGTTATTTTATTGTCTCTAAAGTAGGATCTAAGATTATTGAAATCACCATCTAAAGAAATTGCTATGGGTTTTATTTGCAATTTTAGATCTTGGTTTTACTTCAACATTTAATTCAAATGTTCAAGTGCCCTTCTTGATTTGGGAACTGAAGAAGACTAAAGAATAACAATATGCATAAATACCCAAAATACAATTAGATTCGTTTTATCCTGTATCGTCCTAAAACTGCCCTTCTTTGTTTGTAAAGTATTTAAATCAATACTCTCGACTCCATTAACAACACCAAATGCAGATCCCTTCAGTATTTTAGGCTTGATGGTTTCTTTGAAATTATCAAATTGTTTAATCACTTCTAAGTCATTACCAAAAGTGAATGAATCTAAAACATCACAGAACTCATCATATTTATCGTTCTACTCTAGCGTAAATCTCTTTGACGATCGCAATTCAATGGTCTTAACTAAACTAAATAAAATAAGCAATCGACTTTTACCCAGTGTTCTTTGATACCTCATGCTTTTTAATCCTTTCAATGATGAAATTGTTAGGAATTAGATGGCGTACTCTACCTAGAATTTGCAAATCTACTTTCTCAGTCTTTGACATCTGGATTAATTATTTATTTTAATGTACAACTTTGGATATACAAAATATCTTATACAAGTGCAATAAAATCATAAACAAATAGTAATTCTTTTCAACTCTATATCTTAACCACATTAATAGTTGAATAGCGCATGCCCTGTCTTTCCTCATTTTGATTTATAGTCTATATGGTCTGCTTGTTTGGGTTATCCAACTCAATAATTGAAATCGACTTCGATTCACTTTCCCCTTGCACATCTAGGATTCTCCAAGGGTCAAGCACTTCAACCGTCACTTAATCGATACAACTTACATACACCAAAGACATTATCAGAATCATTATTATACAGAGCACTGTTGTGCCAGCTAATAATATGGGTTCAAGACTACCATTCTAGAGTTATAATACTCTAATCTTACAATTATCTAAAATATCAATGCAATTATTGTTCCAATTATCCCCAAAGTCACCATTATCTCAACTGCCCAACAACATATTCTGGCTCTTGGTGCTTTTTTTAACATTCTAAATTGTTTTTAATTTTAAAATTTAGTTTCCATTTAAAATTTTGTATGACAAACTTCACAATCTATCTTTTGGTTTAAAAAATCAATATACTTAGTTCTTGTATACCTACTCTATGCCTTGCTTTTCCAATATCCAAACTTTCAAGCAATTCTCATGAATGAACCTGAGGGAACCTTTGCAATTGCAAGGTCTTATTAAAGAGGAGTTACCATCATCGCACAAACAAATTCTACAGAATTCTTATATTTAAGATATTGAATTTCTTACTCGTTTCATCGGGGATAATTGAATCTTATTATCGGTATTGGTTTATTTATAATTCTATCCAAACATGCTTGTTTCGTAATTTATCCTAATTATTTCAATATCACTGACCTTCATTAGATATATTTTCCTAAGCTTGAGCTCTGGAACTACTTTGGCTGATTTCTTCATTTAGCCAAATTATATGGTCTCTAATGGATTTATTTGTTATTGCGATTAGTCAATAGTTTGGAACTAATGATGAGGAGATTATTAAATAGTAAGTGTTTCAGGGACAAACATACAAAACTAACCACTTTTCTAATAACTTATAAATTAATAACTTATGAATATAAAAAAAAATTTGCATAAAATTATCTTGTCCCAATAATATCATTTTATAATAACAACTTTATTAAAATTTTTGGATAATACTTATACCACTTGAATTCTCAATCACTACTCAGAGTGAGTTTATACTCCTTTAATTATCAATATTCATATAAATCAACAAATTAAAAAATCTACTATTAATATTTCTACTTATATTTGATTAATCAGAATATTTGTGTTTTAATAATTAGTATTCATTAATAATAATATTAATATTAATTAAGAATCATTCATTTTCTTTTTATTAAAAAGGCCTTGTCTTTTTTAGCACTTCCTAATTATGTTGAATCCTGAATCTGTCTGAAAGAGTCGATTCGATCTAGTGAGAATACTTATTCTGAATAAGGAGTCATGGAATAAGGATCTACTGATCTAGATGCGGAGAGAGTTTTTTCATATTAACTTGGCTTCTAAAGAATTCTGCTTTCTTCCTTTTGACAAAAGTCCATATCTAATTTTTAAGTAAAGTAATCAGATATTTTTCTTTTCACATTTTAAGTATACTTACTTAAATCAACATTGAAACTATTACTGGTTTCTAATTTACGAGTTTAGGATGAAACTAATGATGATTAATAAAAAGATTCTTACGTTTGTTTATTTTGTGTAATAAATCAACTTGTTTAATAATTTTGGTTTTAGTGGTGGAAGTTTCATGTGATTCTGTCTTAGATTTTTAGGAATGAGCAGTTGAAGGTTTTTGTTTCTGTTTACTAAGAATTCCTTTTAGATTTCTCCTCTCTTAATTCAAGTAATCCATGTCTGATGAAATCTAGTCAGATTGTTGATAATTTTCATTCAATTCCTTTTGTCTCATAACATCAATATCTTAAAGAGTTTTGGTAACTAAATTTTCATGCAGAGCTGGAAACTGTTTCTTAATTTTTGAGCTTTGATGAATAAAATACTCATGATATTTTCTATCATCAGATGCATTCATAGCTCTATTTGAATGCATTTTAAAGTTGCATTCATCATCTAGATTTGAATTATTGACCTATTCCTATAATCTCTTCAACTGAATTTGTTTAATTTGCAACAAATAAGGTGAAGTCACTTCGTTGCTGAATTTTTGTTTCAATGTCAAAGCCTTGAAATTAAAATTTTGATTATTTTTGTAAATATGTCTCATTATATCTCTATAATATGAAAATTGTATTTAAAAGTGTTTTTATATATCAGCTTCTTTAATGAGTTTAGAATATTGATCATACATTTGACAAATAATTTCATGGTTGCTTAATGTGATATCAATATTATCAAAATTAATGTCTAATTGTAGAGTTTAGGTAATGAAGTCATTCCTTATGATATCATTCCATTAATTGATAATAAATTCATAATCTTTATGCATTTTAAACTTGGCCAATTGTTCATTAGGTAATTTTGTCATGGATTCAATTTTTTGTTCGCTTGGAATCTCTTCACTAGTAATACTGCCATTCCTCTTACCAATACAAACATATTAGCCAAAATGTTTAGAGGTTGTGGATTTATTAACAGGAATACTCTAAGTAGCAAGTGGAACATATAGATTAAAATCAGTCTTTGTAAAATTTTTGAGATATTGCATGCATTTATTATCCAAGGTTTTCGGAATAGATTTGGTAGTTTCTTATAACCAAATTACATTGATACATAATCTTTGGATCATATCAATTAATTTCTGGTATATGGTTATTAGACATAATTGGTAACCCTGTAAATGAAAACTCAATTAATAGTTTTCATGAATGATTTGTGGCCCTTCGATAATTGTATTATTATAGGAACCAAAATTATTTTGGTCATCTAGTGGAATATTGCAAATGCTCTTGAGTTGAGATAATTCATTATTCAATTGCAAGATTTGCTATTACCTTAAGGCTTTCTCTTCAGTAAAAAAGTTGTATTCACTAGTTTGCATATTCTGGTGTTCCAATAGTTAATGATAAGTGCTAATGATTTATTTGGTTAATCGGTCAATATCTTAGGTCTTATAGAATTCATCCACTTGATTCAAGATTTCGTGTCTTGTTAATGTTTTATCAATTTGCTATTGTTGAAATGTCTAGCCCAACTCTTATTATTAATCTTAATTTCCTTGTATTTAATCAACAACCTGTAATTTGGCATCCATAAAAAATTCAATATATTCACTAATTTTGAAACACTCCTATAATTAGTGCTTCTTTTATTCTTCCTGTTCAGTTAACATACGAATTTATTTTAATAATTCAGAATTCTTTTATTTACATCTTTTTATTTTCGATTGAATTTCCTTGACTTCTTATTCACAATTTTCCACTTCTCTAGAATACTTCTCTTGATTCATTTCAGACTAACTCCTAAATTATTCCATCTCTTTCTGAAATTGGTGAGTCAAATTTTATGTTTTCTTGAGCATCACCTTCACTTAATCATCTAATTCTCTTTGAACATGGTCAGGCTGAGTCTTAATATGGCGTAGGTTATCTTAGTAATAATTGATTTTCCTATCTGTTAATAACTTGGCCTTTAAGATTTCATCTAACTTCGTCTTCAAGTATTATTAATAAGTTAGAACTTCGTCAGTCTACTCTTGTATATAATCTAGTTGTTATTAAGTATAATTTGTGCTCTCTTCTGTTATTTGTCTTCTATTGTAAGTAGCCAATTCGGTTTTCTTTCTCTTATTCAAATCAATAGCCTAATTCAATATGTCTTTGAACTATTTAACAACATCATAATACTTTGGAGAGTTGTTTTGGCTCCACTGCGCTTTATTAAATTTCAAACTGCCTTCTAAAATTGAACTCTTCGTCGTCGTCTTATTTTATTTTTTACATTATTAATATTCAATTATTCACATTAATTAAAATACCTATGGAAAATTAAGAATATAATAAAGAATTACACTATCAGAAATAAGTCAGAACACTCAAGTTGCCCCTCAAACCCAACCTTAAAGTATTAGATGTCAGCGGACTGAAACTCAAAGATCTCTCCTTTCTCGCCGATCAACAAGATATCGAAATATTGATTGCAGAATCAAACGAATTAACCAACCAATGCTTCAAAGAAATAGCCCATCTCAAAAAATTGAAAATACTTTCTCTCTAAGAGTAAATACCATTCATATTTGAACTAGCAATCAGATTGTCGATGATGCCAATATGAAATTGCTTGCAGATGCAAACCTATTAGAATTGAGATTGCTTTTCAACCCAATATGCCAAACACAACAATACTATAAATTAATTTATAAAGCTTTGCCAAACCTCTACACCTTAGATGATTACGATTAAGACGGCTTGTAAATACACAGTTTATTCTGATATTTAAAGTAGTATTACATTTTAACATATTTTAATTACGCAACATTATTTATTATTTATAAGATACTTCAGAGATTGCTTTATCATAATATTTATTATTTTCAATGTATTATGTGTCGTTTGATCATGTAACATTAATTATCGAATTACCAATTTATTAATGCTTACTTCAACTGAATTTCTACTTAAAAATCAAATTTTTTCAGAGAAAGAGAATCAATTAGCTTTTGTCAATTACATAAATATGACTGTAATGCAATTAGTTCTTTTCTTGAAAAAATAATAAATAAATTATTTATCTAAAACAGTTGCTTACTGGTGGATATGATTTTACATATGTGAAACCATTTGAAAAAACCTTACAATGGGATAATTTATTTAAGAATTCAAAATACATTAGATGAGGATTTCATTTAAATACAGAAGACTTTCTATTTTTAATTAAGGATTTAGGCTTTCATCTTAATGGACTAAAGAATGATTCTAAAAACAAAAAGAATAGATTAATCTAAAAACCTATTTCAGGAAAGTTTTGTAATAATAAATTAAATACACAATTTAATACAGTCAATTCTTAAACATTTCTACAAATTCTTTGGTTATTAAATGTAAGTCCTCGATTTAATGCTTGACTGTCTAATCAGTGACATCTTCGAGCACATACTTATAATATATTTTCAATTCTTACATCTCTATCTCCATCATCAGTAAAGTCTGTGTATTTAATTTATCCGTCGTCTTCTAATGCATATGTGATTTTCAAGTGATAACCCATTCTCTTCTTACCTCTGCTCAAATATAGATGAGCTTCTCCATCAACAGATTCGACTGCTGAAATCTTGGTTTAACCGATCTTCATCTAAAAATAGATATTAAATGTAACTCTTACTCCTATGATATTTTCAAGGGATTTCTTGAGTTCGTTCATTGGCACTTTCTTTTCTTCCCATGTTCCTGATACATTCCATTGAGATCCTATAGTTTGCACTTGTTATACTTGAGAAGGGTCTTCCACCTTCTTTGGTTAGCAATCTATTTTGGGATGATTGGGGTCATTTTTAACCCAATAGGTGTATGAGTGTTCCTTCTTCACACTATCCATTTTTAATTCCAGAATATTAAATAATTAAATAATATATTAGCATCTATAATTAGTAACTTGCTCGTATAATATTTGATCCAAATACATCTTGAAAATATATTGATATATTTAATAACTACTCGTAATTCAAATGAGTGTGAGTATTGAAATTAAATTAGTTTATAAAATTTTGAAAATGTATCAGAAATCAGGAAAAATGGAACATATGTACAACAACCAGACGAGCCAATAAAGATAGCCAGAATTGTAAACAGGCTTTAATGACTACAGATCTTAAAATCCTTACTAAGATTCTTAGATTAGAATCACAAATAGAGATCTTTTTTTGTAAGGTGGCACTAATAACATTATTAAGGATCATCAAAAGCCTAAGATTTTCGACACTTAAAATTCAAGCTAACAAATAAAGAACTCTAATATTGTGTCAAGATTTCCTTCTTAAATTCCAAATAGTCCTTAATGCGATCGATCAAATTCAAAACCTAATGAATATATGAATAAATCATACACAACCAACTTGACTGGCAAGCCTCAAATGCCATATCATAACTAGTAGAATTACAACCATTTTTACAAACAAGGAAACATAATAAAAACAGAGCAACTGCCAGATATGAATGAAACTGTACCAATTAATCATAAATTGTTTCTTGATGATGCAGCATTATAAATGGAATCCAAGTTCTAAACCTGCTCTTCTTTGGAATAGAATAAAAAATCTGATTAACAATAGATGGTGAATTAGATGAACTTTTATGATAAGCTTGTTGAGCAGTAGGGATAAATCTAGGAAGTTCTAATGGAACCCAGATTTGGGGATCAAGAAAAATAAAATATGGAACATTAATATGCTGTAAAATCAATAATAATAGGAGAATTAACTTTAATGGACTTGAAGAATAGGGATATTTCCTAAATGAAAAATTTTGAGAGATCTATTGGGTTTAAAAAAACAGAGAATTAGAGGGAATCGCCAATAAAATAACAGATAGAGGTTGAATAAATTCGGTCTGATCCCATAATAACATAGTAATAAAATACTCTGAGTTAATCAAAAATAGCAGCAGATTAATTGAAGGGGTAAAAAGAAGAAAATTGTTAAAACAATCTTTGTGAAACCTTGAAATTAGTGAAGTTTAATGATGAAGAAGAGACCATTATGGAAAACCCAGAAAAAATAAGCAATTTTGTGACTACCAAAACATTATAGAGAGGAGAGAAATGTATTATTATAATTAATTAGAACTCCAATCATTTAAATAAATAAGTCAACCAAGTCAACGTTGTTCGGCTTTATAGTTTGAAGTGTTGGAGAGGATGAACTAAGTTCGTTAAAATCGATTAGAGGGAATGAAGGTGGATTACTTTGGGGCAGTGGAAAGGTTAGAGAATACAGATTGTGTATCTGATTTGGTGGCTGAGAAATCAATCATTTAATTGATCGTTACATAATTTCCTGTAAGTAGTATATAGATGGGTTTTAGTATTTAAGAAGAGTAAGAGGGGATGGCAATTGCTTATTTTCAAGTTTACTCTTTCCTTACTTGGAGTTGATGTGCATTAATAACCTATTTGATGCAGTGTTGAATTAGTTTGTGGCTCATGAGATCTATTGGAACAAGTAAATATTTTACAAAATGAAGGGCTACGATGATTGATAGACCAATGGTCTTTACTTTGATAAAGAAAATCTTTCAAGAGTTGAAAAAGCTAAGTAAAAAGTTTAATAATGATTTGCTCATGTTTTCAGAAGTGATCCTTCATTACATTAATAAAGTGAATGGCTTTTATGACATGCTCATTATCTTTATGCGTTCAACGATAATATAGAGTTATAAGTTATACTCTAAACAAGGAGAATATCAGAACTTCTTGGATGAGAACACTTCAGAGGAATTCTTAGAGAGGAACAGTAGTTTTGAGGAGGAAGGAGATTTTTTATCAATATAATTCTTTTGTGAAATAACTTAATTGAAGGTGAAGTTGATTAATTTTTCAGATAAACATCCAATCCAATCGATGTAAACGCTTGAACCGAAACTTAATAAGGTGAGGAACGATCAAGCCAACTTCATTAGTTTGAAATATAATGAGGGTCATTACGACATTCTTTATTCAAGAATGTTAAAGCAAATGCAAATTAAGCAGGAAGAGAGACCGCTTCCAGAAATAGAGTTTACTGCTTTGTATTGAAAATAATAAATCTCTTTAAAATAATTATTACATTGTTTTATATACTGCTTGCATTTAGAACCTAAATGTAAAACTGTAATTATAAAATTAATTAATGAAATGCTTCGAACACAATGCTCCTTATACTCTGATCTGCTAAGTCAAAGATTGCAACTAGAAATTATTGTGTAATTAGTGTATGATCAAGCATAATGCTCAGCATTACCCGTTGATTCAAAGTCTGTCTGATATGGATTATCAAATAAAATAAGTACCATAGTTGCTCGAAAAGGACCTAGATACTCTCAAAGCCAAATTATACTCCATTCAAAATCATATGACAATCGAGAAGGACTAACTCAAGAAGCAATTGATCAAACTATCTGATATTCTGAAATCTCGAATAAATGCTGAAGTGGATGACTTCTGTTCTTCTGCTTTGGATTATACAAATTCCTATTATAAATAGTATGAAACTGATATAGGCAGTTTGCTCGGAGTAATATCTGAACACTTAAATATGGTAGCCCCTTACACAACGAGAGTGCGACCAATAAATGAAAATCAATTTGGAATAATGATGGATTTTCAAGAAAAGATGCTTGGCAACATTTTACCCACTCTAACCAAAAAGGCTGAAATAATTTCGAAACAAGTTCTGGAAAATCAGTTATATATGCGGACTGATCATTTTTATGCAATCGTAAAAACAGCTCTTGGAAAAGCACTGTAGTCTTATAATTTATTCAAGAACAATGAATTCCAAATAGAATAAAAGCGAGCCATGAATGTACAACTAGACTAGGAGCCAGAGTTAGTCAAATCAGCTATTTACCCAATGAGCGAATTCAAAAGAAATGCAATGGAGTTATTGAGAGATCATTAACAACCAGAAAGAAAGTCTGTAAGAGTTTATAAAGCAGAGGAAGGATTCAATCTGCCAAAAAACCGAAGTTCAGCAGAAAACAGCGGAACCAGATACATTTATGCAAAAGCCATCAATACAGTATTAAGTGGACACACAGATATCGTGACTTGCATTTGTATCTTCTCTTAATCTTCTTTAATCTCTGCTGGGGGAGGTGGCATCATCAAAATATGGGATATTGACGGAGGATTGGCATTGGGGTAGATGAATGAACATTCAGGAGATGTGTGGGCATTAACTAAAATTAATGAAAGCAGTTTCGGTAGCGCAAGTGCAGATCAAACAGTGAGAATTTGGAATTATTAAAGAATGATATGTGAAAGTGTGTTAGTTGGACATTTGCAACCTGTTAAGGCTTTGGTGTATTTAAAGGATTTAGAATAATTAGCATCAGGTAGTTTAGACAGCACAATTAAAATATGGACAACTAATAGGCCTAAGTTAAAACTCACAATGTAAAATAGTTCAAAAGTTAGAGCATTATGTTATGTTTAAGCCAAGGGACTTATCGTTAGTGGAGGTGAGAACATTCTAAGTGTGTTCAACATATTAAATGGCTATTGCAGAGATTAATTAGAAGGACATACCGGAGAAATATTATGTTTGAAGTATCTACAAGAATCGCTGATGGGAGAATTTATGTCAGTCATTGCTTCGGGAGGAGCAGATAGAAAAATTATTATATGGAATCTGGATAGAGCCATTAAACTGCACGTTTTTGCCGGACATTAAGAAGCAGTCACTTGTCTAGCATTTGATATCGAAAATAGATAATTATGGTCTGGTGGAGCTGATAGAACTATTAGATGTTGGGACATTGCAACAGGAAAGACTATCTTAACTGCAAAAAGACATTCCGAATAAATTAGCGCACTGGAATATATGCCTGAAAGAGAGCTAGTCATTAGTGGAAGTTGGGATCATAGGATAAGAGTTACACAAAGATCCATTTTAATGAATTGATCATTTTATCATTAAATTCTTATGAATTAATTTCACTGTCTCTCTTTAGCATTTGATTTTTTCTTTCATTTATCATTCATCTTTTTTTTTATTTTTATTATAAATTACATCTTTATTAAATATTTATATCTATATACTGCTATTCTTTGAGATATTAAACAAGGCGTTTAAATTCTTACAACTTTGCTTCCATATTGAGCTCAACTCTTATTTTAGCAAATAAATATTAAATTATTTTATTATTGAGAGGATGCTAAATTACTAACTTATTTGTTTTAGCTTGTTCAATGAATTTATTATTACCAAATATTACTTCAACAAGTAAATGAACATTCTAATAGATGAAAGCATAGGAATTTTAAGTCTTTTTGCAAAATTGTTTTACTTATTTCAAATCCAATTATGTATCAAACATTTCAACTATCTAATAAATAATAAATTAGGTAAAGACAATTTGCTAGTATATGGCTTCAAATAGTTGATGTTCACTCCTCATTTGCTTAAGCGAAAATTTTTTTTGATTATTCTAAGATCTTGTTAAAGTAATTTGTGAAGAGTTATTTTAAATTTAATATATTTAATATTCTTAAAGATATTGTGATTGATCACAATGCTTACTGCAAACATCTTCGTGTTTACCTTGTTCTTTAGAAGCTTGATACAAAAGTTGAGAATGAACCTTAGGATTGATCTTGTCAGAGTGTAAAAGATTCTGTTTTTTTAGATACCTGCTTCCTGGTTCTTCAAGCCCTGAAGGATATAAATTTTGAGTCAAAATATCGTGATTGCTCGAGTCTATCTCTTATGATATATGATATTAAGTATTGAGGGGTTTATCTAGTTATTCCGAAGGATCATTCAAATTGAAATTTGATTCCATCTACATTTTTAGAAATAATTATGTAACAAATCAAGCTTAATTCCAATTATTAAAAAATGTTTCATTTCTATTAAAAAATGTAAATAATAAATATTTTTTTTTTATATTAATTGTAATTATAATTAAAATTTTAATTCAAATGAAGAACTCATGTTAAAATATAAGAAAGAATATAAAATCAGATTCAATATATAATTTCGGTGATTCAATACTAATTCATTGTTATTTGATATTTTCCATATTTAATAAACACTCAGCATCCTTATTATATATTTTAAGATATGAGGCTAGTTTTATAAGATTGTTTGCATCTTCACTTCTACAACAAACGAAATAATCTCTTAATTTTTGATCCCATGGAGAGGCTCTAAAAACAAGTAACAATCTAAGTATCTGTAAATTATCAGTCACCAAAGCAAAATAAGTGGTTTTTAAAGAAAGAAGTCTCCTGCATTTAAATTAGCTCTATAATATAATAGTAATTTGACCATTTCAATTGATTGTATCATCACTCCTATATGGATGGCACATTGCCCTTATTCATTGAACGATTTAAGATTTGTCCTAATCTAACATTTAATTAACTGCTTAAATATTGCTATACTTTACAAATCTCAAAAATGCAATGAACCAGGCATTTAAAATCGTATAATTCTTCTTTTTTTCATTTTTTTTGACTTTCTTTTCATATAATATAGGGTAAATTTCAATCAAATCTTCATCATCCCTTTTTTTATCAATGTTGAAACAGTTGAAGAGCAAGATGATATTAATTCTGATATCTCACTCTTTTTAATAATTGTTATCTTTTTTTGTATATTTATGTGGTTTAAATATAATGGTTTGTGGTATTTCGCTATTGAATTCTTATCATATTTATAGTTTTCTTTCAATTTTACACATTTTCTTCTTGTTAAGGAGATTCATATTATTATTTGAGATAACCTTCAAATTAATGACTTTTGTTCAATTATAAATTTTAACCACTTATTGCTTAAAAATCTATTTAATCCTACTCTTGGGTTAAACCCAATTTTTGAGAAATTGTCAAGAGCAGGGATAGGCTATTTAATTATAACAAAGCTAAATGAAATTTCTAATATTATCAATTCTTATTGTAATTTATAATATTTTGGCGATCCATTCAGCTATTCAACGGTATCTGAAAGATCTCTGAGTTTTGAGTTTATTATAATTCAAAATAATATTAAGCAGTAAGAGTATTTTTATCCCTATATCATCAATATGATCAATTAGAATGATAAATATAGTATGAACAAAAGATACATTGATCTTTAATTTTTAATTTTGAAACTTTAGAGGAGGGTTTCAAAAAATGAGTTGAGAACTATCAAAATTATTTATGCAGTTTCTAAATTTTAGTTGGAAATGGTTATGATAATTGATATATTTAATAAATCATGAATTAATTACATCTCGAAGGAGTAAACTAATCAGAAGGTAACTCAGGTCTTAATTCTCCTTTGAGCATGACTTTCAGATTGTCTAATACGTTAAGATCTCATGACCGGCAAGCAAAAAAAAGATAAAAATCAAGAAGTTAACAAAAACCTTTTGTTTTACAATAGAAAACAATAGCAGGACCATTAAGAAGGAAAAGCTGTTACTGCCATGAATGTGGCTAATTGGGGACATTTTAATATAAATGTATGAATATTAAAGGACCAAGACCATATCGAAAAGCAATTCTTACAAGAAGGGCATCGAATTAACATATGTATTTTATTATGTTTGAGTGATCAGATAATCTGCTTAACCTAAATCTGCACAACGAATGAAGCAATCATTAAAAAAAATGAAGACTTATGATGATAGTAAAATAAAAGCAATGCAAGATGGTAATAAAATCCTTAGTCTTTATAAGTTATATAGGAATAAATGACAAAATTGCGGTCATAATACTCGAGACAATCACAATTAAAGATGTATTAATTAGCTCAATACACTCCTAATTGTTCCCCGAAACATTCAAAAACTCCAAGAAATTTACCTTATCTATCACCTTACGTGACTCTTAGAAAAATAGATTCCCAATTGCTTAAACCATTAAAGTCTACTCAATTAATTAGATAGAGATCATAACTATTGACTTTGCATCGAACGAAATATCATCAAAAAACATTGTCAACTGTTGTTAGTCCACTCTGAAACTATTAATTTCTTTTTAATAATAGTTATTATATCATTTACATTTACATAAATTCAAATCAATATATGTAATTATTGTGATGATACTAAAATAAAAATTAATTAATTGATCATCTCAAATGTGACTGAGAGCATTTCTGATGCTTCTAAAAAGATGTTTCTTGAAAAATACTGAATTATACCCTTTTGAATAGGATAAGGAGAAATAGTATAAAAGAATAAGAATTGCAAAGGAAGCTTCGATCTATCAAATTAAATAAAGACGAATTAGGTGAATGTAGGCAAGTCAGTTGGATTCAATATATCTATAAAAAAAAATACTTTAATAAATAGAAGGAAAAATTCAAAATACAATGACGAGTAAGTTAATGAAAATTTTATCACAGTTTAGTCCTACTTTTAATAGACTAAAAGAACAAGAATAAAAGATTTTCATTAATTTCTTATACAAAAGAGACTAAGAGAAATAAGTAAACACTCAAAACTCATTGGAGATAGAAACCAGACATTTGACGATTTTTTAATCACTTAAAATTGAAACTAATAATTGAAAATTCTAAACTTCTCACTTTTTGAAATCTTAATTCTAAATATAAATAAATTTATGTCATTTGTTATTATTACCTACTATTCTTAGTATCGATTCCTATATCTCTTGTAGTTATTAAGGGTGTGACTCTTAGATATACGATTTTAATGTTTGCCAATGAGCATTTTAAGTCATATTCAAGTCTTAACTATTATTTAAAGTATACAATAGGCCAAAAAGTGATGAAACTAATGGTTTTAATTCTGTTGAATATAAAATCATAAGAAATATAATTACAACTATCTTTCTCTATGAATGAAAACTTTTACTGCAGTAATGAATTTAATTGAGAATTAATTTTTTCCTTTCAAATAGAATTTATTTATATACATCCTATTGTTTATGGATAATCTATTTGATTTCCAGGTTCTTCTTCTCCTCTTCTGGTTCCACATTGTTTTGGTCTAACTCTCTTTCCATGTAGGCTAGAGGCATACTCAAAACTTTATCGAGATTATTGTTCACCTATTGCAAAGCTTGAAATAGAGAAATCGTATTTACAATAGCCAGCCAAGCCTCTCATTCTAAACTTAGTTATAACATGCTTGGATGCAGAATCAAAATTTCTGATTTGTTACAATGACCATTGATAAAGCGCTTTGAATTCTTAGTCTTCTATAAGAGTTGGTTCATCTTGCAATTTCTAACTTAACTATTTCAAGTGTCCAACCAAAGCGTATTTTCTGAATATTTGAGATGATACCTCTATAAAATTCTAATCATGAATGCTGCAGCATAATGATCCAATTCCTAAACTATACTGGAGATCAAAGTATTTTTGTTTTCATTCTGTGTATTAAAACTTAATTATTATTGCATATCAAATCGATTATCACTCATTTACTTGCTAATGAACTTCTCTTCTCTTAGGATAATAAATGATTCATAAATACAATTAAATATTTTGGTCTGATATTTTGTGCACTCCCAATTCTGGTTATGAGAATTTGATTGTGATAGTAGGTAGATTAGTAGATAAGATTTTACCGACATGAACATGTTTGCAGATTGGATGTACAGCATAAACCGTTTAATCAACATTGAACGGTGCCAACCTTACAATGTCATGTATTAGATCTAGATTTCTGATGTCTCTATGAATTGGATAGTTCTAATCAAATAGATAGTTTCGAATAACGGATCGATATTTAGTTAACTTACTCATTTCTTATTGAAGGAAATAAAAAGAAAATCTTCTAGGTTATCCTACTGCCTAAGGATATGAAATGAATTTCTACCATCTTAATTATCCTCCATTCAGCTATTGATTTGGATCCTAAGGGAATACTGGCTTTAGTTAACATCTATTGAAATTCGTTTAGACTAAAATAAGTGTAATCTAAATGTGAATAAAAATATTCATGTTAAATCCATTTACAAAACTTGAATTTAAATTAAAAATACATACATTTTGACTTATGTTTTTGTTATCATAAACACTTTGGTTATTGAAGCATTAGGTTTAACTGAAATAATAGGTCATATCCTATGTATTATCATTGATATCAAATTTTTAAGGAATAGACTTACGATCTTGTGTTTATGCAATAATGTGTACAATTTTAATTTTTCTTAATCTTCTTAATAGTTCGCATATCACAGGATTCATTTTATTCATAATGATCTCGTAATATCAGATACAAGTCATGGGCGGTACAATTTTGATTGGATTCCAAGAAGTTTTTATTCTTCATCCATAATTAATCTTACCTTCTTATACACAGACAATAAATTTGTTGTTGTTCGTTGATATCCCAGCTGTCTCAAGGTCTCTTGCATTCTGCCAACTCCTGCCAATTATTATTGTCTAAAGACTACAATCAACTTATTCATTCAATCATACTCTTTAAAAACACTTCCAATTCGATTTCATTCCATTATTGACCTAAATCTATTCTAAGTTTCGAAATATCTATTTATTCAGGAAATTCGTTCATATAAATTAATATATGTATTAAAACATCATTTATTAAAAACAATAACATTTCTGTGTCTTTCTACATGTTCCAACAATTCTTCGATATCCTCCACACTCACCTCCATATCTTAAGCTATGCTTTTTAAATGAACCTTAAACTTATCAAATTGTTAATCTGAGATACCAAGATTTCGATGGACCTCAATTAAGTCTCTATAAACATAATATTCGATATTCTACCTTCCAGTATATTGAGTTTTCTAGTCTCCCATCATTTATGAGAAGAATCGCTTTTATTGATATCTGACTCTACTCATATCTGCCTTTAGAAATTTGTCTCTCAAGAGCTTATCAAACAACACCTTATAGTAAAATTAATCAATCAACTCGGAAACTTGTTAATCGCCACCAAAACGCTCATATAAGCAACATGATTATTTATCCATTATTAAATTTTTATATACGCTTCAAATAATCTCGCACTTAACAATCAAAATATGTTGCGTATTAAGGATTAGCGAATCGTAATCAAATCTTATAATTTTATATTTTTCTAAATTACAAACTATCAAACTATTAATTGTATGAAATTATGTATACAAGCCATTTGATTAATACAGCTTTTATTGAAATTTCATAAACAAGCCCAACTAACAAAAAATATTATCAATTTGATATTTTCAATAATACGTATTAATTAAATTTATTGAAACAATTTTAATATTAATAATTTAAACCATTTATAGTTTTATATTAATTTGACAACAATTACCTTTTTTGCATTTATATCAAATATTTGTGTAAGTTAACTGCTCCACCACTCTTTGGATTCCCCACAAATGGTATCTTAGTTCTAACTAAAGTTATTTTAATGATTTGTGATTTGTTATGAGCAAATAATGTAATAAGTCTACTTTAGTAATTTGAATGTATTTACTTTATAATTTGCAAGTATATTTTATAGGTTGTAATACTTAATAATTATAGCTTTGCATTTATCTTTAGAATATTTTGTAATCGATGAAATTGAAAATAGATAATAATAAGTTAGAAATGAAGGATTTACTATTACCACAAGTAGATGTAGAATGAAAAAGCAAGCAGTTGAATATGTTTTTGGATATTGAACCGAGTGCGGATTGACCAATAGTTTTTATGATGACTAAAGTAAGAATATACAAGATAATCATTAGAAATGGCAGCAGAAACAACTTATGCAATTCAACTAATGTATATTATTCTAAAGGCTATTCGCTTATTCAAAAAATGTTCAACTAATCATAGGCTTCATAGTTCTTATTAAATTTGGTTCATTATAAATAAGAGATTACTATATAAAATTAATATTAATAATATGAAAAAGTAACCACCACCTTCAACTTAATAACCTCAGCAAATTTAATCAAGAATAATTCAAAAGGAAGTGTTTTGGGTGTATCAACCTTAAAGCGTATAATAAAGTGCCTTTGAGTAGTATTTAACTTTGAATTAAAAAGAGATCTATAACTTATAATAATAATAATAAGTTGGGTTCATGGAAAACATCTAACAAGTATCCAACTCCATCAACAACCACATTCATCCATGTTTATAAAATAACACTTAGGATCAATTTTTAAGATTTAATAGTGTCAATGTTGATTGGTTAACATTGAAACTTATTCACCTATTTATCAATAATAGTAATTTAATGGCAATAGATTTTAGACACAATAAATTTACCATCTAAGAATTAGATGTTGTGTATTAAATTTTTGCATTTTAAAGAATCACAAAAGCATTTATTGAATATAATCCTAATGTCAATATACTAAAATTAAGTCCCCTCTACAACTTGGAATTTATATATTTAAGAGGAAATGAAATTGAAAATAATGCAATAGTTTAATTTATGGCAGGCTTACACAATAGAGTGAGAGTCTTAGAGTTAGGAGTAAATAAAATCAGTCAAGAAGGAGTAGATGCCATAGCTGAATATATGGGGAAACACAATGTCTTAGAATATCTTGGATTAGCATAGAATGGCATTAAATCCTTTTAAGATATCAAGTTATTGGCAAATTCATTTGGTAAGAATAGAATAACAGCAGAGGAATTTTCTAAGTATAAATTAAGGATTATAAAATTATAGGATTTAAGAATTAGAATAACAAAGAGAATTATAAATATAAAAGTTTTAGAAACAGAAAAAAAAATATACTGAAGAAATGCTAATCTAAGTGCCACCGTATGTGAAAATCGATAATTTTAATTACACTCTTCAAAATCCTCAATTCAAGTTACTCAATCTATCGGACAACCAATTGGTGGAACAAGATAGAGATTAAATTGATAAATTCTTAAGCAGATTACTAGACACCTAATCTGTAGTGTTGACTAACAATTTATTCGAACATTCAACTAGAGCCAAATTGAGAAAGAAGTATAAAAAATGTGTAGTAATTTGATTCATTAAACAAATATATATAAAATATTTAGAATCACTAAATTTATAACAATTATTGTGAATAACAGCTAGAAGAGCTTGATATTGACTGCTGCTTCTTATACTTCAGAGTTTGAATATCTTCAACCCATATGGCTATAATTATTGATAAGATCAAAACTCCAATAAGGAGTTTGGTGACGATGGGATATAATTTGATCGTATAATTAAAGGTTAAAACTTAGGGGATATTGTTATCAAATTGCAAAAGCAAATAGATTTCCAGGCTTAGTATTACTGTAATTAAAACAATTGATATTACCTTTATGATAGTGCCACATTTCAGAGTAAAGAAATAGTATATTTTGCATATAAAAATACACATTAATAATGTAATTTCAGCCAAAGACAATGGCCAAATGAGGTGTAAGAATTAGCAGTCTTAGCATTCTACAGTAAAAGTTTCATATTGGCCATCATAATTTAAACATCTCTCTTTTCCAGTGAATGAGATCGTACATATTTGTGGTGAATATATCTCATATAAATTTGTGAAAAAGAGCGTAAACTCAAATAAAACAGCCACACCCAACATTATCAGTTATGAAATTAGTGAAATTTTAACACTTTATGGAATGTTTGCTTTCGTCATTAAACTTTATTCTTAATTCATTTTAAACTATAATTATTTAATTAATTCATAGATCACCAATAACCCATTTTTTAATGTAAATTTAATCAGTTTCTTTGAATCAACAGAAAACTAAAACATGAATATTATAGTTATCATTCTAAATAAAGAATAATATTAATATAGAATATGAAGTTCTATTATAAGTTCCTAAATATTATAATAATTAGTCATATCTTACTATCGTAAAAATCAACTTATATTTAATGGAATTTTAAATAAAGTCATTATTAAAACATCTCTTTCTATTACAAATTAGAACATTTTATCATATTTACAATAGAGAAATAGAGACAAACCAAACTGAGTATCAAAAAATATTGATTAAACCTTCATATATATTTATATTATAAGATATTTGGGAAGGAATGGAAATAAACAGAAGGTTGTTAAGTAAAATTAAATTTAACTATAAACTATCAATAAAAATAGTAATAATGGGCATTAAGGTTATGATTTATAAAATGAATGTGATATATTGATATCTTGATAATATTGAAATATTATAAAAAATATTAAATAATATAATATATAAGAATAAATGCACTAAAATAATGCTGATCTAATTAGACCTGGATGCAGAGGAGGGCATGATTAATTCAATTGGGAGTCTCTAAGAACAATGAAGTATCATGATCGTGAATAATATTTGGGTTAAACAACGATAATTGGTTATTTGGATAAGGGAGGGAAGTGGAGAAAGAAGGATTGGTACATTAAACCTGAAGATCGTGGCGATTTGGATTTTAATAGTATGATATTCGAATTTAAATTGTAGAATTGGATGATGAATTTAAAAGGGCTAAAGAGGAGGACGAGAGAAGAATAAGGATAGCGTTGGGATTGGAATAACCAGAAGATTAAAAATCGATGCAAGTGAAGTTGACCAAAGAGGAAATGGCTTAGTTAACGAAGAAATCCAAAATAGATTTTGATGATGAGTTGAACAACGAGAAGAAAGGATTAGGAAATGGTCCCATGTAAAAGTAGACCAAGAATACAGAGGCATAATATTTATTAGAAGCTTATGGGGAATAAGACTAATACTAAGTATAAGTGAAGAAGGAAGAGGATGGATGTGTTGAGAAGAAGATTAAGAAGGAGAAAAAGAAGAAGGAGAAGAAAGAGAAGAAAAGTAAGGAAGAAAAAAAGCACAAAAAGCATAAGGATAGCGAAGAAAAAAAAGAGAGGAAAAAAAAGAAATGAAAATTATTTACACTAAAAAATATTTTAAATAGACAGTTAGTCGTTTGAATATAAGTGATCAAAGTCATGAGTTGATAAAGAACTTTATCGATATCCAATTTAGATAGACGACAAAGAATGCCACTACTGAAAGTAATGGTATAGCAAATCCAACAACTGAATCCTGAATTAGAGATGTGGCCATGACAATCATCATTAGCATGACTGCTATAATGAGAATCCATCCAATAACCTCATTAATTTTCTGATTCGAGAAATTGACAGAGTTGAATCTTTATTCATATATGTTAATCGGCCCAGAAGGGAAATCCTTTTTTTAAAGTTAATAAGTATTTTTGGCTTTTTCTGTTTACAATATCAGTTAGTATTGATTCACATTGATCTGTACATTGAGAGTAGCCATGATTGGTGCTAAATTATTTTATTTATTTATTTTAAAACTGTTTTGAATTCCTTATCCAAAATTTGCATTTGAATTTGCTATTATGTATAATAATAAAATGATATTTCTAATATTAATACTCATCCAAATACTATTTGCATTTAAGAAGCTCAATATTAATCATCCTCATAGTGCCCTTTATAAAAATTACATCATCTTCAATCAAAATGAAGATATTGCATATTCTCATCTTTAGAACCAAACTCAATACTCAATTATTTCTTAAAACATGACAGACTTTTGTCTCTAAAATCATTTTCTTGCTGTATGGTACTATTCATGGAAACTTATTTAGGAATCGAGAACTTATAATTATATACACTCTTTATGAAAATTAGAATGAATCCACTATTAGAAAGGCAGAAGCAAAGAATATTAGAAATGAAGATTTCACTAATATAACTATAACTTCCTCTTACTTTGTTGCTCAATATCAAAATGAATCCTTATATGTATTGAATATATTGACTCAAAAAGTGAAAATACTAAATTAGACATTTGTGGAACCAAAAAATAAATCTCATCAATCCATAGTTGTATATCAATACGATTCAAACTTAACGTTCACATATTTCGATGCAGACGATAAATATCATATCATTTATCTAAGCGAACACATCAATTAATTAGATGAGAAGGTTTTGTTTAGCACACAAAATGGGGTATTTTCAACTCAATATTGGAATAATGGAACAGCTGTTTTTATGAATTCTCATTGGATCAATTATACTCTGCCTACTAAGGTTTTGTCTTGGTATCGTGATGATACAAAAATTAGGATTAAATATTTATTTTCAATTTAAGATGCTTATGTATTTGCGATATTCACAAATAAAGGAATCTGCTACTAATATTACAGCAAGAGTCTTTAAATCAATTATCAAAACATTCTGTGTATGAAAATGGAGGATGAATTTTATTAGATCCATGATGTTAATTTTAAATATAGACTCTAAATTCTACTAAAACACAATTAAACAGATGAGTTAGCAATAGATTATTATAATCAATGTTTGCTATTTTCTACTATTCCAATTGAAAAGTCTTGTACTTTATGTTTGAATGATAACTGCTTGAGTGAATGTCATTATATTAAATCTTATTAATGTAACGAGAATTATAGAATCAGAGCTAGTTTGCCCTTTCTACTTATAAGCATTTGCATAATTTTTATATTTGTTTCATTCATTATTCAGATTTGCAAAGTCTTAACAATCTTTATATAATTGTTTTGCCTATTTACTTGTTCACTTTTTAACAGAGTGCCAAAATACATTATACTTAAGTTTAGACGCCTCAAAATAAAATTGCGCCACAGAATGCTTCCTTTGCCATTGTCTAATCCATAAACTTGTCCTATTTGTTTGGGAGATGTCCTTGATGCAACATTCTTTCCATGCAATAGACATGCAGCTTGTTTTGATTGTTTCACTTAATATGAAGCTACATAGGGGAATCAATAGATAAAATGTCCATACAGGGATGAATGATCACAAAAAGTCCCTAAATTTTCATGATCTTATAACAAAATATTTGATATTCGAATAATTCTTATCGTTTTAATATCTAGTAGTATTAATAAGATATGTTATTCGTTTTATTTTGTGATAATTAATATTTCAGCAAGATAAATATTGTCTTATTATTAATGGGATCATAGTGTTGTGTGTAAGAGCGAAGCATCAATAGAGCATCCATAGCTTCCAAGGCAATCGAGGACGAGCTAGAATACATGAAAGAATTAAGCTTCTGTCATTAAAGAAGACGTGTCTTGGTATATGAAGACAAACCTATTTGTTATTTCTTAAGCAAGATTGAATTATTGAATGATACCATTACGACTGCTTATTCATTGAATGAACGAGGAACTGCAGGTGAATTTGATGAATATTAACAACTGTAGGATGATATTGTTAAACAAATACAGGAGAAGTGTGATTATGGGATCACTCCTGTTGATGATTGGATTATCTTGTGTGATAACGTGGATTCTAAAAGTGGATTGAAATTATTTATTAAATAAATTGAGGTAGATGGTTCGACAAAAGTGAATGCCACGAGATGTGAATTCATTGTTCCTGGAAAGCCTCAGAAGTTTATTGAATTTATGAGCAATTTTCAAAAATAAAAGGAATTAGATTCTCGAATTGATGCCTTCTATCCCATCAAAAAGAATGAGGAGAACAAGGAAACAGTTATCTATTTAAGTTACAAACCAATATTGATGACTTCTGCAAGAGAATTCATCTATTACAAAAAAACGAAGCAAATTGACTCAAATGTTTTATTAAATGTTTATAAAATAGGTATGGTGTGACGTTAGTAAATCTGTTACAGATTCCCAATATCCAATAAGGAATAAAGTGAGAGGGGAAGTTTTGCTTAGTGGCTATACGATTTAGCCACTCTCAAATTTAATTAATAACGATTACATTAATAATAGGTATTTATATTTTGATAACTCCTCAAGATTCAAAACTAAAAACTTCGATGATTATTCCTTTGTCAAAATGTACTCTCTCTGTGATTTCAAATTGTCAATTCCTCTTTACATGGCCAAAGGATAAGTGAAATAGGAAATGATTAAATATATTGATTTGGTATATCAGAAATTATAATGACAAATTAAGATTACTACTAATTCCTAATGGATAGTAATTAATATAAAGTTCATTTCTTCTCATCATAGAAATCTAACCTTTCCAAATCTGTTGTTAGCATATTATGAAATTTATTGAATTCTGCTTATATGTAACCCATCTGTTTACTAGTTTGATGAATCTGTATCCTCTCATCTTGCTTCACATGTGCTTAATAACTTGATGCCACTGAACATAATTCCTTGATCTCCTATAAATATTACGAATTACGATTTGGTTTCAGATGGATAGTTCTACTTTTTGGAGGAGAAGACGAGTATTATTATGAATTGTTACTAGAATGCTAGCTTTTTTCCTTCCTTTTCTGAGGTGCCATTGGAGTAGACATTAATTTCTTGAACTTCATTTGTGCAGGATTATCAGCTACAATCCCTATTTTCTGATAATACTTTTTGAATCTATCATAATTAGGATCTGCGAGTTAAGCATTAGTATTTATTTTTATTGGAGATACAGATGAATGATTGCTGGGAGCAGTAGTGATTTCACGAAGTCGAAACTCAATTGATTATCTTCGAGTGAGGAACTGAATCTTCTGATGTTCTTTCGCTTGGAGAGGAGGCTACATCATTTGACTATGTTTTGAGAGGCTTTGTCTTGATTTTTCAATCAAGGATTTATAGTTGTTGGACATTATAGCCCATTTTTCTTCATTTATTTCATCCAATTTTATTATAGGGTCTATGACAACTTTTTAGAAGGTCTTAAAAAACAACAATTTCTTCTTCTTTGGCTGCTGATTGAACTCAACATCATGCAAAGGTGCTTGCACTTCTTCTGCACTTTTTCTTCTCAACATATACTTGATTACACTCGGACTCTGGTCAGCCTTTATATTCTCCATTTTCTTCTGGATTAATTTCAACTTCTTAAACTAAATGATAAACATATCCCCTTACATATTCTGAATTAACTTTAGTATTCTACTCCATTAATTTTATTAAATGGAATAAATTCTAATTCTAATAAAATAACTTTACAATGAAAATGAAGAAATACGAAGGTTGTCTGAGTAAGAACTGAATAATATTTTTAACGATTTCGAGAAAATTAAAATTGCATTCGAATGCTTGTGTGATCAAAAGATTGAAAAATCACTCAGAGTATAATTTTTCATATATTTGAAACATTACCTTTAACAAAATTACATAACCATATTAATGAATCATAAGATAGAAATTCTAAATATTTTACTATTTTACTTAAATAAAGTCGATTAGTAGATAATTCCATTATTATGCAAGTTGATCAATTATATGATTTTATATACACCTGATTCTACATAAATTATCATATGCATAATGGATAAACAACAATTAGACTCTGCTTACATCTAATTGATTACTGAGATGATGAGCAGCCAAATTGTTAAAATAAAATTAAAATTATCAGGTTATAAATATAATTTTAGTAAGATTTTTTAACTCTTCAACGTCAATGATTATCAACTAGTTGATCAAATACTAAATTTTTATTTATCTCTTACCAATTCTTTATTTTACTCATTAGAGGATGATCATTATAATGCTATTATAAATTAATATTGTTAATTAATTTAAAATAATCCATAATAATCAAAAATACTTGAAAACTTTTCCAAAATCATAATTCGACTCATCAAAAAAAAGCTTCCCTCAGAAATTATTCAATAATAATTATTGTATATTATTACACATAATTATTTAGACAACAAATAACTTTTAGGTAGAATTACTGCTTACAGACTTCTAAAAATTATAAATAAATTAGTAGTATGTTAAAAATTAAATTATCAATAACAAAGATAATTACTAATATTTATCGTTATTAATATAATATAATTAGATTTGCATGCCTATTAAAGCTTGTATCTAAATTTGGATGAAGAGAATGAGGAGGACTACTATTTGCTTAAAATTAGAAATTTTGGGATCGATTTTATTCTCTCTGTGTTGAAACTTGATTAAGAAAATTAAATATTTCAAGAAATTTTACTCATCTCTGATCAGCTTATACCTCTCCAATAGAGCGAAGAAAGTATTTGTATCAAAAAAGAAGCTCACTACTTTATTATATCAAATTTGTTTTATAGGATACAGATTCACCATTTAGATCAACTCTTTTTATAGGAATTGCTTTATTGTCTCAAACAAATCAATAATGCTTACATTCCAATAAAGATTTAAGTATTGATACTTTTAAGAAAGTTCATCCTAAAAAAATTGATAACAAATTAATCTTAAATTGATTATTTGATATCAATTCTTAAAGAATAATTGTAAATTATAGAATAAATTAATAATCCAAATTTACTATGTGCTATGATAGATTTATTAGTTTGCTTGTAATTGTATTATCCTTAACGAAATTGTCTAACAAAATAAACATACTAAGATTTAAAATAATATTACTTCTCTCAGACTAAGGCCATTTATAAGTAGTGCATTCTCAAATGTATGGCTGAACTAGAATAATTAAATCTAGGAGATAATTCTCTCATTTCAATTATCACAAAAGAATTATTAAATGCTCAATCGGAATAGAATTTATAAAAATATCAATTAAGTACTATTTAATTATTATTATTTAGAATTGTTAATAGATATAATGGGTGTTATTGTTGATAAACAGTATATCTTTTAATTGATGCACTTCGAAAATATTATTTTCTAGTTGGTTCATAGTTCTCTCTAATAATTTAAGCATTAATACGCTAGTATAGGTTTATTAAATGTATACTTGAAAAAGTTGTTAATTCAGTAAGAGATTTATTCAACTGATAGTAAAAATGCTATACGGATGATATAATAATTAATGTTTGATTGTTTGGACGAAGATTCCGATCTTTTTGAGCACATTGTATAAACATATTATCTAATTCTATTGCATGATGTAGCAGACCTCATGGTTACTCTTCAATTTATCATTAAATATGCAATACAATTGAAGAATCAATATTTCTTGTCTTTGTTTTGTTTATTTCTGTTTAGATTAAAATTCGGATTATTCAAATCAGAAATTTAACAACTTTATAAAACGTTTTATGAGGATATGTAATATATCATATTCATTAAGTGAATAAGACGATGGAAGAACAAGCAGTGAACTTTTGTGTGGATTGTCTATTCTAGATATAAATTAATATGACATCAAAGAGATCATGCTGGGTCAATAAGGTAAAATTTACATTAAATTATAGATGTCTTATATATCATGACTAATAAAGCGATATTATTTATAAAGTATTAAAATAGGTTTTATATAAATTATTTGATTAATTTGTATTAATCAATGATTACTAAAAAGCATTTAATTTTTGATATGGAATAGCTTTCATTGAACAACAGTTTCGTAGTAAAATTGAATGAATTTGTTTCTTAATTAGGATTGAAACAACAGAATACACAATATTCAATAATAAATCAAATATAATAGATATTTGAGACCTTTTACTCAACCAGTTTATTTGTTTGCGATTATATTATTAAAAAATGTAAGAGATCAAATATTTATATCTATAGTTTAAATACCAATAATGATATAGGCTTAGGATGATCTAAATTTAAATGAATTAACATTATCATGATAATTTAATAAGTAATCAAATCAATCAAAATAAGAAATAATATTTATTAGTATTGTTAAATATGATGTTACAAATATATAAAATTCAATAAGATAATGAATTTAAGTACTCTATGTAGGAATCTGGTCCCAGGATTTAGATAACGTCTAATTTTAATCTCTCCAAAGCAAATACTTGTTCTCTGATTTTATCATAAGCCAAACCAAAATTTTTTGTTGCTCTCAATTTAAACAAATGAATACATTTCTAAATCAATGGTGCCCTATTTAAAGTAATCTCTATAATTTAGACATGGATTATGTTGAAGTAGAGGTTGAATGAACATATCTGTGCCCTTTTTGGCTGACTCCATCAGTTTCTTGACTTCAATGGGGATGGTAGTCTCAATTAATAGATTGATGAGTTCAGTGCAAACACTCCATCTTCTCTGAGATGTGGCACCATACTGTTCATGCAACTATTGAATAGTGGGCAAACCATTAAGCTAAGTGATTGATCGATGATAATCTTCAATAAAGTTCTCAAGCTGTATGTAATAGTAAGTATATAATTACTTAAATATTTTTAATTTTATTTTATTAAACTACATATTCTAATTATTGCAATTGTTCTGTTAAATCCTTCACCTTATTTTCCAATAATTCTATGTATATCTTTTTCCTCTTCCTGGAATTTCTAGCAGACTCCCTGTTTTTAGCTAGTCTATTCTTTCCATCAGAGGAGTCACTATCAACAATAACTTTTTGACGACTATCTTAGGGATGAGTATTTACGTTTGCTTAGGCTTGCCAACAGCTGTGGGTTTATCAATTAATTATTGAATTTTATTAAGGTAAATGCTTTTTGATTGATTGGCTTGAAAAACTTCTTTATTTTTTTTCAAGAGATCTACCTCTTGATTCTTTTTAAATTTCTGCAGCAATTGTCCACCAACCAATGCCTTTGATCGCTCAGGCATTATAGGCTATTATTACAATATCTATTCTTCCATAAAATTACAATCATTTTCAAACATCCAATCTTATTCAGCTCTATAATCTTCATCAACATCTACAACAGAGACATTATTTTGGTTTAAAATATTCAAGAATGAATCTGATGGAACAATCTAAAATGGGTTACTCATATATATATAATTAAAATATAATATTTCATACGACAAACCTAAATTCTCAGTATTTTGTATTTTAAACACATTATAATTATAATGAAATTCAATAAGGAAGCAGTGTCAAAACATTAAAAAGATAACCATAAGTAACAATTGTATTCCTGAGCTAAAACTATAGATATCGCATTGTCGATCCAAATCATTAGCCTCATGAATAGTCAGACACTTATTCAGAGGGACATACCAAGTACAAGTTAAACTATCATAAGCTGAATTACATTCGTCAATATTTGTAAACGTTCCGCAAGATTATTTATAACAATGATCTTATTTCCACACACAACCAAACAGATTGTAATGATCACACAAACAAGAATCAGTTATTATCGAACAACTCAAACAACCCGACTGTTAATCGGTAATTTATCCATAAAAACATCTCTCAGATTATATAACAGCCTTAAAGCATTCTTCCTACCATGTCAAAATAAATAATATACTTCATTCGCTATCATATCACATTGCCTTTTTTAACATTTTCCATCTGTCCATGCACATGATAGGTTTTCATGATAACTGTCTGTTTCACATTTATCAACTTCAACAATATCAGCACATCCAGTAATCAAAGTACATTAATTATATTAATACATGCATAGCTATCCATTAGTAATCGTGCAAGTTTCTTGAGTATTATCCTTGCATTATTTAATTCTACATCCTCCCTCCCAAATACATTATTTTCCAAACGGAGTTACCTTAGAACATGAAGATGATATTTCAATATCTGAACATTGTTTAACAGTTTTGCATCCTAATTTGCTATTGGAACATGAATATCCAAAATAAGCCTCCCCATCACATGGAGGTGTTAACATCTCACAAGTTTTTATTTCGCATTATCCTCCAGTCCATGCGCATTCATTTCTACGTTATCAATTAGACTCTTACATTCCATTGATGATTTCTAAACAATCCTTCTCCTTCTTAGCTTCTGAACAAACCAATGGAACTGAGCAACAGGTTAAACCAATACTAATAAATAAGAGAATCAACTTCATTACAAAAATAAATAATACTATTTTACCAAGTATATTATTATATTAAATTAAAAAATAAATACATATGGAAAACAAGTAACCATATGACTACAAATTAAAAATAAAGTCGAATAATCTTCAATTATTAATTATTTTAACTATTTGAAAATAATAAATTGTATCATTAATATTTAACTTTGAGTTTTAATATGAATATATATATTTAAATATCTTTAAAATCTATATTTAATTATTATTTTAAATATGCTTTTCAATTTTAATCACTTAACCATGAATCATAATATAAATATCAGATAGATATTAGAATAGTCTAATATTTCATATTAATTAATCCATTTTATTATAGATGTTTTATTAACATTATAATAAAATATATGTGTATATTAATAATAATTTTATAATGTAATTAGAGTAAAGATTATCTAAAATTGAGAAATTAACTGAGCAATTATTAGGAAGAATCTGCGAGCTTGAGGATTAATAAGGAGATTTGTAAGATCAAATTAAAAAATTAAAAACAAAGGTATTCATTAACATTAACAAATAGAACTAACAATTAGAATAGGAAATAGCAGGATTAAAAAATAGAACTGAAGAAATTCAAGAATCATGGCTGTTTTATTGCGATAAAAGTAAGATGATGCATCTTAAGTAATAGAAAGACCATTAAATAATATTAAACAAACATTGTAGATTGAGTCTGATATAGTGAGGGAGTTCGATTATTAGAGTTGGGTTACCGAGGACATCATGTGGAGATAAATAATAAAGAATATTTCAAGAGAATAACATAAGGATATAGAGAAACTAAATGGAGCCCAATTGAAATAGTTGGCAATGTAGAAATTGAAAGAAAATATTGATAACGAGGTGTTGTTTGTGTTACGAAATGTTAATAAAGAAAATGAAAAAATGAATGAATTGATTGAGTTGTGTGCTATATTTACTCAATTGTGGTATGAGATCGAATTGGGAGGAGAGCAATGTTAAGGCAGATTGATATTGGTTATAGAGAGTGAAGTTAATCTGGATAAATTAGAATTGACTAGACAAGATAATTCTAAAGTGATTTTGCAAATAGAAAAATTATAAAATTGAATTATATTGATGATGACAATTACAAAATATAAACTATGAATTATTTTGAATGCATGGATATTCATTATTATTAATCATAGTTGAAATGCCAAATCTACATTCTTGATCCCATCTCCAAAATAGGCATATCCAAAAATTCTAGTTCCTGCTCTATGATACCCCAAGAAGCCTGGCCATTAGAGATTGCGTATAGTGACCTAAACTTAATTGAAAATGATTACTTGATATTTGGAGGAATCTGTTTGCAAACTCCATTATCCGACTGGATGGTCATCCAATTAATCAAAGAAGTCATAATGGAAAAGAGCATCATCTTAAGCAATCAAGGCCTTTTTGTTAGCACTCTGAGGTGCTCTGAAATGTTGATAATTGGATATTTTTGAAGCCTCTTAGAGACCGAGTCCTTCGAATGAATCATTATATCTAAAAAAGCTTAGTTAATTAAGTACCTTAATTCATGTGTAGGAGTCAATCTGACAGCACCAACAGGAAGAAGAGCACATTCAAATTCGATTGCATTGACTACATAGGCTAATCTGTCAACTTCCAAGAAATTCTTGGGAGGTGGCTTAATTTCAACATCGGAGTCATCATCATTTTTTACAACTTGTTAAGGTTCATCTGGGTTTGGTTAATCAGCAGGTGGTTAGTCTCCATCTTCACCTGTGATGTTAATAAGTATTTTTTCAGGTTATCCAGAAAATAACTGTCTGAAAGTTTCAACTTATTCTTTGTATTCTGGATTGAGGGGTGGTAAATTTTAGAATTCCTTTAAATTTGCAGTGTAGAAGAATGTTTTGTGGGGAAATTCAAAATTATTCTTGAAATTCAATCCAATAGCAATATAATAATTGGCAACTGTTCCTTCAATTCTTCCCCAAAATAGTAATTAATCAAATGTCTGGGTTGAGCCAAGCTTTATCAAAGCTATTTCTAACTTGATCCTTCATTACATTAATCAATACTTCTCTTCTGCACTCAGAGTTTGACCAATCTGATTCACGAATCGCAAATCTTCAGGAATTCGATAAATTTCCATTTTTTAAATATATATATATAAATATATGAATAATTCGAATTTTAATATTTATTTACTTATCAAAATAGATCACATATATATAAATACTATGTTTTGAAATTAAAGAAATAAATTTAATAATAAAATGTCCGATAATTAGCAATCGTCTGAAATTCCAGAATAACAAGTCTAAGATTCAACACTTCAATAAGACCAACCTCAAGAATCAAAGGTTCTCAATACCTGGGCTAGATCTTCTAAAGATCTCATAGATAAATATAAAAATAAGTTTGATGCCTTCAAAGCCATGGCATTCCAAGCAGGTTACAACGACCCAACCCAATAAACAATCAAAATTGAAACCAATATCATATAAGTTAGTCAAGATCAAAAAACCACTGCATAAGAAAATGTAGTGGCACCAAATCCAATAGATGATAATCCTATTGAAATTCCATCGGTTAATCTATAATAACCAGAATCTCAAGAAATTTAGGATTAATAGACTACTATTCAATAGACTGTAGAATAGATTGTCTTGGAATAGCCAAAACAATCAATTTAACATATTGACATTCCTTACAAATAAGAACCAATTAATTAATCCGTTGATTCTGTTAAATATGAACTGAAGCCAACTGATTAAATTTATAATGATCTATTTCCTTAAAAATAGGAAATATAATTATCCCAAAAGAAACTAGAAGACTTTTTGAATATAGAATTTGGGTCCAAACACTAAGACCCGATAGAATAGAAACCACTTGCCAATCCAGATCCACCAGTCGTCACCAATACTTATATTGAATTGTTAGACTAATTTAAGAGTGCCACTACATTGGAAGATCTAACTGATTTATTCAATAGAAGAACTCCTTTCAAAGAAAGAAACAATCAATAAGATCTTCCATTAAATAATAATGTCAATAATAGTACTGTTAATGGGGATGAAAATTCATATTTTAAACAAAAAGTTAAATCCATTGACAATTTGTTATAACAATTCAAGACTCCCAACAAATTAAATCAGGAAGCTTTACTAGAGAGTGGGAAGAATGGAGGAACCTATCTCAACTCTCAGGTTCCACAAGTTAACATTAAATTGTCTAATGGCAAATCCCCAAATGCAAGGTTTGGATTTATATAGGCAAGTCCCTCTTCCTAATTTCTTGGATCATCAGGTCAAAAAACCAAAAAAGAGAATACTTATCTCAATGTGAAAGTCTAACAGAACATGAATTTCACAGTTGAAGTTAAGGATAATGTGAAACCTTAAAAAAGAAAAGATGAATTGTCAACCTTTATGGGTAAATTGGGTTTGGGTAAATATGAAGCACCTAAAGTAACTATTAACTTGGATCAATAGAATGGATAAAGTAATCAAATTAATTATTTTTAGATGCCTTTGATAGATTAAAACACTATGTCAATAATATCGGTAATACAAGTGCAAAGAGAGCACCAAGTTCAGGCCTTGATGAATTAGTAAATGACAAATCGTTTAACACTTGCACTTTTAAATAATAAATGAAGGCCTATAAAAAAGATAGAGGAGACAGAGGAGAATCCTCTTAAAGAACTGGAATCTCTGTAGAAAATCCAATGTTGCAGGATTAATCATTTAAAAATCTGCATCTCAAACTACTACACCATCAAAGAGCAAACTCTTAAGTTGGAAAAACTGTCAGAATTTGAGATATACTTTTATTATTTTACATATAAATGTTCTTTTTTGAATTATTTAATCCTATTACATATACTTAGATTTCAAGATTAATATTAGCATCTGAAAATTGACTTTTATCATTTTAAGTCTTTCTCTTATTCTAATTATAGTAGATATTTGAAGAAATATTCCATGCCTAATTTTAGTATATCCATAAATTCTATTTGAATATAAAACTATCCTAATATAATTGTGAGTCTAATAATAAAAGGAAATAAAAATATATAATTTAAGCCTTTCTAATTATTAAATGGCAGGCCGGTTAGAAAGAGTGTATGGAACAGATGAAGAAAAAGTATTATTAAGAGTCCTAATGTTAGGTGAATTGTCCATTTTATAGAAATATCGGAGCTTGTCGTTACGAAAACAAATGTTCAAGAATTCATAGCATACCTCCAATCTCTTAGACTATTTTATTCAAAGTAAGATTTTCAATGTAATGACCAGCATATGTATAAAAACTCTCCTATAGAAGTAGCAATAGCCTCCGAAAATGCCATGACTTAAGCGGGTATTGAAGAGGCATTGGAAAAATTCGAAAGCTTTTATGAAGACGTATTTTTAAAAGTAAAAGTGGATATTATGATAAGCTGGCAGAGTTTGGTGAGATTCAAGATTTAATTGTATGTGAAAACTTTGGAGATCATTTAGTGGGGAATATATATGTGAAATACACATCAGAATTGTTTGCAGAATTATGCTTCAATGCTCTTTAGAATTTATCATATGAAAATAGACCTTTGCAAATGGAATATTCACTTGCAGACTTTAGCAGGGCTTAATGCAAAAAATACATTGATGGGACATGTTAGAGGTATGAAATTAGAAATAAAGGATTTAAGAGGAGGAGCATGCAATTATTTACATCTCAAGAAGATATCGACTAAATTTAAGAAGAGTTTATTTAATCAAATGTATGAGGAGCATCCAGAATATAGAGAGAAAACAGAGAAGGAAGTCACTGAGTAAGTCAATTAAATTGTTATTCTAATTAGAAAGAGTCTGAAGTAGCATAAAAAGAAGGAGAAATAGAGTAGTAACAGTAGAGAATCAAGTCGTAGAAATTCTATTGAAAGACAGAAAATGATTAATGATTGGAATGAAACTGGTATCCAAAATGTATGTTACCCTCATTATCATTGGTATTTAGGTTTCATAAGCACAAAAAATGATATATGGTAAAAATATGCCTGCTCCAGTTTATACTCCAAAAGTATCGATGAGAACGAGTCCCGAATTATTACAATCGCAATTATAAATGGCTGCTTAGAAAGAAATAGTTGGCTGCAATTAAGATGGGTTGAAAGGTCTATTATATATATAATTATATATATATTAATTATGAGAAGGAAGAATTGGAGACCAGAAGTATATAATTTAAACTTATCAAACAAGGAAGATAAGGCATTGCTTGAAATATGCAAGAGTCAACATTACAATTGGAGAAGAGTTTCGAAATAAATGATATCGATTGGATATAAAAGATCAGGTAAATCATGCAAAGAGAGATTCCATAATTAATTAAATCCTTATGTCAACAAAGATCAATGGACTCAAAATGAAGTTGATAAACTCTTTGAGTTGCAAAGCAAATATGGTAATAGATGGGTAATTGTCTAAAATTATACTTAAAAAGAGGATCATTGCAAAAGAATTACCGTAAAGAACGGATGGCTTAATTAAAAACTATTTTTATTCATTAGTTCGAAAAGTTCTAAGACGTCTTTCCAAGACTGTTAATGGAACCAAAAATGGTAACAATATCAGATTACTAAAAAAGGATCTTAAATGACGAAAACTCTAAAACCATCTGTTATTTCCTAAATATTTTGTGTCAATCAGAATCAAGTCAATGATGCTGGAATCGAAGTGGAATTTGCAGAGCTCTTTCGAAATATTATATTAAAATACAAAAATTTTAACTTATCCTAATAAATTGATATTGAGGACATTGATAAAATTAAGTCCATTTTTCAAACATTACAACAATTAAAGTACGTGTGTCATTTTAACTTAGTGAATCATACAATGATGATTTGGAAAAGAAAAATATCTCCAAAAGCAGATCCAAAAGCCATAAAATAAAAACTAAGTTAAGTAACGTTAATATTGACCATGTATTTCAAATGCACCCATATTTTCCTAGCTCATCCTCTAGAAGATATAACTTAAACATCCGATTTTCACAATGAAATCCTGTCCTTTGCCAAAACTATATTCGAAATTTGTATTTCATCATAATACGTATCATCCTACACAATTAATGTATTAATCAATTTCATCTTTCACATCCTAAAACATAGACTAAAATAACAGTTATGGTGCCATCTTGATCAAACCTGAGTAATTATTATTTTTTCAACCACCTCCTTCACCATATTATGTATTTTTATACCCAAATTAATAGACTATGAATATAAGCGCATTCATCTAATAATAGTCAAGCATGCATACCTATTATAGTTCCTACTTCAATCCAACCCCTGAAATTAAAGAGGAACATGAAACATGATTATATCAATTAACTTTCTAATTTATGTGTTTACATTAAACTTCTTCCATTAACATCTAAATCACTCCCAGCGCCCTTGCCCTTAACTAAGTTCAGACTCCATCATCTAATTAAACAAGAACTCCTTCCTTTCTGACCTTTTCTTCAAGAACGAAAAACTATATTTTATATATTTAATTAAATTAGGGGTTATAAATTATTTCAGTATTATTTTTATTATTTTTAATTATAACAGGGGTTCTATAAATTTGTATTTTATAAATAGATTAAATAAAAGCTAATTAAAATTTCCCAAATAAGAAAGGTTTAATGAATTTTTTAAAATAAATAAATATATTAGCAATTAATCATGACTATTACTATTACTCTTTATTTTTAATACAAAATGAGTCCAATTTATGACATTTTTTCCCCGCTTCTAAAGTTTTGGTTTCTGATGCCTTTTATTTTTCTTAGTTAGTGTTCCTTTTCTATTGATTTTCCTTATCCCCTCGATCTGCTTTTTCCTCTCTATGAACTTAATCGATTACTACATTAGAGTTTGTTATCTAATTATGTACAATAAGCTTCCTTGCAGCCTCAAACTCATTAAATAATTGATCCCCCATATATTATTTAAATAGAATACAAGCTTACAACTCAAATTCTAGTTTTAAATTATTAAGTACCATCTTATTTTTTTTAATTGCAATCATTTACAAAATAAATACCCTATTAGGAATATTGGCGAATGTTGTTGTATTTGATATCTAAAAATTGAAATAGTCTTCCTTTGTCCAATTTCACATATAGTTCATCACCGACCTCTTTTGTGATACTTATACTGTCAAAGTTCTCCCTAATGGATCTGCATTTACTTAGATAAATTTGAAAGGTGTCTTCATTGTCGAAGATGTTCTCAAACTCAATAGATTTGGCTTATTACTCATTTGCTAATTTATTTCTTAGTAGTCTGATAGCAACAAATATTGGATCAACTTTATTGATGAACAAAATGGATGAATCTAATATTCTATAAATAGTCATGATACCAGAGATACAATAGTTCCCAATGAGACTTGCATAGGGATTTTGAATTTTGGAGGGTTAAAAAATTGGAGCTTCGAAGTCATTTAAATTCACAAAAAATTAAATATCTCCAAAAGAAAATGCAGAATAGGATTCATTGTGTTCTAAGAAGTACTCATCTGTCATCAGATATTGATATTTTGAAGGCTCCATTTATATAAATTGGTAATTTAAAGATTAATAAAAAATCGGTTGAAGCAAGAATTTATGTTGTAATTTTATATACTATAAATTTAGTTTATGAGTCTTGATTTGTATAATATAAGAACCTATGTTTACTCATAATTTCTTTGATTTATTTATATTATCAAAAATATATGTCTAGAAATATAGGGGATTTTACTTTTAATTCTAACGAATGCATTGGATAAGGAACTCTAGGGAAAGTATGGTTAATTTATTAATAATTAGTTACATAAAGGGATCAATAAAAAGAATAACTAGGAAGTTGTCCTTCGATTGTTGTAGAAATCATTATTGAAAGATGACAACATAATGTCAGCAGCTTTGACCGAAGAGATGGCACTCATGCAAAAGCTCAAGCATCCCAAAATCAACCCAATAATAGAAGTCATTGAGTCCTAAACATTTTTCTATGTCGTTTGTCCTTATCGATAATCCAATTTGCAAACGTAATATTACAACTAAGTATTAGAATTCTGTAAAAGCAAAGAAAATTGCCTGAAACGGAAACAATCAAACTGATCAACGATCTCATCGATGGCTTTTCAGAATTAATTAAGCAAGGTATAATCCATAGAGATTTAAGACCTAGCAACATCCTTTACGACAATGGATCATATATTATTTCAGGTACTTATCAATGAATAAACAATCTAGATCCTGGTTTTGTTAAGACCATAGAAAGTTTCAAAAAGGACAATAAGACTAAACCCCAACAATTTTATTATTCTGCACCCCAGGTACTAGAAAATAAAGCTAAATATTCAAATAAATGTGATATTTGGTCTTTGGGAGTTATTGTTTATGAATGTCTTACTGGAATTTTACCTTTTCAGGCTTCCAGCATAGACGAGTATTTAAAATTCTGTCGATCTAAAAAGTTTGAAATTCAATAGGGTTAAATGTCTGGGGGGATGAAATCGTTTATAGAAGGGTGTCTAGTTTACCAAGAGGGTAATATTGTATTCATATAATCATAGAGAAAAGATTCGATTGGACTAAAGTGCTGTCTCATCCAATAATCAATGCCAAATTGCAAAATAAGAATGAAGAAATTGTGAAGGATAATAAGAAATATTTAATGACTCAAATAAGACAGAAGATAATCAAAAAGAACCTAGATTTGTAGGATGTTTATTAGAAAATAGATGCTAATCATAATGGATTACTAGATTTTGATGAATTTACAACATTTATCAGTATGATTGACAAGAAGGTAACAAAAGAAGATTGTTATTACATATTCTAATAGATAGATAAGGATGGAAGTAATAGCATCTCGTTTGATGAGTTTAAATTATGGATTAGTAGTAATAATACAAGAATGGCATTTTTCAAGATCAATAAGCCAGATAATTTATAAAATAAATAAACACAATTGCCTAAAAATAATAATAATTCACCATTAGATTTTGGATAATAAAAATAAAATCAATTTAACTAATAGGTACCCTAATAATAATAATAAATGAATCCATTTTAATAACCAGTTAACTATTAATAATAATAAGTGTAGTAGTAGTAGTAACCTATTGGTTATTAATAGCCATAATATTAATAATAGCCAATAGGTTATTAATAGCAATAGAATTAGTTTCCCGTTAATCCAAATCAGCCTCAATAACAATAATTCTTTCCCCAACCTTAACCTTAACCTTAAGTTCAACCTTCATTATTTCCTTAAAATTAAATGAAAAGTTCAGTGTCGATTCCAGCAGGAGCTGGTTTTGGAAGAAGTGATAAGCTAGAAAGAACAATTCTAATGATAAGAAATATTATAAAATCAAAGTAAATGGATGTGTTGAGTCTATTCTAATAATTTGATTATGATAAGGACAACTTCTTAAATTTCTAAGAATTTAGTCAATTAATATGGAGTTTAAACGGGTAATTAACGGTTGAAGAAATGGCAGATTTATTCAAAGTGTTCAATTTGAATAGTGATGAATACATATCATTTGTAGAATTCAGATTAGTAGCAAGTATGGCAAATGATAAAAAACAAAATGTGTAATAATAAGCACCAATGTATTAACCTATTTAATACAATAATAATAATAATTTTTAATAATTTCCACCTTAACCTAACAATCAACCTTAAAATATGTATTAAAATCCATATCAAAATCCAATGCAGCCTTAAAATCCTCAAATGAAAGGAGGTAATTAACAGCCAGTTCAAAACCATTATCCAATGATGAATGATCAATATTATTCGCCACAAGCTCAACCAAATAACTACCCCATTCATTAATTAGGCAACAACAATAATAAAGCTTAAAAGAAATAGAGTGATGCCTCTTAATTGGATATACTGAGTCTGAAATAAGCGAAAAAGGATAAAAAGTAAAAGGAAAGAGAGGACAGGGAAGCTAAAAAGAGACAATAACATTCATTTTCCCCTAAGGAAGAAAAACCGAAAAAACCAGTGGAGCAACCGCCAAGACCTCCTATGTTAACAAAATAAGATAAATAATCATCAATTTTAGAAACTCCTAAATATCCTACAGAAAAGATTGGGTCACAAAATAAAATACCTTCACCCCATCCCTCACCTAGATAAGATAAAAGAAAGGTGGAGTAACCAACAGTTACGTATGCTCAACCTAAAAATTAAGAAGAGAACTAGAATAAGCCAAAGTCCCCACCTCAGAGTTGGTATTAAAATAGATACACAACAGATTACAATTACAATACAATAGGTTCCAAATTGGATCAAGAATTAGCTGAGAGCACCAACATAATACAAAACTCCTCAATACCAAATTTTAATAACAAACCGTATAGAAAAGTGTTAGATGATAAGATAGACAAGTTTTATTATTCACGTAGATGAATTAATATTATTTTTATAATATATATTTAATATGCTAAAGATTAATATTTAGTAACATCAATTGAACTTCATAAAAGAAGAGTGCAGTTTAAGTAGTATAATTATTGATATCTCAAAAATGCTTGATTAATCCTTAATAGGATAAATTATCAATATTTTAAATCAATTGATTAAATTACACCAATTTAAATAATAGATTCAAATAATTAATTTCAATCTAAAATTGGGTTATTTTATCCCTAAAATGATTTAATTTAAGTTAACTCTTATTGGGATTGTCCAACAATTTGATATCTATTAGGTTCTTGAATTAATAATCATAAAGACTGAATATATCTAATTTTATAATCTATTACAAATTATTAGTATTAGATTTTTATTTTTATTTCTAAAATGAATTACATAAGGGAAAAGGTTTCTGGGAAGAAGAAACGTTTAATATAGGAGGGATACAATCTTGATCTGAGCTATGTTACAAAAAGAATAATTGCTATGAGTTATCCAGGAGAAGGATTAGAAGGTTTATATCGAAATCCAATTGATTAGGTGTGTGAAATCTTTATTATAATTAGGTTGCTGCCTATTTAAATACACAACATAATTAGGATTATATGGTTTTCAATTTAAGTGGTAGAAAATACGACTTTACGAAATTTAAAGGAATTTTACAAGATTCTTGGATTTGGAAGGATCATCATTCTCCTCCCTTGGATCTTCTATTTGAAATCTGTGATCTCATCCATGGCTATCTGAAAGGTGATATTGATATTGAGAATAGGTAACATAAACAACGTAGTGGTCATACATTGTCTTGCAGGCAAAGGCAGAACAGGCACTATTATATGTTGTTATCTACTCTACACAGGGAAATTCAAGTGTGTGAAAGATGTGCTTTATTATTATGGCAAGAAGAGATTTGAGAAAGAGGGCTTGGGAGTTAATCAACCTTGTTAAGTTAAATATGTAGAATACTTCCATACTCTGTTGACTACAGATTAAGTGATATATCCTACTGTGGTTACAATTAAAAGCATCACATTTTAGGGAAAGTAAGAATGCTTTCACAATTATAATTACAGAGCTCCTGCCTTCAGAATGAGTGGTGGTTGTAAACCATACATGGAAGTGATCCAAGTTAAAAATGATAAACAATTATATTCCACTTCAAGAGAAGCCAAAAAATATACAGGAAATTAACATGATGTATTTAAAGTATTAGCAATTAGCTATAACTGGATAAACCAATGCCTATTTATGGGGATATCCTTATTAAAGTGTTTAATGAAGGGATGTTATAAATAGAAAAAATGTTTAGACTGGCCTTCAATACAGCATTTATAGATGATTCATAATAGAAGTATTAATGTTTAGATTTTAAGTTAATTGTAATTCTCATTATAGGATTTGGATCCAAGTCAACTAACTGAAGACGAAAGATTTGATAAAAACTTTTAAGTGATTGTATTTTTATTATTTATATTAGATTAACAGATCAAAATAGAGGGCTGTACTAAGTGCAATAATAGAACAGATTTTGATATGTTATGTGAAATTTGCAAGGCCTATCTGAAATAGGAGGAGAAATAATGGATTAAAATAAATAGATAAATAAGAGAATACAAAGTACCTGATGATAATTTGGCTACGGAACTATTGTTTATTAAAAAAGAATTTGATGACATTGAGGATGCAATGTATCTAAAAAGAACTGAAAAAGATGGTGATCCAAAAGAACTTTTGGAGTTTGAGGAGAGAATAAAAGCAAAAACAATCGTATTTCCATAACAATAACTAATATCATAATAATAAATTCAGTAGTAAGTAAATGATAAACAAAATTAATGAAATTTTATTAATTTTTAATGCTTTCTTTTTTTTGAATCTAATTTAAAAGTATTATAATAATATATCAATTATCACAACGAATTATTAAAGTAACTTAATTCTTAATTTCTCCAAACAATAAGTGTAATCTAAGTTAATATGATATATGAATAATCGTTTGAAATAAGGCGTAATTAATTCAGAATTTGATAGATTATAAATGTGTATCATAATTTAACAAAGTGTATCTGCTTGAAATGAATAATAATTATAAATATATATTTTTGATTTGATCATAATTCATTTAGCTTTATTAATGGCTGATTAGAGTTCATCGGAAAATGCTTAAGTCATCAAAATATCTAATGCCTTTTCTATAAAACCAATTTCTCCACTGATGGCTGCTACTAGATCATCATGAATCTTTTGATTTTAAGAGAAATTGTTGTTTTCAGTAGTTAATCGATCTTAATACCCTGACAATTCTTTGCCTCTTGTATCTAATAATTTATTGGTATCTTCAATTTATACTAAGAGATAGAATGAACACATTACATGATCTTTATTCCCTTTCAGCATAAGCATCACCGTACTGTTTTTCAAATACTTATTTTTCATTTTCTAATTGGTTCATTCTATTTTCATGCAACAATTTCTATTAATCCTCATCATTGTAGGCTGCCTGTAAAGTTTCAACGAAATAGCCTCTCAATGATTGTAATAGATCAACCAATTGCTTTTGAACCTCTCTATCAGCGAAGTTCTACTTCTCACTTATTTACATAAGTGCCTAGATTATTGATCCAACATAGTCAGTAGATTTAGATGATTTCTTTTACAAGAATAAGAGATGATCATTAATTTTATCAACTTCTATAAATGAACCCTGACTGCATCTCTTAATGTATTCTAGAGTGTCATCAGTTGCTTTAATGGCTTCAGTGATTTCATTTGCTTATTGTTAGAATTATGCATTCTATTCAGCTCTCAATGCTTCTGCATTCTTTTTAGCAACTTCGTTTTTGCCCATATTCGTTTTCAGAGTTGTTAGTATTTCATTTAGTTCTTCTTTTCGAGGTTCATATTCTTAAGTTAATTTTTTCCTGTCTCTGTTAATAGCTAATCCACCTTCAGTTACCAGTGACTCGTACTGAATTCTGCGAGCATTATGATCTCCCAGTCTATTTTACCACTATATTAGGTAGTTATTATTACAATTGTGTTTTCTTCGTTCAATCTGTCTTCTTATTGACGACCAAAAGCCTTGAGAACTTCAATCAAGATGTCTACAGCACCAGAAGCCTCTAATTTTTGATAATGCTTATTACGTGCATCTCCAATTAAGCAAACTCAAACATCATCTTCCCCATTGGACCAGATTGAACAAATTCTCTAACAGCAGTTTGGGCTTCTGTTGTGAGTGTGGCCTGCTCATTCATTTATAGAGCTAATGCAGTTGAAATAAATAAGGCAACTATCATTAATTCGTTTTTTAATAAAATAATATTTTTATAATGAAAATATTGCTTATTCCTGCTGCACTCTATTTTGTTATTACTGGATGGTTCTTATTAACTGATTCTAAGTTACCCTATTACCCATTTTAGCATCTCTTCTATTTGATTCCCTATGTAAAATACATATGTAATTAGCCATAAATATAATCTTTGTTAATCATCTCATTGGGAGTTTGTGTATTCCTAGACAAGAGGCCGCTCCTGTATATTTTCCTGTTGTTAGCCCTTTCAGATATGAGTATCATATTATACGAAGCCTATTCTCTCTACATGCAGGAATTGAGTGAGGCACTTAATCAGTAACAATCGCAATTTATCGTTAAGTGTTGGGTACAAGTGCTTCCTCTTAGGCATTATTTTGGAATCAATGCGAAACAATGTGGAAGTACAGATAAGCAAAGAAAAATGAAAGAGAGTTGGTGTTTATTTTATATCAAATCGTCTATTTTACTTATTTAAATATTATTTCAATTTAAATTAAAATGGGAGTAAGACAATCAGCTGCAATAAAACAAGACTTTATATAACTCAATTGTAATAATTTGATTTCATATTCCAATAAATAGAAAAGAAAATTTCATTGTCTGGATTCACTTTTAAGGGACTATTGGAACATCATAGCAGAGGTTACATTTATAATTGGATTGTTGAATAGGATGGCAACCCTGACTTACTAGTAATGAAGATGATACCAAAATTGCAATTATACAATGAGAAGAAGATCAAAGCATATATCAGAGAATTATTCATGATGGTTTCATTGCAATTCCCCTTTTTAATCTAACCTTTTTATGCATTCCAAGACACCTACAACTTGTATTTGGTGTTAGAATATGTTCCTGGTGGAGATTTAAGAACCCAACTGAAGTTACAATCAATGAATGAAGGAGAAGCAAGTATAAATTAAATATTAAGAGAGAATAGAAATGTTGATAGCTCAATTATTAATAGCATTAAACTTTTTACATTAGAAAAGGGTAATTCACACGAATCTGAATCCGTGTAACATTCTTTTGGATAACAGTGGCTATATTAAATTATATGGTTTGCACTCTTCTAGTTGCGGTGGTTAATTCAGGATTGAAGACGATATCTCAGAGTATATGGCCCCGGAAGTATTACTAAGAGAGGAATTTGGATTCGAAGCAGATTACTATTCGATTGGAGTGTTGTTGTATGAAATAATGGCATAGAGAGTAAGGAATTTAATTGAGATAATAATTAGAAAATGTATGAATACAATTCGATTGACGATATGATTGACAATATTATCAATAAGCAAGTATCTGTAAAGAAGTCAGAATTATCTGAAGGTTGGTCTTTGGATGCTGCTGATTTCATAAATAAATTGATTTAGAAGGATCCCAAGAATCGTTTAGGTTACTATGGATTTCAGGATATAAAAAAGCATATCTGGATGGAAGGAGTGTAATGGTAGAAGATAGAGGAGAAGATTCTAGTCAATACATTCGTACCAAAATAAGTGCAATATTCTACGGCTATTCATAAGTAACCACCTCATACACATGCAATAGTGGAGACATAGGATTTTTAGAACTTGTTTAGTTTATTTTAATATAGATGGGATGAAGAAGTGAAAGAAATAGATTATTCTAGATTTATATGATCTATCATTATTATTATTATTATTTAGGTTTTCTTACTCTTTTCTTCTTCTCTTTTGGAGGTTCATAACCAGGAGGGAAATTATTGTTGGATTGTTTTCCAAAGGTTTCATCAACTTGCAATACTCTTGCACCTTCTCCAGCCTTCATGGCTCTCATTTACTAAGCAAGGGGATTGTCAGCAAAAGCAATGAACTATTTCTTGGGTGCCTCTTGCTGAACCTATTTGGTAGGAGTAGGAGCTCTCTCTTCGAATTTAATACTTGAGGGTCTAAATTAAACATCATATAATTCTTAGAACTTCCTATTGATTATCTCTTTACCATGATAATCAAAGAGTGAATATTAGTTGTCTACGTTCATTCTGGGAGTCACCTTTGCGCAAACATAATATCTACTACAGGGTGACCAATGACATAAGCTGGCTGATTTGTATTTGTTAGTACTAACTTATTTGAGAGTTTTAGCATCCCATATGTGAATGGAACCATCCAGATTTCCAAATCCACAGATCATAACAAATCTACCATTTCCCCATATAATCTTGTTCTTATGATCTTTTCCAAATTCAAAGAGAGGTTTACAATTGTTATCATACATAACAGCACCTGAAGGCATGAAACCAGACAGCAAGATGAATTCTTTAGAGGAAGGTGACCATTAGACATGATGAATGGGGCCTTCGTAAGTTGGCAATTCTCTAAGAGCATTTTTTGGGAAATCATAAAACAGAAGTTAATTTTAACCAAAATAACTTTTATTTGTATTGTCTTCATGAAATCCTTTATTTATCAATAGGGATTATCCATTTGGTGACCAAATCACTTCCAAATCGCTAGTTTAATGCAATTTCTTTTCATATTTGATTTTGCCATTCATATCAACTATCTTCAAAAAGGATTCCTTAATGTTGAAATCCATCACACTATAACAAACCACCAATGGTTTTGGTGTATTGGGTTAGACACTAAAATAATCGCAATTTCCAATATCAGTTTGATAGACACAGTAATTATCAGCATAACAATGCAATTTTTAATTTTGTATTATAAAGTAGTATTGATCATCAGATGAATATTTTAAGATAGGCCATGATTCTCTCTTGAAATTTTTAATATTAAAATTGATGCCCTTGGATTCTAATGAAGGAAACCTTAAGATTTGTAATTAAAATGATTGTTGATCCAATTTATCCATAACTATAAGATGCTATTTAGATTCTGTAAGATGGATATTCTACAAGTTTGTAAACTCGAGTTCCTTCACTTATTAATTATAATCATGGAGCTTGATGGATTACTTATTAAACATGACTATTTGATTTTCCAAAACGATCAATTAGGCATTTCCATCCTAATTAATCAATTGCATTTCCTCATCTGACTTAGCCAACATATTGGAAAGATAAACTCCATTTTTATTCCGAATTACCAACTGATGAGGAATGTTTTGCTCCATAATTAATTTATAATTAAATAATTTATTATTATTTCTAGACGCAGAATCATTTGTAATCGGCAACTCCTTCCAAAGTCTTCATTACTCTCTTGAACTGTCCTCCTTTCTGCTCCATGGCCTCCAACAACAACCCAACAGTATTCAATTGCTCTTCCCTAAGGTCAATCACGAATTTACAGTTATCTTTTTTCTATCTTATAAGCTGCCTCCTAATCATTACACATTTCCATCTTGGTTTATAGTAAATCTTTATTATTGTTAAGTGAGAATCTGGTCAAATCCTCACTCTATTCCAAAGAACTCAATTACTAACTTAAGGCAGCAGACTCATTGCCCAACTATCCGATTTCGAGATCAGCCTACTGTTTCTGTTTGTTGATCAATTTCAAGGTCTAGATAATCACATCTCCTTTGCTATCGTCAGCCTTCTCCTCTCTCCTCTTCACTTAAGCAATCCAATCCAAAATACTAGATGTGATATCAATGACTTAACTAGCCAATTTGTTTAGAGTTTCTTCTGAATCATCATAGATAATGTTTCCTTCCTTGATGTCATGCATCTACTAACATAAATCTTCAATGCCTTAAACCAATTGAGTAACTCCATTCTGTATATAAATATATTATGAATACCATTTCCAATCCAGTCTTGACTCTCTAAATAGCCACAATAATTTGAATGAATGCATACTTCTCATTGTGTTGTCTCTCCTCCTCTTCTTCATCATAGTCATCATCATCATTATTAAATGGAGTTTCATCGTCATCCCAGTACTAATTATCTCTAATTGCTGCTTTTCTCTGTCTATTCTATCTCAATGACAAGTAACCAATAAATTTATTCCTGATTTCCACTATAACTACCATAGCCTTATCCAGTTAATCTTGATTGTAATTGAAAAACAATTATTCTGCCTCTCTCAATTCGATATACCTGGTTTCTTGGTGATCAAGTTCTTGTCTCATCTTATTTTTCTAATGAAATCGGTGTATTATCAGATCATAACGAGGTTATTTACGTGCCCTGGTTATTTAAATATCTCTCTATATATATTATATATTTTATTCGATTACTAATTTACGATTCAACTCCTCATCATTAGTCTTCAATTCCTTTATCTCCTAATTGCATTTCTCTTGTGATTGTTTGAACTGTTGCACTCCTTCCTCCAATCTTCTATCCACACTATTGTAAAAGTTGGCGATGTCTCTAATTATCTTCTCAACTGGATCATTCATTTATATTTTCTCCAAAAAGGATCGACCAAAGTCAGTTTATCTCATCTACATATTCTTGAGTTATTACTTCTTTGAGTGTACTTTCCAAATCAGATCCCATTACACCTATGAATAGCAACACACATATGAATTGCTTCATTATTATTATAAAAACGATTAAATATGAATGTTCAAGTTGGAAAGTTTTAATTCAATTCTCGCTTTTGTTTAGGAGAGGGGGCCTATGGAAAAGTGTTTCTGGGATAAGACACAGAAAACAATGAACAAGTGGCTATCAAATAAATAGACACCAAATTCATCGAGTAACAAGACAAGTATATTAAATAACAGATCATCAATGAAATCGAAATACTAAAGAAATGCAATCATCCCAACATTGTTAGATTTATTGATTTGATTGACACTCCCAAATACATCTACATTATTATTGAATATTGCAAGGATGGAGATCTAAAGGAACTATTGAATCAAAAAAGATTAAGCGAAGTGGAATCATTCGACGTCCTCAGACAAATAGTTGAAGGATTCAAAGAATTACAAAAACATAGCATTATTCATAGAGATTTGAAACCAGCCAATATTTTGATAAACAATGGAATTTTCAAAATTGCTGATTTTGGGTTTGCCAAAATAGTGAACAATTATTCAAGCACAAATATGCTCAAATCTTTGGTTGGATCCCCCTATTACATGGCACCTCAATTGCTTGGTTATTAATAATACTGTTTCAAATGTGATATTTGGTCATTGGCAGTCATCTATTTCGAAATGGTTTTTGGGAATCTCCCTTGGTTAGCAAGTGATCCTTAATCCTTATTAAAAAAGATCCTCAATCAGCCAATCATTGAGAAATTGAAATAAGCCAAAATTAGTTAATTCAGCATGTACTTCTTAGAAAAGACTTTGACAATTGATGAATTCAGAAGACCAAATTGGCAAGAAGTAGTTTAAATAATTAATACTTCCCCTTTGATGAAGGCCGATAAAAATTCAATTCCACAACCATAATCCCAGAGTAAACCCAATATTTTAGAAGTAAGTGCTTCATGTGATACCAAATCAAATATCAATTCAATCTAACCAGAATAGTAGAAGAAAAGGTAAGAGATCATATTCAAACATTACATATGTTAAGAAATCTTAGTTAATAAGTCAGAGATTTTGTAATTCTGCGATGGCAACAACGTATTATTGAAATTAGCCTTTTGTTTATCAAAATGGGTTTTAATTTTGAGTCAATAATTACTGAAGGAATTACCAGAATTGAAAAGAGAACATGAATTTTATGTACAGTTTATGCATGATATTGAAGAATTGAGGTTGTCATGTGAATTTAGCATTGACAGAGTTCCTTAAATTTGTCAAGATTATTGCATAGAATATCTGACAATAGCATAGAAGAATTTGTAAAATATCAGTGAAACATATTTATTGGTTTTAACAGAATATTTGATCAATTTTGCAAGAGTATTAAGAGATGGAAAGGATTCACCAATTGATTATGAAGAATTAGCTTAGAGTAAATTGAATGACTACGATTTTCAATTGTATCATGATATTCTTAGAACGAATTTGAGTGCAATTGTTATTTGATTTGATAATTTTTATTATAATTATAAATGTCGTAACTTCTAATGGTGTGGCTAAATGACGAAGTGCAATTAAGTAAGAAGGTAACATCATTCGAGCATGATTTCAGTAATGGATATCTATTTGGTGAATTGTTGAGCAAATTCAATCAATAGCTTAATTTTGAGGAGTTCTCGAATAAGTAAGAAATAAGGTAATGAGATAGAGATGTTCGAGAAGCCAAAATGAAGAATTTCTAATTACTAGAACCGACATTTAAGACACTCCACATTTCATTTAATTTTTAGATAGCAGATTAAGTTATCAAGGGTAAAAGGGGTGTGGCAATGCAATTATTATATCAATTATAAATGGTATGAGAAATCTGATATTTTAAAGTAATTGTAAAAAGTGAATGATCCACATGATGTAATGATGCATGCTAAAACAGGGAAATATAATGTGATACAGCCTTTAATGGTCATTCGATAACCTAAAGATTAATTTGATAAGATGGAATAAGATTTCTTTATGCAGAAATTGAATGAGAGAAATAAGGCTCAGAAAGATGTTAATTTGGAGAGACATCTGGGCAAATTTACAACATTCGCAATTTAATAGGCAGAAAAAGAGAGAAGATTAAAGATAAAGGAGGAAACTGAAGAGAGGAATCTTAAAGAAGAAATGCGAAAGATACAATTGAATAAATTATAAAGAAATATGGCATTTATGGAGGATTGGAATTAAAAGGGAATTGAAAATTGGAAGAAGAATTAGTAGATTAGACATAAAAATAAAGTAAATGATGATAAATTTAAATCTACCATGTAGAAAATGGCAGAGGATAGATTGGTTTAGACCTAATAGTTTTTGAAAGGGGAAATGGAGTAGTAGATTGAATAATTTGAAAATAGATAAAAAGAGGAACCTGTTAGTTTGGGATTGAGAAATAAGATGATGAATGAATTCATGAGGAAGGAGAGAGATAAAAGGAGAAGAAAGATGATTGTAGATTAGGAGAAGTAGACAGATGAATTATAAAGAAGAGAGTATTGTGTTTTGGAGAAACTAAAATAGTAGAGTAGATAAGAGAAAGAAATAATGTATGAGATATGGAGAGCATTTTAATGTAAAGAAGTGATTTGTGAAAATAGATAGTTGAGAGATGACAATTATAGAAATAAGCAGGAATTGAATGTAATCAATCAGAAATTCAAAGAGGAAGAAATGTTGAGATCATTATAATAAGAATTCAATGAAGAAATTGAATTACAATAGAAGAGGTAATTAGAAATCAATGTTGAATATAAATTGTTGATTAGACAATAGAATTATGAGAAATGCCGAAAATTAGTTGAAATTCTATTTGAAATTGAAGAATAAGTATATGAACATTTATAAAACCATGATTCAAATCAAATAAATGAGTAATTCACTAGAGAAAACAACCATTTATTTGAATAAGGAATGGAATTAATTCCTTATAAAAGATTTAGAACTTATGATCCAATAAAGGAATTGAAGAAATAAGAGAATTAAAATTATAAATAAAAAATGTTTTTGGCTAAAATGGAGATGTAAGACTATTTAGAAGGAACTGGAGCATGGAGTATCTATAAAGCATAAAATAACTATACTCTTGGGAATGTTGTTAGATATTTAATTGAGAGTTAATTTAAAATTACTGATGAAGAAGAACAAGAATTAAATATTCCTTATGTTCCATTTAGAGGTTCATTGATAGGATTTGCATTTAGTGGTAAGAGAACTATCAGTGAGTTATTGAGCAAGAAATATGGAATTACTGTATTGTGTGTTGATGTCATAATTAATGAGTTATTGGAATATATAAGTAAATATTAGTAAGGAGAGGAGCACTCTCAGGTTTGGGATCAACAATAAATAGAATTGGGTCAATCAATATCCAATTATCTCTTAGAAGGAGAAAATATTCCTGATGAGTTGTATATCAAAGCTATTGTGTAGAAGATCAAAAGAACATTTAACTAGTAAACATTTGAAGAGATTTATGAGGAACAAAAAGAAAAATGCCAAAATCATAATGTTAGGACAGTTAAAACTATTGATGATTTCAATGAGGATGGTATCAATTGGGAAGATTTTCATCGAAACAACATGATAAATAACAAACCTTATTGCAAAGGATGGCTATTGGTTGGGTTTCCTCATACTTATGATTAAGCAAAATTACTGGAAAAATATCTAACTAATATACAACCATAAGATGAACCTACAGCTTTATAGACTAGACTCTAAGAAGCTGCTAGAATAGTTAGACCAAATGAATATTAAATAGTACCAAGGACTAAACAGGAGAGTGGAGTTGGAGTTTGCGTTTATTTGGAAATGCCATCCAATGAAATGTGTCTAAGAAGAGCTATTGGAAGAAGATATGATAATCATAACCATTCTTTATATCATCTAGATACGAATCCTCCTCCTGTTGACAATGCTCCTTTAATTGAACGAATCAAACCATTATATGAAGTAGACAATCTTTAAGAGTAGATCTCAGATAAAAATTCGTATTTTATGACTCAAATAGAGGGAGTCAGAAATTGGTATAATAGTTTTGAATCTAAGTGTGGTTCCAATATCTAAAATGCATTTACAAGTGTGGATGCATCCAATAATTATGAGAGAGTATTCTATGATGTGGATTAGGTATTCCAAAACTTTCTTTAAATTCAACTTAATTAAATCTAATAAAAATACTAAGCCTAATAGAATAAAATATTGGAATAAGAAGAATTACTCAAATAATAATAGGAATAAGAAGAATTAGACAAGAAATGTTAATATAAATAAGTACAATTAGATACATTGCCTGTAAAATAGCCAAATTAGGCATTATTAAAGTATCTAAATAGTTTTTGGAATCAAATTGAAAATAAATATATGTCACTTTAAAATATTTTCAAGGGATTCAGAGAATAACGAGAATTCATTACTAATTATTAAATGGATGTCCAACGCAAATTTATTGATTTAATTAATACACCAGATGAAAAGTTCTTCTTTATTAGAAATTTCTAAGAATAATACAACGAATTTATATTGGAGAACCCTGATTTATGCGAAGAAGATGTGTGTAAGGAGGAATTGCATTAGAGAGTTGATGATTTATATGATTAATTAATAGATATAATTGATCAAAAAAAAAATGACTTGACAGTAGAAAAATCACAAATCTAAAACTCGTAATTTATAGAAAATGAAATTGATCTCTATCTATTATATTTAAAGTAAATGCTAGCAATTGAATTAGATCGAGCATCCAATTCGATTTAATTGTTAAATGATTATTATGGAGCATTAGAGGGTATTGAATTATAAGATATATAACCACCGGTTGGAGAATTATAATTGATAGATAGTGATGACCCACAAATTAGATTGGATAAATTAATAGCAGATACTTTGAGAATATTTGCTGGAGAAGAAGAAATCGTTGAAGACAAAACAAAAAAAGGAGCTAAACAACCTGCAAAGAAAGAAGAGAAAAAGGGGAAAAAAGGAAAAGAGGAAGAAGTTATAAAGAAGGAACTATAAAATGCAGAAGCATTAAATGCTATCAATTTAGAAAAGCAAATATTTAAAGAAAGAGTTGATGTAATCAAAAGATATGCTTCATAATCTATTCTAAAATATAAATAGGCTGCTGATCTCTTGTATTCTAAACTAGATGAATGGATTCATTATACTCATTTAACTGAAATCAAAGCATTAGATGCCATATCTAATCTATTCAGAGGATATATTGAAAGAGGTGAAAGAATTTAAAAGGAAATCTAATTACAATTTGTTGATGTCATCGTCAACCATGAAGTTCTGAATTTCTTGACTCCTATTCCTCCTCCTTTGACAGCCAGAGAACCTTTGAGTAAGGATAGATTTTCCATATCTCAATTATATTATTTAATTGAAGACTTACGAGCTATCACTAGTACTCATTTGCTGATTGATATTAAACAACTTGCTTTGCTCTTATCTAGATCCTCGTATGGGGTACTTAAACTATCCCCAGCATAATGGATGAGAGTTCTCAAAGTACTTGATCAAAATGGGTATTTTACTTCCTCTATTTAGTTATGTGAATGTCAGATAAATTTGTACATATTTGATCTTATTGCAATCCCCAGTTCCAAAGGAAGAGGAATTGCAAATGTATTAAGCTTAATTAAATGGGCCTTTGGTTAGTAAAGAGAACTTTGTGAATACACCAGCTTGGTTTGATGAATTCGAGAAGGTTTCAGAGGAAGAAAGTATGTATTTATAATAGAGTTTTAGATACAAACTATTTTGATAGAATTATTTATATAAAAGAACTGTTATTCTTTGTTCATAAAGATGAAAATGATTAATTAGCTACAAAATACTTTTTAGACATTCTGAATGTCAAAGGAGATAGATTCATTGACTTTTTGTTTTAAAATCTTCAAGAGTTATGATATTTTCATTTAGATTATATTTTATATCACAATAATTGAGATGAAGATAACAATAAAAATTATAATATTTGTTTATTTATATAATTCATTTTTAAGTGGAGATTCTTGGCCTTGATACCTTTATTAGATCGTTTTCATCTTGTGTCGCTTGTTCCTTCGATTATTATTAACAGAATGATATTTCTTACAATATTTTATCATTAGTTTAATAATTTAAATTTAGTTCAAAATCACATTATGAATCTAATCTATAAAGTAAGTAATCAATGTATTCATTAAGTTCACTTAAACCTTTGTTTATATGAATGCATACCACTTTACTAAAATTATGTGATTAATACTTAATCTAGATTATCTAGAGTTTGCAAACTTTCATCGAACAAGATTTTACTAATGATGGGTATTCGATCTTCAGGATTTATGTTCTATTTACTAAATTCCTGTTCCACTTTTTAAATCCCTTCTATTAATTGTTTTATATTATTCATAATATTCAAAACTTTAAAAGTCAATTAACAATCCCAGTTACCAAAATTTCTCCATTGCTATCAATAGAGTATTCCTGGTTCCATTCAAATTGTTCTGAGGACGAGGATGATTCAAAATCTAAATTGAATGGTTCGACAGACTTAATGATTTATGAACTCTAGGATTTTGATTCCTATTTTATTGGTGAGTAATCAATCATTTGAATATCTTACTAAATAACTTACAATTTCTCCTTCTTCTTCACAATCATACTTTGAAGTATTTATGAATATGGTTCTTGTTCATTTTCCAAAGTTATCGAAGGACGAGGATTTTGAGACGGAAGAAATGAATGAAGAGATTCTTCAGAAACAGAATTCTCAACTTGCTATTCAACATCCTAATGCACTTGAATCTTGATCACATCTTCAACATATACTTCCTGTTTGAATTCCAAATCAAGATCATTTACTAATATATCTCCATATCAATGATACTAATATCGTAAATCAACTCTATTACAATGTTTATGTTATTTAAGATATTTGTGTTATTATTTATTTATTCCACAACTTAATCAGTTTGAATCTATTTTGATTCCTTTCTCTTTATTTAAGAATTTGAACACACGGGTCCCATTTTTGCTGTTTAATTAAAGAAATTAATTGTATTATTTACATCGTAATTACAACACAACTCAACTCAAATTTTAGCTTAAAAATTGAGTAATTAATAGTTAACTTATTTTCAAATGTAATCTTTCACATCATCTTAAATCTAATATTATTATTTAGTTTAAAATTATTATAGTAAAGAAATAATTTTATATAATCATTCCAATTTTTTAGATTTATTCTCTTAAATAATATCTTTGATATTTGCGGGTGAATTTATTATATAAACATCTTCATCCATTTCCTCTTGAAGTTCTAAATTAAATTCAAGTTAATCTAGAATTACACAATCGTCTTCAACACTCTTCTGAATTATAGTATTAGTGTCTGAACAATAAATGATATCAGATCCTAAATTTACTTTGTATTTCTTTTAAACAAATACTTGTATAACTTAATCCAATTTATATATATATTTACATGTTTTGTTTTATTCAAAGTTTTTAGGAAACTCCTCAGCTGTTCTATAAATCAAATTATCCAAATCTGAATTGATCTGAGTTAATTCATTTGTCATCTGATCTAATTCCAATTACAACAAATCTAATTTAGAACTAATCCTCTATGTCATTATACTCAATGCTACTTTACTGACAATTTATTCTGCTATAATTCCACCAATCTAAATCATTAATTCAACATTTTTACAAATAAACCCAAATTTACATTGCTTAATTTACTAACTGCAATGCCTCCTTTGAATAAAAATTAACTAATAAAGGATTTCCCAGATTCCAAAAATGAATTATTTTTTATTAATCCATTTGCACAGAACTCCTTTATCTTCTCAGTTGCTATCTCTTAAACATTCTAAATGAACCCTCCCATCTATATGTAAAATTTATATAACCATTACAATATTATCCAAATATTTCTAATACAAAGTTTAATCTTTTTGCAATGTCTAAAATTATTCAACAGTAAAGTCCACAAACTTATAGGTATGTATTCTCCTTAACAAATCGTAAGCGTATTCAACTTGAGCTTGGTAATAAGAGAGATACAATGTTAATGTATCAACCTGCTTCTCTAAATCAATGTAATAGTCTATTACTTAGATCATTTTCAAAAATTTTCTCCAACTTTTTGACATCTATCTCATATCTCACATTCAACTTCAAATCTTAATATGTAAGTTTCTTTGCATATGCTTCTCTAACGTTTTGCAAATATCTTAAAAACAATTATTTATCTATCTGTTTCACAAATTCAAACCATTAATCAGGTTACAAATTTTCATAGACTACTTCTCTCCATAATGAAAAAGTATTAGGAGCAAAAGGTGCAGAAATTAATTCATAGTTTAGGCAAGCCTCGGATTTCTCTATAAATTTTACAATGTTCTCAAAATTCATTATAAATAATATAGTATTATTGTAACTTAAGATAACTCGTTCATTTTGTTCATTTACTCTCAAATATATCTTTGTTATTCTTCAAAACTCATTTTAGAGATAATTCAACATTTTAATATGATTTCACTCTATTTTAATAGTATCTTTAAAAGATTTTATTTATCTTCCCGCATTTTTATAATGATGCGAATTAAGATATTTCAAATAAATTAAACCCTTTAGCTTTTCAAGTATGTTCTGGCCCTTGAAAACTAATTTCCTTTGATTATTTAAATATTTAAACATCGTCAACCAGCAAAAATTGAATTTAATATTTACATAAAAAAATATCATTCATTCTTCATCCTAATCTTTTTCCTTATGTCTACTCATGTATAATCTAATCAATTATTTTGTTTTCAGTAATTTTATTTACGTTATCTTATCACATGGTTTTTAAGGATTGAACTTTTAATGATGAGATCTAATCTTATTAAACTTAGTATTACCTGCATTAACTTGGTGTTCTTGTTCCTATTACTTGGCTCATTCTTTTAAATAGTCTTTGGCCCTTGCTATGATTGACATTTTCTTGTAAAAAACGAAGATATGATTCGTGTTCCTCTTAATTCCAATGTCCAGACTTCTTTGATATCTTTTTCGAACTCTCCTATACATCACATTAGTATTTCGTAACTTCTGAATCGATTAAAGGCATTACTTTGTTATTTAAATTAAATATATATACCAAGATTTTATTATTATTCCGAATCATTATATAATCATTTAATCTCATCATCTGTTTATTTCAAATTTACCATTCTCTTGAGATTATTATGAAATCTTATAGAATGCATATGAATTGTAAAATTCTAAATTATTTTTTGCAATTCCGCTATTATCGTTTTGCACCCTTTGCCATGCATATCATAATATTAAATATCCGAATGTCACTTAAGATTGAATTATTAAACGATTACTTTTATATTTATAACCATTATATCATTTTATTTATAACAATAATTTTCATACTAGGTTTAGGATCACAATTCAAAACCATTTGTAATGTGATGATACTATTGGCAAACACTTAGTTCTCTTTTTGATAAAGATCTTTTAGATTGTAAAGGATTACTCTAATTATATAAATAATTAATCTAATCTAAAAATAACGAATTTTGTATTAATATGTAATATTAAATAATGAACAACAAAACAACCCAATTTTTTAAGTTTTATACATAATAAATGAAAATTATACACATGATTTATTAGAACATTCCACAATCAAATTTTATACCTAATCAGAATTAATAATACAGTAATAAATGTAAATATTGTATTATTATAAATTACGAAATATTGCTCGTATTTTCATGAATTCATTAATATTTTGAATTAACTTATTTAACTCATTAATTATCTATATATTCTTCAGAAAGCTAAATAAATGATTTCCAAAAGCATAAATAATTAACTATGAAAAAGATCCATAATTTTACTCTTAAATCACTAATTGATAAATTACATATTAAATTATTAATATTGTTTTGAATGAGTGTTATAAAATTGCTCACAAATGCATTCATGCTAGCTGATTTTTCTCAGAAAAACATTTGAATTATTATTATAATTTTCAGTAGTAATAAGATGCTATCATATAGAAAATTTTAAGACAAAGAGAAATAATAATTAATTTGAATTTATAAAATATGAAGTATTTAAAATGAAATAAATTATAAATTGCATTAGTTCAAAGTCTTAGCTCTATTTAATTTTATCCATTCCTAATTGTATGAGTTTCAATTTCAGTAATTATAAGGATTGTAACATAGTTCCATTATAATAGAAGCCATACTACTATGTTGAAATCTAAGAATTTAGTTAATAGAATTAGGATTGAAAGCTATGTATGAGATTTGGATATGATTTAATTTAAACTATCTAATGTTGTGTGATTTAAAATCTTGTGGTTTATTTAGATATTTAATAATTAATAAACAGAATCATAAAATTAATGTAATTGGTAGAGTAATGTTCTAAGAGTTATAAAGAATGAATATCTAGTTTCAATTAAAATCCATTGATTATAATTTTATTATTTTATAATGGGTACTTCACCATGTTTCAAAAAGAAGAAAAAAGTGATTGCAAAGATAGGCCATCGATCATAGTTAAGTGATAAGAGCATAAGAGTAAGTGATGTTCAAATATGAGAGTTAATACATGAAGACTTTGTAGAGTAAATAGCTGATGATTAAGGGGAGAAGGAAGAAGATGTAAATTAGATAAATAAGAATAGAACATAGTATATGATTACATTGAGGGGGATTTGATTTAGGAGGGATGCAATGTTTATTGTGCATTGAATACATTGAATGGGTAGCTTTTGGCATTCAAAATAGTATTTAGTCATATGAGAATAGTTTAAATTAAGTATGCAGGATGATTTCAACAATATAATTAATTTCGTAGACTAGCTAACAAGGTTGGAATTGAAAAATGTGCATAAAATAATAGGATGGGATTATTCAATATAAAATAATGAGGAAGTTAAAGATGAGATAAGAATTCTAATGCCATATGAAAGTGGTGGTTCAATAAGTTGGTTGTTGTAGAAGTTCAATTCATTTTCTAGTCAATTGGCTCTAATGTTTATGAAGTAAATATTATAAGGATTGGAATGTCTCCACAATTCTGGAATTCTGCATAAGTATCATCTAAATTTAATAAGGAATTTAAAAACATCCAACGTTTTAGTAGATGGCGAAGCAAATGCAAAGTTGAGTGATATCTATATTTTGAAGGATTATAAATTGTCAGTCTATAGTGCTCCAGAGTGTTTCAAGGGTTAAGAATATTGTGAATAATCTGATTTGTGGAGTGCTGGTTGTATCTTTATTGAAATGTTGACAAGGGTATAGCCTTGGCATTATTTATCTGTAAACATCAATCTCGAATAGATTAGGATGTGCATTGATTAAGGATGTATATATTCTGATTAAAATACAATAGAGTTATTTCCTTATTAAGAAATCACTAAGAACGAAGAGATTTTGTAAATATTCAATTCAATCTTTAAGATCAATCCCAAAGAGAGAGCAACATCTGCTGAGTTACTTAATCATTCTCTCTTTAGAAGTGATTTAATATTCATGTTATTGTAGATCTGGAAAGTGAACCCTTGAAATCAGAAATCATTTCTACTAGAAGATAGTTACAAATTAGAAATGATGACAGAAAATCATATAAAATTTAGAATAGCAATGTTTCAAATTCAAGTATACGGTACTCTATTCGAAGAAGTCACAATCCTTATTCGACTAAATATCAACATGTTCTATAACAATTGAAATCTATTCACCTTGATTTTAAGAATACTAATAACCATTTTGATAGTCAATTATTATCTTATATTGATATTTAGAATGTCCTATCAAAGAAGATCTAAATGGAAACTAAATTAAAAGAGATTAGCATTCAATAAGCCAATTAAGATAAAAATAATCGATAGTCTCGACCTAAGGAAATATCTTCATTAAACAGATATAATTAGACTGGAGACTATTCCTTTTCAAAGTAGAATCATCTAAGAATTCCAAGTCTGAACAAATCCTTAAATAGTAGTTATGATAGAGTATAGACTATTAGATAAGTTGATCCTTCAATTAGAATCAATGGTCTAAGAAGGAATGCTGAGGAGATCCAGAAATTAGAAGAACTCATGTTTTAATAATTCTACTTAGATTAAAATAATAACAATGAGCATTATTCTAAATCTAATCTGAATGATATTGAAAAAATGATGATGGAATAATTTCAATCTTCACTATTTAAATCTTCTATATCTGATTAAAAGTAATAACCTGTTCAATAACCAATCCCAGTAACCTCAGAGATCATTAATTAATAATCTCCTAATTATTTTGAAAAGCTAATGTAAGATTAATTTTTCTAGGATAATGATTCAGAAGTTGATGAATTACAATAATTGGAAGATCTGATTAACCAATAGTTTTATTAAGATTATAAGAAATAGGGTACTAACAATGAAGAATAAAAAGTTCAATAGAAAAAGATTCAAGAGAATTTATCAATTGTTGGTATTTTTAATTTATTAAGTAGCCTTTGATTAACTTATTTAATCTCCAAAAATTAACACGATAGATGATGATTTTTTAATAATGTTAGAATGAAAATATTAATATTTGTGAATAATATTATTATTTGTATCAAAATGATATACATTCTATTTGTCCCTTCTAATTAAGAATGTTCAATTAAGCATTCTAGATTTTATTTCACACATTTCAATTATAATTTATGCTTATATAGTTATCTTAGATAAGAAACAAAAAAAAACATAGAATCATCCCCACCAAATGGGTTTAGGTGCTTCTGAATATTGCTTCTATTGAACTTATTCGTGATTATGTGCTTTATTTACATACAGATTTTGGATTTGAGAAGAAGAACTATTGATGTAAGGTATAGCATTCTATTGAATTACACTAATCTTTAAATTCTGTTATTTTTCTAGTAATTTCTTTTGTCTGATTCTTTCCATCTCAAGCATTTGGACTGAATTGGCAATTGATTTCGATCTGTCCTCGTGTAATGAATTGATTTGTCCCTGTTACTACTATTGATATCTATCACTCTTTAACGGTGGAACAGAACAATGCGGTCTAATTTCTTTTGGGTTATTGATTTTAGGCAGAAAGGAACTATTCACTTAATATTCATCATATGATTTATTGGCACTCTCAATGAGATATTTAGATTTAGGGAGCTTCTCCTTAAGATGTTTCAAATTCTTAGGCAATTTAATGGTCTATAGAAGCACATTGGAACCAGCCTAGGATGATTAAGTTTATTAAGAAATTCTACTTTCAGTAATAAATTGTCTAGCATTTCTTAAAAGAATTGGATTGCTTAGTAGCTAAGCACAAGAAGGCCTTGATTTGCTTTGCACTTATAAACATAACCCAATGATGTTCATCAATTCTCCACTAAATTTAGACGGAATTCGTTCAAACAACCCTCTTTGCACTTTCTTATACAGCCCTTCCATATTTTAGGCTCTGAAGGGAGGTTTAAGTGCAGCCATCTCATATGCAACACAGCCCAAACTCCAGATATCACTTTTTGCATCATATGGCTAATCTCTCCAGACTTCAGGACTGGCATAATACGGAGTTCCAGTTTGAGTATATACTAAATCCTTTTTGGCAACTTTAGAAACATTCATATCTCCAAGTTTGTAGTTGCTTTGGTGCAGAAATACATTTGCTGACTTTAAATCTCGATGTAGAATCTTCATATGATGTAACGTTCGCAAGGCTAAAGATTAAGTATTAGAATGTTAGTACCTAATAAAACCTAGTAAATCATTTTCCAGATTTCTATTTCCTAAAAGTATTGCTTATGTTAAATGTGCTATTAGATATGTTATTATAAATCTCCTTAATCTGCATATTCCATTACAATGCACAAACATTAAGATTATTCTTCATAAAATGCTTCCTTATAGCCTATGATATTTGGATGCTAGATGCTAGCCAATATTCGAATTTCATTCAACGAGTTCTCTTTCTCCTTTTCCTTCAATTATCCCATTCTCACTTTCTTCATCGCATACTCTTATTGATCTGATTGTCTTTTAACTTTCAACACCGTAGAAAACGATCCTATATTACAATTGAGTTTTATATTACCTTCTCCCAACTTCTCAAAAACAACGAAGTTTTTCATCATTATAAATTTAATAAAATGGAAAGTTCAAAAACCTAGCTTCAAGATATGGGATTTACTGATGAGTAAATAACAAATGCTATCAATTCCACCAATTCAACTGATATTGAGGTGTCATTATAAAATATCTATAGGTTTTGATTACATACATTGAGAGTTAGACTTCGGATAATCCATAACCATAATAGTAACAAGCAGGAGCTTAATAATTTGATTCAATAACAAAGTATGTTAATGAAGAGCATGTGGCTATTTTGATGAGTGAAGGTCATTCAAAGAATGTAGCAGAAAAATCCTTATTGCTGTCTTAAAATTAAGGTGTGGAAGCTGCAAAATAATGGATTGAGGAGCACAAAAATGATTAGGATTTTGAAGAGGAATTACAAATAGTTGGCAATGGCAAAAAGATATCACCTGAAGAGGCTGCATTTAAAGCCAGAGAACTATAATAGAAGCTTCGAGAAAAAAGGAGAATCGCTGAAGAATAGGCTGCTTTTGAATAAGAAAAAAACAGAATTGCTTCTGGAAAAGCAATGAATGATGTTAGAAGAGAGTTAGATGAATAGAAAAAGAAACAAGAGGCATTGAAAGCAAAAAGAGAAAGAGAGCAATTTTTAAAAGATAAGTAGGAAATGGAAGAATAATTGAGAAGAGAAAAAGAAGCCAGATTCGGAAAATCCTATGCTCAATCTAATTAATAACAATAGTAATAAAAAAAATACTCTCCTATTGAATTATTTGAATTAGGCATCAAACAAATTAAAGTGGCTTATCCACCTGATCTTATACCTGACACTGCTTATAATTCATTGACACTTATCTAAAAAATTCTTGGTATTAATTAATTAATCTTAAATTTTAGAGAACATATTAAAAAATCCTTAAGAAGAGAAGTTTCGAAAAATCTCATTAACTTCTTAAGCTTATTTGACTAAAATTGATTAAGTTTTAGGAGCAAGAAATGCTCTGGATGGATTGGGATTTGAAGAAAATAATGGATTCTATGTATTTCAAAGTGCAGATGTTTCCAATTTGCAAAAGGCCATATCAATAGTGTAGAATGAATTAAAATGAAAATGAGATAAATTAAAAATCATTTATTAAATAATTGGAATTTCCTTTGGTTCATTGCATTAAAACAAGAATCGAAATATTTGTTATTAAGAAAATATTTTTTCTCCTACTTTTCTTTGGTGTATCTACAAGTATTCAAACACAACCCATTTAGTTCACGAATGGTCAAACATATCAAACCTTACAACACTGATAAATAAATTAAATACTTCTCTTGGACTTTCTTTGTGGCATGCAATATTACGTTGCTTTAACTTTTAATACTAATTTTATGCCGCCTCTAACGGAGGTAAAGATATTATTCTTTTTCTTGATCTTGTTGTTGGAGATCTTGTGAATTATCTCGTTAAACTTGATTTTAATATTCGTCTGTTTAAATCTATTGCTTGACTATCTGTCTACATTAAAATTATTATTATTAAATTTATTATATTCCAAATTTACTCATATCATCTACTGGTTCTAATGGAACAATATGATGACATTTCTCATTAAAAATATCTTTGTGTAGTGAGCAGTTGGAATTGTTATTGGCCAATTATTGATGTATTTTTTAATAAAAATGCGAGGTTTTATATATATAGATGGAATTGATAGTTATTGATTACAATGAAATTATGAATGTAACACTCTAAATTCTATTTAAGACATTTAATAATTATAATCGATTCCAATTATCAGAATCTTACTCTGCTATATCCTCAGAAAGTTTCTTCCGTTAATAATTTTAATAATATAATTTTTCTATGTATTTTCTTTTATATTGTAATAGCTATACTGGACTTTCTTTGTGATTAAATATTTAGTTTTTATAGTCCTTAGCATTTCAATAGATAATTTTATTTGGATTGCTAAAAGATGTTAATCGTTAGAATAATTGGAGAGGTTTATATATTTAGATAAGTAGAATTTTCAAATCTTAGATTATTAAGTAAGTATGTAAGTAAGAGATCCTAAACACAATTATTAATTCTAACAATATCTAAGATATTTTGAACTAATATCAAGAATTTTATACTCTGATATAAAATTGCTTAGTTTATCGTTAATAGTAATTATGAAATAGATAATAATTAATAGAGTAATAGCAAATAATTGGCTAATGATGGAATGTGAAATATAATTGATTATTTGCAATATGAAGAGATTAAATTAGTTGTGGTATTTTTATATAATGTAAAAGTAAAAAGTGGAAAAACGATTATTAATAATTTTAATATGTACAAATCAATTCTGATATGCGCATTGCTATTAACAGCATATGCTGGACACGTGAGAAAATCACACGGTGCAGTTCACTAGAAGAGAACATTCAATAGTGCATTCATGGAATTTGTAAATTTGGGGGACAGCGATTACCATCTGAATTCAAAGGAAGCTCGTATAAAATTTGTAAATTGAATAGAACATTGGGCTCAAATTACTTCAGAGGATGTGAAGCACGAGACCAAAAAACATAAATCCTTACTTGAAACTCATGCTGAGTATATTCCAGGTGTTGTAGGATAGGTTACTGATTTATCTAATAATGCTGGTGTTTATTCATACACAGTCACAGATTCAAATGGAAATATCATTGAGTAAGACTCTGGTGATCATTTGGCTAAGTAATTTTATACTGCATATCTTCAAATGACTTAAGAGATTGAGAGAGGTCCAGCTATGGTCAAATTGTAGACAGACTTGGACAACATAATGAGAGAAGATTAGATGGAGTAAGAACACAAAGAGGAACAATAAAGATAAGCTTTGGAAGGAACAGCTTTATCAGAATAAGATTAATGATTCATATTCAAAAACATATATGCATATTGAACATTCTTATATTTAGAATGAGATATTCTTATCCTAGAACAATTCCAATTTGTAGAAATGTACTAATATAATTAATTTAATTATGAAGCCTAACCAAAAAGTACTTGATCATCTTAAGACTTATGACTATTACTTGCCATTACATTTAGATTATGTATAGAAATGGTACACTCTTCTAATAATCAAAGGTTTTATGAGTAGATGGTTGATAATTTGGGATTAAGTGAAAGTTTTAGAACTTCATTTTTGAGTTAAATTTCTAAGATTGGATAATTTGCTCATAATGAATAACAGTTTAGACAATTAGTAAGAGACTCTTGGTTTGGTTTCTTGAGTAAAAAACCATTGAACTCCATTTGTATCATGTTAGATGGATAAGAGTAGAATGCAATAAAGGAATTCATATTGAATGTCTTGATTCAACCAAAATAGTTTGAAATCACATATCTGGATGAATTACTTTAAATATATGAATATTACTTGTAAGGGGTAAGACAATACAATAATGAATTTAGAACAGAGGAGTTGCTAATATTATAAATAGGACAAAATTTAGAATGATTCTGAGTAAATTGAATTTGAGTGGATTTATATTAAGTTAAGATGAAAGGATCCAACCTCAAATTAAATAATATATGTTAGATCTCTATCTTAAGAAAATTGAGAAATAGGATGAGAAGGAGAGGATTCGTGTAGAATTGATAACTAAACAAAATCTATTTTCCAATCTATTTGAATTGTTATTTGATCAAACTGAAATGTAGGGAAACCTATTTAATCATCTTAAATAAATAGTTTATCTTATGATTGAAGAACAATAAAATTTATTGACCTCCTTTCAAATTTTGAAGAGCTTCTATTAAATGTATTTAGATAAGGAGAAACTTATTTTTGAAAGAATGGATCCTAGAGTGAATGTAGATCACTATAGAGTTGCAAGGGAATTGTACTAGAAATACAAAGAAAAAAAAGATTTAAGAGAAGCCTTAAGATCTATTGTCTAAAAATCCACACAAACCATTGACTACAAATTAGTTCTCAAAGAATTAGTCACCAAAGATCTATATACGAAGGAGAATGAACAACTGTTTATTCCTCTACTCAAGGAATTCGATATGAATAATTTCTAAAAAAATCGTAGACAATAATCTATTGATAATGATCTAATCTAATAAATTAAAATCTTAGGATTTAATAAATTGGATAAACGAAATGAAATTGAATATGATAACCTCAATTTTTCAATCAATATCATAGATAATAACAATATTGTTGTAATCAATAAAAGAAATAAATTGAAAGCAAGGTGTTCAAACATTAAAGAACTTCATATGTTTATGCAGAATTCCAACATTTGATTATTAAATAGCTTCACTATTCTACAAATCATAAATTATCATCTATTCAATTATTACTAAATGTCAAATGAATAAATATTTCTCATTTTGACTTATTGTCTAAATTCTAATTCTAATTACAATTGATCTTAAATAGAAATACCAAACTATTCTATTTCTCTTTCTCTTACACCTATTCTTCTTCTTTAAATTCTCTGACCAAAAACATAGTTCACTTGAATACATCTAGATTGTAATGGCAATATCACCAAAGTCTAAATTCTTCAAAATATTGACATTAATTTTTAATATTTATGAAGAAATGTGATAATGATAGAATAGCTTAATAAATCTATGCTAGCTAGATGTTAAAGTTGTAAGGTAAAATATTAGAAAAGAAATTGGCCAAAAATAGTTCCAAGAATTAAATAGAAACCTAATCTTAAAATATTTCTAATAACAATAGTCCTGCCGTTGGAAGATAAAAGTCATATGAGAACCTTTAAAAAGTCAACAAAACCTTTATTAATTAACCGCCTTCATAGTAGAAGTTGGGAAGTATTTTGAATGTAATCAGTGGTTCATAACAAATGCACAAATAATCAAAGTATTCCATCAACAACGAATTGATTGAAACAGTCAAAATATCGAATTAATTACGCAAAAATTAATCGATGATACATATTGATTAATAGTCTCCTGCTCTAACTAAAAATTATTCATTTCATCATTCAGTTAAAAATAAAATCAATAGCAACAGTGTATCCAGTGACTAGTCTTAAATTCAAAAAGTTAAGGAAAAAATTAAATTTTTATTATAAGAAAGGGATTAAAATTTACCTTAAGATGCTAAAGAATTGACTTTTATGACCTAATTCAATTAAATTTTAAACTAATTAGTAGTAACCTTGTTTCAAGAATCTAATTTGTAAAACTCATAACCATAGTTAAATTTGCCATATTCAAGTTAAGATACATTCTAAGCCATTTAGATTGATCATTTTTTTAAAAGATAAATTTAAATATTGTAATAATCCTATCAGTTACAATAAGAGAAAAAGAAATTGGAAAATGCATTATTACAAGTAAAAAAGAAGTGTGAAGCATTAATGTAGGAAAACGAATAACTAAATGTCAATTCAATTTAATAAAATGATTTAATAGGGTAAATGAAATAATAAATTGAAGATTTAATAAATAACAAAGAAAACATGCAATTACAATCAGGTATCCTAATAAAATTAAAATAGAAACACAAGAATTGAAGTATCTCATATAAGGATAATTCTAAGCAATCTAGAAGTTATTATAAAGGGAACAATTAATGAAAGTGTTTTTAAAAAGAGTTGGAGACAGTTCAATTATAGAGTAAGAATAACTTAAAAATATCAATAGAATGTTTGAACAATTCATATCTAATGCTGAAAATATCAATCCTGATGATACAGATGGAAATTTGAATATTGATATGTTACCATAACAGAAATAGAAGAATTCATACAAGAATGTCTAATAAAAAGAGTAGTTACAAATAACAGATAAGATTATTCAATAATACGAGAAAAGTTATAAACAATTAGATTTATGTGATTCTCTTTTGGCTGACGATTCAAGTACTTGATCATTTAGTATAAACTAAGGAGTGAATGATTCAGAAGAGAGTAGTTTTGGATACATGGGAAAGGAATAAGCAACAGAAGTTAGTTGTTACTTTACATAAGCATAGTATGCAATCTTAATTAAGATTATTTTAGGCAATTCTAAGAATAACCATATATGAAGAAAGTGAAATAATCCAATATTAAGGATAAATTGAAGATCAAAATGATGGATATCCAATTGGCATAAGCAGCGTATCTAAATCTATTTAATAGAATAGTTAACGATAAGAGTTTATGAAATAAGAGTAAGAATAAGTAAATGAAAAGATTTTACCTGATGATATCAATAGTGAAGATGTACTTAATATTGTTATTCATAGTTTTGATGTTTATGTTTATGCTTATTATTCTATATATTTAATACTAAGTAAATATGTTTAAATATAATTGAATGATGTGTTATAATTCATTTTTAATTCCAGTTAGTTAAAGTAAGTTATGTATTGATTACTTAAGCTTGCGTTCCTTATAACATATGTTACAAAATCTCTTTAGTATATTTAAGTCTAAAATAATTGATTAAACATTACCTTTTGGTCATTTCATGATTTTAAGACTCTAGAGCAGTGCTCAAAGGGAAATTCTGTTTTTCTCCTTTTTTGTTAATGTAAGTGACAGATTTCGTATCAGAGTTTAGAATAATGATTGTTTTATCAGTGAAATCAACTTAAACTACCTTGTTAGACAATCTAAACATAACAGCATGTTTAGTTTTCATCCATTTTTTAACATAAACCATAGGAATTTTGTTGTCATCAGATTGATCAATAACATCTTTATCTACACTATCGGTATCAAGATATCCTCTGAAATGTTCAAGCAAAGTCACTTTCTTTGATAAATCTTTTGGGTAATCATTTAATGAATATGAATTAACTTCATATTATTAATTATCTGATTGTTTTTCAATATACTCAAAATAGGTTTATTTTGGATCTGCAATTATTTTACTTGAATCATTGAAATATACACCACTGCTACCATTATTTAATAAATAACCAAGTCCATATTTACTACTATAATCCACCCATTTCTTAACAAAGATCTCATTTCTCTAAATTTTAAATGTTTTCTAAAAATAAATATTTAATATACATTATTCATGTTGTTAGTAATCCCTGTGGGTAATGTTTTGGCAGATTATTGAGTGGCTCTCATATCAACTAATTTTTAAGAGGATGCTCGAGAATCTTTCATAAAATTATTTTAGGTTTGTGCATCATTCAAAAGTGATACTCTATCTTGACTAATGACTTTGATTAATTATTAAGGTGCTGTATCAGCTAATCTTTTTTATTGAGATGAGGACGATTGAGTAGATTAATATTGTGATAACCATGACATAGAAGGGGGACCGACTAAAGTTGAAATATGAGCAGTTTTTGGAATTGGATTTGAAGTCATAAATGGATGTTGTAGGATTTAGTCTAAAGTGGGTCTTTTGCTTGGATCTAACACGAGCATCTTAGTGATTAGATTTTTAGCATTGTCTGATATAACTACATGATCAGGAAATGTATATTAGCATGCTTTAATTTTCTTGTATGTAGTTTTGACATCTTGGGTTTCAAAGGGAGGTTTTCCAATTAGAAGTGTGTAGATAATAACTCCCAATGACCAGATGTCTACTTCATAAGAGTGACCTATTTTGCCATCTAAAATTTCTGGGGCTATGTAGTTGGGAGTACCACATATCGTTTTCTTCTTTTCTCCATCAAAATCTAGTTTAGTTGCCAATCCAAAATCACCCAATTTTAACTCCATTTTGTCATTCAAAAACAAGTTCCCCAATTTCAAATCTCGGTGGATGATTTTATTTTAGTGAAGATATTTAAGTGCATTGACCAATTGTAATATATAGCATTACACTTCCAATTAAGTTATTCTTCTTCTTCTCTTTATTAACTCATTTAGTGTCTTAGGAGATATCATCAAATTTATACTTAATTCGTACATAACTCTAAAATGATATAAACATTGTCATGATCTTCAAATACATGGATAAATTAAACTATGTTGGTTTAATGTAACGATTTATGTATTTTGATTTCTGATATCAACTATAAAATATATATCACAAACGTACTTTCTATCTTGCTCTGTTCCTTGTCAAAGTATTCTTTTAAATAATCTTAGCAGCCAATATTTTTTTTGTATCTATTTCAGTGATCTCATAACATCTAGCAAATCCACCCTTACCCAAGGTCTTTCCTCTTTGATATCTTTTAATTATCACATCTCCATTAGACTTTGAGATCTTTTCTTCAATTATCACATTCTCAACTGTTGCTTATTCTTCCATTTATATATATATATATAATTATTTATATTATTACATTACTATATAGATTTATTAATTATCATTATTCATCGAATTGGTTTTCTTTGTTGTTAATGTCCCCTGAATTTAATGCTTGAAAGTCATTGTTGAACATTTATTATTATTATTGAAAGTAATTAAAATTTAAGTGAACTTACTATTGGGGCATAAAATTAAAATTAAAACAACAAAGGTTCTTGTCATCCAATTGTTATGGTAATTATTATTGGAAGAGCATACATTGTTGAAAATACAACTATTGCTCATTTAATTTTTCATCATCTTTTATTTAATTATCGAATACAGGAACACACGGAAAATAAGGAAACTAGAACATTTGATATTCCTAAACATAGAAATGAATTATTACCAAAGGTTGTTGCTGAAATAATTAATGCTGTATTTATAAAGATTATAAGAATGCATTCTCATCATTCTTATTCAATTTATCTGTATTTTAATTTTCCTTTTTTCTTCTGCCTGCTCCTTTTTATCTCTTCTTTATTTGATGAACAAAAGGATTAAATTTCTAATGGTGAGATCTAATAATATTTTCTTAATTATTAACCTGCATTGTGATGGACTTCTGCTACCAATTGTTTCACTCATCAGCTTAAATATTTTACTTGTCTTTTTTTGATCTTGTGATTCCATCACAGATCTATGCATATTCAAAAAATCAATATAAGTTTGATGTTCTTATTCACTCCAATGCCCTGTTAGTTGACTGGGATTTGTAATTACTCTTTTTTTGTTCTTTCTCTTTTATAAACCATCCTAATCTCCCTGTATAATTTCCTCTTATTTTGGCCAAAATTCACCTTAGCTCATTTGCATTTTAATTTTTAATAATATATATATAATAAACAATATTTTATATCTCTGTTTCCTCTTCTTGTTTTGTTAAACTCTCATTTAATGTCATCCAAATATAAATACATCATTTCATCTCCTTAATCAATTATTATCTAATAAAAATTTATTAATTATTTAATATTAAAATGCAAACAGCACCTCCATTCTCACATAATCACACCAATCCTCTATTAATGAAAGATGATGTTGGCAAGTCAAAACCTTCAACTTACAATCTTCCCAACCAAGATTTTGTTTATGGACAGCCATTAGCCAGAGATAAGGAAGGAGCAAAAGAAGGTAATTACATATTCTCACTCAGTAACCATGACATGGAAATTCCATTAAGAATCTCAAGACAGAGTGCCCAATAGAGATTTTCCTGAATTAAACAAATAATCCATTCACAATGGATCTGTCAAAGCACATGTAACTGTACATTCTATTCAGGAAATGTATAAATTTAGATAGACTCATGATGCAAGATTGAAACTAAAAAAAGGCACCAACATTCAAGCCATAGAATTACCAGAAGAAGAATTTAGATATGGACGTAAAAATAGGTTCATTTCTATTTAATAATATTAGACCATCAACACCTATGAAATTGGTTATGGGTAATTCTTATGGAATTGAAGCTGAATCCCAAATTTTAGACAAATATCAAGGCAGAGCAAATTCATAAGTATCATCAAAGTCATATATAAAGGATTCTAAACTTTCTTCTTCTTTGGTAAAAGGCAACAAAGCCTCCTAATTGTTTTATGATACCAATCATAAAAAACTAGCAGCCATTTAAGGAGTTGAGAAGAAGGAACCTTTTAAAATGGAAAAATTTAAAACAGTAAATCCCAAAATCAACACAAATTTATCAACTAAGAAATGATTATTCATTAAAGTAATCATTATAGTAGAACTTTTTATTTCATTTAGAATATATTTATTTTTATTAAACAGTCTCTTTTTGGTTGGGATTATATCCAATCATATAACAAAATAATATTCCTAAACAATTGTATTAAATAGCAATTTAATTAAAATTTAAAGTTCTACAAGGAATGGGAGACAAAAATTTATAACAATTTAACAAGAATGAGAATTCATGGATTTAAAAAATAAATTATTCACAGATAATAATCTTAAAGATTTAAAATTGCAATATATACATAAATTTATTTACATTATATTATGTAACAGAATAAATCTGTAAATAAAATCTTAAATTAATGTTGTTAAATTTTTGAATGAATTAATAAATAATAACTAAGAAAACCTATTTAACTTCATCAAATCGGGAGATTTTTTTTAATTATGTTGATTAGATCCTTTTAATTATATAAAAAATAAAAGAATGAGATAGCAGCTATAGTATTAGCATGAACTATATTAATAGAATAATAATGAAGACGCTGTTAAAAATAAAGAAACCTGAATCCAATCCTCATATTTTATATTGGATTTCAATAGGAAGTATTCCATAATGGAGACATATCTAATAATATAGGATTAGTCGTAGTTTCAGAATAATTTCCTTATATCTCTATCATCCACTCAACCATTTTACTTTGATAAAGTTAGGAAATTTTTTAATTTTGCAAACTACCATCAATATGAACAAATAATTTTTAAATTTAGTATTAAAAATCCTGATATTAATATTCTCAATTATGAATTATTTGGATCATCTGAAATGGCCACTTTATAATAGCAATAATATTGAGGTACATCTCTATTGGACATCTTCTAAGGAAGAGAGCTTTAAAGTAAGTTGAATTTCTTCAATTTTGATGATGAAATTCAATAATTTTCCTTCTTCAGAATATAAGTATTATAAGTCAAGCGACTAATAACCTGTAATAAGGGAAGAAATTTATTATTATTTATTTTTTCAAATAAGCTGATGGAGTTCTTTGGTTTTTTGAGAACTAGACTTGATCATGATAATAGGATGATGTATTAGTTATGAATTGATTTTATAGAGTAAATTGCAAGGTTTTTAGTCTGAATAAAGTCTAGATTTATATAAATGCAATATCAATTGATTTAAATATGACTTAATATGTGAATCATTTGTAATTCAGTGCAATATATTTGATCGCAGCCTTCATCATGTCTGTTTGAAGTTTAGCATATTGATTAGTTACTGATGTAGGGACATCTCCACGTGGATCGAAACATTAGATGGTCACAATCTTGGTCATTTGATTTGGTTATGGTATTATAATCCAGCCACTTAAATGCATTTCTGCCCTTTCTACTTTATTAATTGGTGGGGTTTTTTAATGAATAATTGATTTAGCTAATTATATTATAATATTGAGTACAGCAAACAATGTAAACTCCATCATTCTATTTATAAACCTTTTGAACCATAACTAAATCTCTGCTGCTCATAAATGGAATGGGAGGTTTGATTCTCACATAAATAATTCTTGTATTAGCATCAATTTATTCAATAACATGAGCCTAATAACATCAAATTAAAAATTTACTGTTTCCACTTTTTCATCATACAAAGGCCTTTTATTTACATCAGCCACTAAATCTAAAATTTACTCAGGTGTTCTGGCAATTTCAGTTTGGGATCTATTCATATTGATTCCATTTTCTGGATTCTTCTTAGTGTACACCACATACCCTTCCTTATTTGAAAACAATTCCCACATGTTTTGTTCATTTATTTCTTACCATTTCATCATTTTGTTTTTAGCTTCTACTCAATTAATAAACAAGTTACCATCAATGATTGCTTCGTAATTTACTTACATATTAATAAATATTATATAAATGTATATAAATCTATCTACCCTTATAAAATATAAATAATGTATCAATCGTTTATATTTATATATATTATGAATGTACCTAAATAACGCGAATCTATTAGGATTATGTAATTTGGGCTAGTAAAAGTATTAAAAAAATGGATTTTTGGTTCTCGCTCACAAATTTAAGATAAAAAAGCTTAAAAGAATTATCAAATTGTTCATTCTTGCAAAATAAGCAAAATTTACGAATATATTCAAATTCTCAGTAATTAAAATAAATATCTAAGAATGCGCTTTTGCAATTATTATTTTATTTAATACCTAGCATATCTAATCAGAATCAGAAGCAAATATAATTTAGTCTATTCATTCTTTTGAATTGAAAAATATATATAGAAAAGTTATTATTATCACCTTCAAAATATACTTTTGAATAACTTTCTTAATACAAACTACCAGCCTTATGTAAATAAATTTCAAAGATATATCAGGGAAAATTGGAATGAGGTGATTTTGTATCGTTAGTTGAGTTTTTAGAAAGTTCCACTTATTAAGTAATAATAACTTGATTATTTTAGGATAATTATAAATATCGAAATCATATACTTATCTTTCTAAATTTTTCAAAGATTAATTTTATTCAATACAAATGTTTGATAGAATTATCGAACATTTATATATAAAACTTTCCCTATATCAAAATATTAATAATAAAATGTCTGATTTGAATTCTAGAACAGAGTTTATTAATAAATTAGAAAACCTTATCCAACATATTTGGACTAGTTTAGAAAAAGAATAAAGATAAATCTAAAAACAGAAAATAAATAACAAATAAGAGGGTAGCAGTGAAACCTATTTCTTCAATGAGGAGGATTATTATGAAAATTTATCATCTACAATTGATATTGCAAGTGTATACCTTAGTTAATTAAGCAAATTCAAAGATCAACTTGAATAAACTAAAGAAATTTTACTCTTGGTGCCACTTGAATAAAAATAATGCTAGCAATATTTAGCAAAAAATTTAGAAATTTATAAAAGTAAATTAAAACCTTCTTTAGTGAGAAGCTTAATATTATCGAATAATTCATAAATTGAACAACAAAAAGTTGAAGAAATTAAAAAAAAGTTATCCAATTTTTTAGAACACTAACAATAATCAATTTGCCCTATTCATTAGCAAAAAGTTGAATAAGTGAACATATCAGGTGACCCTAATTTTTCAAACAGATCATTATGTAAATAATGTGGTAGTAATGGATTAGATGTGTAAGTATTTTTGAAAGAATATTTGATGGATTTTTTTGAGTTTAAAATAAATTCAGAAGTAATAAGATCTATAATAAATAAATAAATTTAAGATCTTTCCAATTTACTTCTGTCTTAAAAAAACCTTAATATTTTATATAACGATTTAAATACTTAATTTCAATAAAGAATAAGTATTATTGAGAACATTGCTGAATCTTAAATACACACTGTAGACAAGTTAAATATTATGGCTAATGATTATGTACAAAATTAAGATCTTTTCCTCAAATGGAAGCAATAATTTATTCAGAAAATATAAAAGAAAAGATTAGAAGACTTTGAAACAGTATAAGATGAGATAAAAAGAATTGTTGAAAAATTTGATAATAATTATATGGCTTTACCAAACAATCAGGATCCTTCCAAAAATACACAAAATTTTCCATACACTTTCAAAAATAGTATAAAATAAAAAGAAACATGTCAAGTCTTAAGCTTTAATAGAAATGATAAGTTGATAGCGACTGCAAAAGCAAATATAATAATTATATGGAGTTTTTAAAATGGCTAAATGAATGTTATTGCTGAGTTAAAGGGACATTAGAAAGAAGTAAGTTGTCTTTTTTTTGATAAGAATTCAGAAACTTTACTATCTTGTGGTGGAGATGATGATCGCCAAATCATCCTTTGGAATTATCTTGGAGATAATAAATGGATATTGTAATAACAATTTTCAAATAAAGTAGGCATTAAGGTAATTGATTTTGATTAGAATAAAAATCTATTAATTTTAGGTTGTTAAAAAGGCCTAATAAAAACTTTTGAATTTCAACCACAAATACCTTGTTTCATAGAGTAATAAGAAATACAATTAGACTCAGTATAAGCAATTTATGGACTTAGCCTTAATCCTTCTAAAAAATTCATGGTAACATGTGGATCAGATTAGTAATTAAGAATACATTCAATGGATTTTAATTTCTAAAGGAAAATTATAAATAGTTGTGATTCTGCAGGGATAAGGGTTAAATTTATTGACGATTAATCATTTGTCCTAGTTTAAAAAAATGGCTGGTTCTTTTATTATAAAATAGAATGGAATACTATAAAGGAAATATAACGAATATCATTATCATCAGAAAATCATGATTTCATCTTTACTCCTATTTATTATAATTCAGATAAATAATTCTTAATAATTAAACATTACAAAACGATATACTTTTTAAAAAGATCATCTTATGGATATTTTTAATAATAAGTTATGCCCTTAGAATATGAATCCTAAATTGTATTTGCTACAGTTTCAAATGATGGAAAGTACTTAGTTACGTGGATAGATAAACAAAAAGAATAAACCATAAAGAAAGATTAAATTCAACATTATCATATTTATGAATTAAAGTAAAATTATGTTTGATAAAAATCATCGTCATTTATAAATAATAGATATAAATATATTATGATAATAAAATAAAAGATATGGGTTTTAATAGATTTTCAACAAAATTTTACTTCTAAAAAATTCTCTAGCTATACAACTCCCTTATTTAATGATATAACTCTATTTATTAAATAGTTTAGGTCTCTGAGATTTTCTAATCAGAAAATAATTAAACCTTAATGATATGTAAGAAATGAGGAGTTGAAGCAAAAATTTTTCTGTTTGAAATAATGAAATATTTTAGTAAATTATAATGAAAAAGTTAATTTATTAGATGTGTATAATTAAAGTAATAGATAAATTAAAATTAAGGTTGATTCGTATTAATAAAAACATATTTACTTACATGTAAAAATTTAACAATGTTATCAAAATGGGTATAATTTATAAAACTAAAATTAATAATTAAATATTCCTGAGATTTAGAGATTTTTATGAAAAATAAATCTAGATTCTTTGGAATTTTTTAGAGAGTAACTGTTTATTTTTAAATTATTGTTACTTTCAATTGGAATTAATCCTTTTTTGTAAAAAACTTGAATTTTTTGGAGAATATTCTCTTATGATCAAAAAATAAAATTAATTATATCATTGAAGAAGGTTTTCTAAAGGAAACTGAATGCATAATTTCAATATTTAAAACATAAGCGACTGTCTCTGAATTATTTTTCAAGGGTTTTGATTATACTAACTAAATTGGCTGTTAATTATTCTCGTCAAGCATCAATCAACTGTATGTTATGACACTATGAATTCTTTAATTTAATAGGTTTAGCAAATATCTAATTAATAAGTGTCATTTAGGTTCTGAATTATTTTAGGTGTTGAGTTGCTATCTTATAAATAATTTTTTAATGATCAGAAATTACTAATGTATCAGACTTATTATCAAAAAGCTATCAAAAAAACAATGTAATAATTTCAATTGCCTATAATTGAAAAATTTGCTTTTTTAATAATTAACATAATTTGATTTGATAAAATTTCAAAAAAATAATCATTCATTTACTTATGGCAAACTAAGTTATTCCATTATATAATTAAGAGAGTGAAAATTCAAAAACAGATAGTGGTTACTTATAAATATCTAAGGTTATAAACTAATCGCAGCTGCCATCTGTTTCTGCTCCTCTCACATATTCGCCATCCTAAATAAAAAAAAAATTCACTGTTTAATCTGATTCTGAAGCGCAGGAAGGTCTCAAATCATTTGTTCATTTAGCAATTATTCTGGTAGCAATTTAAAGTGGGAACTTCTCAGTTGGATATTCATTGTCATATTTGTCAATGTCTTTCACGACATTATTTTCATAAATGTATTTTAAATAATAGCTTTAGCACTCTCAAAGGTTCTGAGATTGAGGAACAAGGTTTATTTAGTGCAGTTTTACCAATAGGCTAGCTAGTAGGGGCTATTGTAACAAAACCTTTATTAAAATATACTACACGAAATTAATCTCTCTTAATTGCTGATTTTTTTGGTGTATTAGGCATTTTACAAGTTATACCCAACCGAGAAGTCATACTTGCATTTCGATTCTCATATGGATTGTGTTTAGGAATATCATCAATTATTATGGCTATATATGTTAAGGAAATATGCCCCGATAAATATTACGAAGCCTTTTCAGTTTTGGCTAGTTTTTTAATTGCAGGGGGATTATTTTTCATTAATTTCTTAGGCCTAGGGTATTTAAACCCTGATTTAAGAGGAAAGAATTCATATTATTGGTAAATTGTTTTTGCCATTCCTGCCCTAGTGCACTTTCTCAGGTCTTTTATAATTACTTTTGTATATAAGATGGATAGTCCTGATAGTTTAATTTAAATGAATTAATCTTCATAAGCAAAAGAGATCCTTAAAAAATTATATTAACCAGAATTTGTTGATAAAATATTTTTAACCTGCTTAAAAAGAGTTGAAAATTATTCAGAGCAATAAGAAGGGATTTTAAGTCTATTTTCAAAAAAACATCTAAAAACATTAATTATTGGTAGCCTGTTAGCATTTATATCCACTTGGTGTGGCTTATTTGCTTTATACTCTTATTGTTCATAAATTTTTAATGTGATTACAAATGGAGATTTTACATTGAACACACTTTTTATACTTATTATTGGAATAGTTTAATTAATTCCTGCATTCATTTCCAAATTTGTCTATCGAAAAATTGGTAACAGACCATTACTACTGTGTGGACTTTTTATACTTATTTTATGTTAGGTACTTATTATTGGTCTTAGTTATTCTGAAACTTTAGCAGCATCTATTACTAGCTTTATTATAATTTGTTTTTTCTCATTCACATTTGCTCTTACTTTAGGACCTATTACTTATGTAATTTAAATAATATCTTTAGTCTATGATACCTGAGATTAACACTAGTGAAGGGACATACTTTTGCTTTGTGACTTTATATGTTTGGCAGTTATTTATGCTTTACATATTTCCATTTATGTTAGATGCACTTTAAATAGGCGGAGTCTTTATAGTATTTGCTATTTTAACATTCTTGTCAATAATATACTTTTACTTTTTTGTGAAAGAAACTAAAGGATTAAGCCATAATGAAATCGAAAAATAATATGGAAAGTTATGATAAGAAATTGATAAATTATATTGAATATTGAAAAATTTAAACTAAAAGAGTATTATAATTTTTTTGTTGAGAAAGAGTTCATCGTTTAGTTTAATTTAAATTTGATTAATTAAAAAATAATGTTTATTATTATTTTCTAATTTTAAACTATACAACAATAAAACAATTAGAATTTGATATTACCAAATCCTTACAACAATATTTTTCAAGTAAAAACTTGATGTTTTATATTTCTTAAAATTCTTTAACGCATATTTTTGTGCTGCTTGATCACATTTTTATACATAAGCTTTATTAAAGTTGAATCTTCTTCTCTATTTCAGTGGATTTTTGATGTAAAAACTTATGATTTGGATTCTAATTATTATTCGAGTGAAGAAAAGGGAAAAAGTTAATTCTTTGACTCAATGCTGGTTGCGGATACCTTCTCTAATTCTATTTTATGTAAAAATAGTCCTTTTCAATTAACGACTAAAATTAAATGTTATTAGAGAAACTTGGCTTCTAATACTAAATAATTTGAATGGCTATTAATATGTTCTTGTTTATCTTGAAGAAAATTTTGTTTATAGTTGAACTTTAAATAAAGATTTTAGTGTTATTGATGATATCAATGATTATTAGAGCAGAGCAAGTAATACATATATAACTGAGAAATGAAGTTGAGATAATAAAAAGAGAAGTTACTTCTTATAGAGTTTCTTTTTCAATAAATAATTTTCTAAGAATTACTAAAAATACAATAATTTCAAATCTAGAGCTGTCATCTACTCTAGCTTTCTATTTACTACATAGAAAAATAAAGTAATAACCATTTATCAATAAGTCGATATAACCTTTTAAAAAAACACAAAAACAAATTAAAATAACTATAACCAATTCATTTTAATTTTCAGAAATTTAAAGATATTTTAAGATGAGAGAAATAATCTCAATTCATGTTGGATAAGCCGGTATATAATTAGGGGATTGTTGTTGGGAATTGTTTTGTTTAGAACATGCAATTTAACCTAATGGATTAATTTAAAGAGAAATATTTGATTAAGATGAATGTGAATTTTCCAAATTCTTTTCTGAAAATACAAACGGAAATTTTGCTCCAAGATCTTTATTTATAGACTCAGAATCCAAAGCAATATCAAATGTGAAAGTTGGGAAATATAGAGAATTATTCAGTCCAAATTCATTCATTTATGGAAAGGAAGATGCTTCTAATAACTTTGCAATGGGATATTATTCAATTGGCAAAGAATATATTGATATAAGCTTGGAAAGAGTAAGGAAGTTAGCTGAAAATTGTTAAAGCCCATAAGGAATACTTTTATTTAACTCAGTAGGAGGAGGAACAGGTTCAGGTTTAGGGGCCTTATTGTTAGAGAGATTGTCAGAAGAATACTAGAAATAAATTCGAATCGGAATCAATATTTATCCTTATCCTAAAAATGATAGTGCTATCATTGAATCTTATAATGCAATTTTGGCAACATAATATTTATAAAAGTTTGCTGACGTTTGCATTCTTTTTGATAATCAAGCAGTTTATGAAATTTGTAATAATACTCTTGATATCTAAAATCCTAGTTATACCAATTTAAATAGACTTATTGCATAAGTATACTCATAATTAACTTCTGCAATAAGATTTAATGGATCGTTATATTCAGATATTTCAGAATTTTAAACTAATCTTGTTTTACATCCTCGTCTTCATTTTATCTTATGTTCTTACTCTCCTATTTTATCAAATAATAAAACGTGCTTTTAGTAGCCTATAACTACTGATATTTCTATTTAAGCTTTTGAGTCATAAAATATGATGGTTAAATGTAATCCCTAAAATGGAAAATTTATGGCCTGTTCAATATTATATAGAGGAGATGTCATTCCGAAAGATGTTCGTTTATCACTTTCTAAATTAAGTGTAAAGAAAACTATTTAATTTGTTGATTGGTGTCCTATAAAGTTTAAAGTAGGTATTACTTACAAAGATCACTTTATAATCCCAGATGGAGAAATAGCAAAAGTTGCCCGATCAGCATGTATGATTTCCAATACAACAGCTATTTATGATATATTTCCAAAATTAACTCAAGAATTTGATTAAATGTTATCTAGAAGAGCCTTTGTTCATTGGTATTTGAGAGAAGGAATGGAGGAATTTTAATTTTTTGAAGCCAGGGAAGAATTGGCAGTACTCTAGAAGGATTATGAAGAAGTTGATTCTTCAATTATTGATGAAGGAAGAGAAGAGGCAGCAGAATGAGGTCAATTATCAATACAACTTATAATAAGTAANATTTTAAGATGAGAGAAATAATCTCAATTCATGTTGGATAAGCCGGTATATAATTAGGGGATTGTTGTTGGGAATTGTTTTGTTTAGAACATGCAATTTAACCTAATGGATTAATTTAAAGAGAAATATTTGATTAAGATGAATGTGAATTTTCCAAATTCTTTTCTGAAAATACAAACGGAAATTTTGCTCCAAGATCTTTATTTATAGACTCAGAATCCAAAGCAATATCAAATGTGAAAGTTGGGAAATATAGAGAATTATTCAGTCCAAATTCATTCATTTATGGAAAGGAAGATGCTTCTAATAACTTTGCAATGGGATATTATTCAATTGGCAAAGAATATATTGATATAAGCTTGGAAAGAGTAAGGAAGTTAGCTGAAAATTGTTAAAGCCCATAAGGAATACTTTTATTTAACTCAGTAGGAGGAGGAACAGGTTCAGGTTTAGGGGCCTTATTGTTAGAGAGATTGTCAGAAGAATACTAGAAATAAATTCGAATCGGAATCAATATTTATCCTTATCCTAAAAATGATAGTGCTATCATTGAATCTTATAATGCAATTTTGGCAACATAATATTTATAAAAGTTTGCTGACGTTTGCATTCTTTTTGATAATCAAGCAGTTTATGAAATTTGTAATAATACTCTTGATATCTAAAATCCTAGTTATACCAATTTAAATAGACTTATTGCATAAGTATACTCATAATTAACTTCTGCAATAAGATTTAATGGATCGTTATATTCAGATATTTCAGAATTTTAAACTAATCTTGTTTTACATCCTCGTCTTCATTTTATCTTATGTTCTTACTCTCCTATTTTATCAAATAATAAAACGTGCTTTTAGTAGCCTATAACTACTGATATTTCTATTTAAGCTTTTGAGTCATAAAATATGATGGTTAAATGTAATCCCTAAAATGGAAAATTTATGGCCTGTTCAATATTATATAGAGGAGATGTCATTCCGAAAGATGTTCGTTTATCACTTTCTAAATTAAGTGTAAAGAAAACTATTTAATTTGTTGATTGGTGTCCTATAAAGTTTAAAGTAGGTATTACTTACAAAGATCACTTTATAATCCCAGATGGAGAAATAGCAAAAGTTGCCCGATCAGCATGTATGATTTCCAATACAACAGCTATTTATGATATATTTCCAAAATTAACTCAAGAATTTGATTAAATGTTATCTAGAAGAGCCTTTGTTCATTGGTATTTGAGAGAAGGAATGGAGGAATTTTAATTTTTTGAAGCCAGGGAAGAATTGGCAGTACTCTAGAAGGATTATGAAGAAGTTGATTCTTCAATTATTGATGAAGGAAGAGAAGAGGCAGCAGAATGAGGTCAATTATCAATACAACTTATAATAAGTAATTGCATAGTCATCGTGATTTTATAAAAGATAATCTATTATGTATTTTAATTAATTGGTTCGTTTTACTTAAAATAAAAAATATTAAAAAAAAATAGATGTGACCTTAAAAGAAATATGAGAGCCTATTCAACAGATTTATAACCAAAAATTTTCTCATTATTATAAATAAAAAGATAAAATCCTCCAACTTCAAGGGTGGCTACATAAAAAAGATAAATCGAATTCTAAAATAATATTACTTTATAAAGCTCAATTAATTTTAAATGTGTTAATTAAAAATTAAACATTTTAATTTGAATTCTAAAAAAATATAATTGATGAATAGAATGCATTATTATCTAAAAATTTTATCTACTATTTAACGTAAATTCAATTCATTTAGGAGAAAAAATATTTTCTTATTCATAATAATTCTATTTTCCGAAAGATGATTTATTAATTATCAATTAGAAATTGATTAATAAATGTCTTCAGATAGAGATAAATCAATTACAATTGAATGAATTACTGAAGGTAATTTGGAAAAATTTCCGATCTAAATCAAATATATTATGGATGCTAATTGGATTATATAAAATTTAGAAAAATGGGTGATCATGCCTATTAATTTTAAAACCTTAAATTGCATATAAATTGAAGAGAACTTAGTATATCAAAAATCTTTAGTATTTCGAATAATAGTAAATTAGGAAGATATAATGAACACTTATTTTATCAATTATTACCAAAAGTTTCATATTTATAATTGTAAGTAATAACTTGGATTTTGTAAAATTGAATTTAAATATTATTCTTCAAATGATATTATAATTCTTAAAATAAATAATTAAGTAATCAATGAAAAAAGCGTATAAAGTAGAATTTCCATATTATAATATGATATAAAATTTGTAAAAAAGGAACTGATAAGACTTTTATCAAGAACTTTACATTCAACATCTCCGAATTAATAAGCATTTATACCGATGGCGTCATGTACTATATCAATTGATAGCTAACCATTTATAAACAAGATTGTTTTTCTGAATTTATTCCAGAAGAAATTAACTCAAACTTCAGATGTATTGCTGATAATTAAAGCTAATCAAACGTCACATCAATTTTTGATTGAGAAAACTAAACACAATTAATGGAAAATTTTGGAAGAATCAGAAAAGTAATAGAGTAAATATAATCATCTAAGATTGAAATTTGATATGACCTTAAAAACGGTATTATCGAATTAGAAGAATAACAAGAATTTTAAACAATTTCTAAGTAGATAGGAACAAAAAATAAGGCTTTGTTAAATAAAAAATATAAGAAAAAATTATTCGCGATTAAAATAGGAAGTAGAGCATAAAGATTAAACTACAATGTTCAGTCAAATTATAAAGAGGAGGTAAATGTTACATCTGATTTAGATTAATCTAATAGCTTTATGGTTAAAAGAAAGTATATTTAAAATGTGATTGTTAAATTTATATTTATAATTTTTATTCGTTTAGTAGAATATATAAACTTAGGCCAAAGGTTTACTCTTGATTATTTCAATAAAATATGAAAATAACCATTAAACCTCTCTAACTTTGATACCTTAATTGAATCTTACTGTTATTGATCTATCTTTTATTCTTGCTAAACTTCCATTTTAGATAATCTAAATATCCCATGAAATTTATATTTTACCTTAGTTTGAGATGAGAATTTATTAAGAGACAATCCATGAAAAGTAATTCAATTTCAATAGCTAAATGTAATTATAAATTTCTAATCATTTGAGAGTGATTGAGAAATTCATAAGATAGAAAATACTTCATGCTTTTATTTTTGATTCGATTAATAACATACTCTGGTTTATCATAAGAATACATTATGACTTAGTTTGCATGAATTCAATAATAACTATAAAACAAATATTCAAAAACTCATGTTAGTCTGTTGACAACTCACTATACATATTTTAAGAAGTATTTTATATGATTTAATTCATTTAAAAGTTTAATAAATTTAATATTAATTTTATCAGAAAAATGATTTCCTTGAATGATTAATTTAGGTCAAAGGACTAAATAATAAATAAGTAAGGCAAATTATTTATAACTATCATAGAGCTCTGTAGAAAGAATAATAAATTGAAAATTATGAATGGTAAAGTTCCATTTCAGAATACGAATATTTATTTTGGAATTCTGAGAATTACAGATTTAAAAAGATCAAATATGAAGTCTAATTAACAAAAGAGAAAGAAATTAAATACATTTAAGATGGATAGATTCTTAGGATGTCAGTTTATTATACAAATATAGTGAATAAGTAATAAATTCAATCTAAAAACCTGAAATCTTGACTAACTTACAATAGATTAAATATCTTCAATGGTCTGGAAAATACGGGCAATATTCTTTGAAAATAGGTAGATGGTCAGCTACTTGGAATAATGAAATTATTTTAGAAAGTGGTGGATATTACTCTGAAGATGGATAGAAGCAAGGTTTATGGAAAGATATAAACAGGCAATATTGGAGGTAAGATATAGTTATTAATCGTCACGTATAGCGAAGCCCAAATCTATGAGATAGGACTATATATTGATAATACAAGAAGGGGAAAATGGAAATATATCTACAATAATAATGAAATGTATTATAAATTGATTAGTTTTTTAGAGGTGGAGGCTTCTATGATGAGAAGGGTTTAAAGATTGGCAAATGGATAGAATTGAGCGAATGCTTTTGGAAGTAAANTAAATTGAAGAGAACTTAGTATATCAAAAATCTTTAGTATTTCGAATAATAGTAAATTAGGAAGATATAATGAACACTTATTTTATCAATTATTACCAAAAGTTTCATATTTATAATTGTAAGTAATAACTTGGATTTTGTAAAATTGAATTTAAATATTATTCTTCAAATGATATTATAATTCTTAAAATAAATAATTAAGTAATCAATGAAAAAAGCGTATAAAGTAGAATTTCCATATTATAATATGATATAAAATTTGTAAAAAAGGAACTGATAAGACTTTTATCAAGAACTTTACATTCAACATCTCCGAATTAATAAGCATTTATACCGATGGCGTCATGTACTATATCAATTGATAGCTAACCATTTATAAACAAGATTGTTTTTCTGAATTTATTCCAGAAGAAATTAACTCAAACTTCAGATGTATTGCTGATAATTAAAGCTAATCAAACGTCACATCAATTTTTGATTGAGAAAACTAAACACAATTAATGGAAAATTTTGGAAGAATCAGAAAAGTAATAGAGTAAATATAATCATCTAAGATTGAAATTTGATATGACCTTAAAAACGGTATTATCGAATTAGAAGAATAACAAGAATTTTAAACAATTTCTAAGTAGATAGGAACAAAAAATAAGGCTTTGTTAAATAAAAAATATAAGAAAAAATTATTCGCGATTAAAATAGGAAGTAGAGCATAAAGATTAAACTACAATGTTCAGTCAAATTATAAAGAGGAGGTAAATGTTACATCTGATTTAGATTAATCTAATAGCTTTATGGTTAAAAGAAAGTATATTTAAAATGTGATTGTTAAATTTATATTTATAATTTTTATTCGTTTAGTAGAATATATAAACTTAGGCCAAAGGTTTACTCTTGATTATTTCAATAAAATATGAAAATAACCATTAAACCTCTCTAACTTTGATACCTTAATTGAATCTTACTGTTATTGATCTATCTTTTATTCTTGCTAAACTTCCATTTTAGATAATCTAAATATCCCATGAAATTTATATTTTACCTTAGTTTGAGATGAGAATTTATTAAGAGACAATCCATGAAAAGTAATTCAATTTCAATAGCTAAATGTAATTATAAATTTCTAATCATTTGAGAGTGATTGAGAAATTCATAAGATAGAAAATACTTCATGCTTTTATTTTTGATTCGATTAATAACATACTCTGGTTTATCATAAGAATACATTATGACTTAGTTTGCATGAATTCAATAATAACTATAAAACAAATATTCAAAAACTCATGTTAGTCTGTTGACAACTCACTATACATATTTTAAGAAGTATTTTATATGATTTAATTCATTTAAAAGTTTAATAAATTTAATATTAATTTTATCAGAAAAATGATTTCCTTGAATGATTAATTTAGGTCAAAGGACTAAATAATAAATAAGTAAGGCAAATTATTTATAACTATCATAGAGCTCTGTAGAAAGAATAATAAATTGAAAATTATGAATGGTAAAGTTCCATTTCAGAATACGAATATTTATTTTGGAATTCTGAGAATTACAGATTTAAAAAGATCAAATATGAAGTCTAATTAACAAAAGAGAAAGAAATTAAATACATTTAAGATGGATAGATTCTTAGGATGTCAGTTTATTATACAAATATAGTGAATAAGTAATAAATTCAATCTAAAAACCTGAAATCTTGACTAACTTACAATAGATTAAATATCTTCAATGGTCTGGAAAATACGGGCAATATTCTTTGAAAATAGGTAGATGGTCAGCTACTTGGAATAATGAAATTATTTTAGAAAGTGGTGGATATTACTCTGAAGATGGATAGAAGCAAGGTTTATGGAAAGATATAAACAGGCAATATTGGAGGTAAGATATAGTTATTAATCGTCACGTATAGCGAAGCCCAAATCTATGAGATAGGACTATATATTGATAATACAAGAAGGGGAAAATGGAAATATATCTACAATAATAATGAAATGTATTATAAATTGATTAGTTTTTTAGAGGTGGAGGCTTCTATGATGAGAAGGGTTTAAAGATTGGCAAATGGATAGAATTGAGCGAATGCTTTTGGAAGTAAAGATTATTAAAATATTCATCAATAGATAAGGTTATGTCCTTTATTATGGGGAATACAAAAATGGTAAAAGGTATGGTATATGGAATGCTTTGCATAAGAGGAATGGTTACAAACAATTAAAATTAATGTAATCATGAATTTCACTTAAATCCAGTGGCTTAGGATCATATGATATTAGTTAGGTGGACAATCTGACAGTAGATTCCTTTCAAGTTGGAAAATGGATTGAATTGAATAATGGATTTTGGGAGTATTTTATGTTGGTTGATTACAATTTCTAGTTTGGCTTAGGTTATACATATTGGTACCTACAAAGAAGGCAAAAAATGTGGTAGATGGGATATATTATAAAGAATTAGAAATAATACACCTTTTGAAATAATGTAATGATGCAATGTTTCAACTCTCTTTAGGGGTGGAGGAACTTATAATGACACGTTAGAAGGCCAAGTTATTTCAAGTTCATTGAAGAATGGAAAATGGATAGAGCTGAATGAAGGATTCTGGAGGTATTGCATATTATTTAGTCGACGAGGGATAATTAAATAACTTACAATGGAGAATACCATAATGGAGTAAAAGTAGGAAAATGGGATATTTATTATTATAATGAAGATACTGAAAACAATGAATTGATGTACTTCTCTACAATATTTTTAAATTCAGAGGTGGTGGTTCTTATATTGAAAAAATTAATGATTCAAATATCGCTAGTTCAGTTAAAATAGGTAATTGGATTGAGTTGATTGATAATTTTGATGAGGTATTATCTAAAATTAAATATCGCTTATCAGTTAAATTCAAGTAACTTTTAAAGGAGAGTACGAAAATGGCAAAAAAGTGGGAAGGTGGGATACTTTTTATAAGTAGGAGTAGATGTAAAATTGATTTCTATATCTCGAATTACAATCTAGTGGTGGAGGATAATATCAAAAAGTAGAAAATGATAATTTGAGTGATTCAATAAAGGTTGGAAAGTGGAGAGAGCTAATTGATGGATTTTATGAGTATTTATAAAGAATTATATATAATAGGTATGGCTAGATCACATATTTTGGTGAATACGCTATTGGTAAAAAAGTAGGTATATGGTAATAAATGTTTGGGAACAATATAATGTATCTATAAAGTATACTTTATTAGGGAAGAAGATGATTATTTAAATTGAATGATGAGTTGATGTTTATTAAACATTATTTAATTAGATATTAGACTTTAAATAATATATTAGTTCGTATTTTTTATTCTTAAGAAATTTCCACAACGACTGTTTGGAAGCTAATGTTATTTAGAAATTTGGATTCTTTTGTAATTTGTTTTTTAGTTCACAAAGTATTTAGTATACGACATATTTCAAGATTAAATTAGTAGTTAAAATGAGTGAACTTGCCTCTATATAAGATAAATTTCTTTGCAATACTGCAATTAATTCCAATATAAAACTTAACCTTTTAGCATCTTAATTTTCAGTTATGTTTTTGGACTCAAATTTTTTTTTTATTTAAATTCAGTTTTTACTTAATTTTTCAATACAGTGAGATTAGGCAATCTTAAATTACATGTTATGATACATATATATGAAATCTTTATATATTAAGGTAATCATCAAGAAACCATTAAGTTGAAGTAAGAAGATCTTTAAAATTATTATATTCACATTAATTTAGATTAGGAATTGGCAAATAGCAAATTTTTTTGAAGAAAAGGAATATAATCTATAGTATGAGGAATTCAAGCTCTTTTACTTCGAGATTGTATTGTGAAAGATATCTCTTCAACTTATTGTTTTAAATCTATATGAATATCTGCTGATAAATTTGTCAAAGAGTGTGTTTTTTAAACATTTGATATTTAAACAATTATACCTTCTAAAATAATAGTTTTGTTTTGATAGAAATATATTCTTTATTCAATTTTCACTTTCTATAAAATTTAAGCTGACGGAAGTAATGGAATTTATAAGTTCTTTTTTAAATTTATAAAATTCAGAAGCAAACATTAATTTAGTTGAAATTAGATAAAGTTTTAATTGTCCCTTAATAACACTTACCAGACGAGCCAATAGTATAATTTTAGAAATTTTATATAAAAAAATATTAAAACACCATAGAAAATAAGAGTTACTTAAGAAATATTCAAAATTTATCTGACCAAAATTTGAATTAGAACAGGGTTAAAGACGAAAAAATTGATAATATAATCATTAAACTATTCTATCAATTTACTGCTTTTCCAACCATTTATTTATCCATTTATACTTTAGTATTTCCTAAGTAGTATCAGAAATATGGTTCATAAAATTACAATTAAATCATCAATCAAATGAGAAGTAATCGTTAAGAATTCTCTATAATATTATTAATTTATAGGATAAGTCATATTTTGGATAAGAATGAGTGATTTTTAGGGGAAAATCTACACTATTATGAAAAAATTTAACATCATCCTACCTTTAAAACAAATTATTGAATATGAATTTAAGTGCAATTTCTATACAAATTTTTTGTATGTAAATATTATATTATTTGTAGTTTGTGATTTATTTAAGTTGATAATAGAAGACCCATTTTATTGAATTTACTAGAATACTTATATAGTTTTCTAATATACTGACATATGAGATAGTCATTATATTTATCAATAATAATTACAATAATCACTGAATTACTTTGATAGCAATGTCTGTCATAAAATGATTATACATTTTATCTTTGAAATATCACTATTTTTGACAAAAAACAAATATCAATAGATTTATGAATTCAAGTTTAGAATTAATTCATAATTTGCATAAGTATTTAAAAGCCAAAAAGTCAGATAATATTATTATTATTATATTAAAATAAATAGTGCTAAAGAATAACGACAAATAACTCTCATCTATAAATTTAATAATTGTTATTAACACCGATGAGTGATTTATAACTCTTTTATTCGAATGTTTAAGCCTTTTGATTATTTTCAATTTGATCTTTATGGTTTTTATTCTACTTATATAAATATAATAATAAGTTAAGTTTATATTCTATAATAGAAAGAGTTTCTGTGATTAAAGTTATGATTTAGATTCATTGTTAGTGAACAATACCTATATTGAATCTGATGAAGATATATTGTGGAAATAAAGATTGGACGAATCGTCTGATAGATTTTGGAATAATACAGCTAACATTTTTAGTTTAGTAAACAACACATTATCATAGTTCTATAAATAAGAGTGGGAATAAATATCTAATTTATTCCTTGCCTTAAAATTCACTCCAAGGAAAATATTTCATCTATAAATTTTTCATCGATAATGTAAGAATCATCCATTATTGTAAGAAACATAGATGGTGGCATTTATATAGTTAGAAATTGTAAGTATTTACATACAACAAAATATTTTTGCTTAATCACTTTGATAAACTAATTTCTCATTATAGAATGATAAACAAAAGTGGCCCATTAACAGTTCAATATTTAATGTACAAGATATAAATGTAGGTATGTAATGTATAAACATAGCTAATAAGAAATAAGATTTAACAATAGAATTACTAGAATTCTATAATTGGAGATCATTTATTATCTATGTAAAATATAATGGTTTAAATAAATGTAGAAAATTTGAGAATTGTATCATCAAATCACATTTTTAAAAATGCGATGTGATGATATTTTACTTTGCTGTAGATCTATGAAACAATCATATAATTCCTAGATCAATAAGTGTTGCCGGCTAATTTAAAGATATCGAATTAGCGTAATAAAAGGTAATTCGAATATTAAGTATTATTAAAAAAGAAATGTTATGATTCACTGAAGATAAATCATTGAATTATTGATCAATATTATTTGATATTGTTCTAAAAATAGTTATACATAATTTTGTAGTTTCTTAGAATAACTACATAAGGCAAAAATTCTTAACATAATTTAAAAAGATTTGATTATTTAATATATTATTTCTTAAAAGCTTAAGAAATCTGCTAGTGAGAGTTAGACTCAGCGATAAATCTAACTCTTGAAATCCTAAAAGCATTAGCTATTGATCCTTTAGATTTCAGCGTAGAATGAAGGTGCAATTAAAAACTAAAGAGTGCTTTGCACTTATGATCTGATGAAAAGCTTCTTAGGAGATTGCATCAAAGCTTTAAATTTTCAAATTCAATATCTCATCAATAAATAATTAAGGTATGATATGTATTTTATATTCAGCTCATCTATTTATTGTGATTGAGCACAATGCCAATTTAAGATTATACTAAATCACTTGAGAATTAGGCTATTTCCAGTTTTTATTATTGTCATTGGGATCAATTTTAAGAAATCTAGAATTTTAGAACTTTAGAATCTCTACTTTAATATTGGTCACATCAATTAAAAACTTATCAGAAATAGACTAAATTTTAATTGATTTAGTAGAATCTTGATGAATCATTCATATTATCTTACTATAATTATAAACCCCATATAATTATAGATTAATGATATTTATAATAAAATATAATAATTATCATCCTAAAAATTATAAAATATTAATAGTTCGCTTTTTCATTACAAAATGATTTTTCATTGAAGATATAATAAGATAAAATAAGTACTTTGCGTTTCAAATAAACTGACCCTAAATATTTTTCTAAGGCATAAGTAATTAGTTGTCTCAAATTCAGCTCACATGAGTGCCAAATTATATGTAGTCTGTTGCTAATAGTGAATTATTTCTACCACTTTCTAAAACTCTAGAACTTAATAAATTCATTAGCGAATAAAGAAATTAGAAGGTATTAATAATTAATTGAAAATAATAAATTACTTAAGCCTTTTAAGGCTTTTAGTTCAGCTAATTTTAATTTGGACTGATCAAGATTGAATTTCTAATAATTCATTTAATAGGAATATTTTCCATATGTTTGTAAATAATGAATGGGTTTATAAAATTATCTAATTAAAATATNTAAATAACTTACAATGGAGAATACCATAATGGAGTAAAAGTAGGAAAATGGGATATTTATTATTATAATGAAGATACTGAAAACAATGAATTGATGTACTTCTCTACAATATTTTTAAATTCAGAGGTGGTGGTTCTTATATTGAAAAAATTAATGATTCAAATATCGCTAGTTCAGTTAAAATAGGTAATTGGATTGAGTTGATTGATAATTTTGAGAGGTATTATCTAAAATTAAATATCGCTTATCAGTTAAATTCAAGTAACTTTTAAAGGAGAGTACGAAAATGGCAAAAAAGTGGGAAGGTGGGATACTTTTTATAAGTAGGAGTAGATGTAAAATTGATTTCTATATCTCGAATTACAATCTAGTGGTGGAGGATAATATCAAAAAGTAGAAAATGATAATTTGAGTGATTCAATAAAGGTTGGAAAGTGGAGAGAGCTAATTGATGGATTTTATGAGTATTTATAAAGAATTATATATAATAGGTATGGCTAGATCACATATTTTGGTGAATACGCTATTGGTAAAAAAGTAGGTATATGGTAATAAATGTTTGGGAACAATATAATGTATCTATAAAGTATACTTTATTAGGGAAGAAGATGATTATTTAAATTGAATGATGAGTTGATGTTTATTAAACATTATTTAATTAGATATTAGACTTTAAATAATATATTAGTTCGTATTTTTTATTCTTAAGAAATTTCCACAACGACTGTTTGGAAGCTAATGTTATTTAGAAATTTGGATTCTTTTGTAATTTGTTTTTTAGTTCACAAAGTATTTAGTATACGACATATTTCAAGATTAAATTAGTAGTTAAAATGAGTGAACTTGCCTCTATATAAGATAAATTTCTTTGCAATACTGCAATTAATTCCAATATAAAACTTAACCTTTTAGCATCTTAATTTTCAGTTATGTTTTTGGACTCAAATTTTTTTTTTATTTAAATTCAGTTTTTACTTAATTTTTCAATACAGTGAGATTAGGCAATCTTAAATTACATGTTATGATACATATATATGAAATCTTTATATATTAAGGTAATCATCAAGAAACCATTAAGTTGAAGTAAGAAGATCTTTAAAATTATTATATTCACATTAATTTAGATTAGGAATTGGCAAATAGCAAATTTTTTTGAAGAAAAGGAATATAATCTATAGTATGAGGAATTCAAGCTCTTTTACTTCGAGATTGTATTGTGAAAGATATCTCTTCAACTTATTGTTTTAAATCTATATGAATATCTGCTGATAAATTTGTCAAAGAGTGTGTTTTTTAAACATTTGATATTTAAACAATTATACCTTCTAAAATAATAGTTTTGTTTTGATAGAAATATATTCTTTATTCAATTTTCACTTTCTATAAAATTTAAGCTGACGGAAGTAATGGAATTTATAAGTTCTTTTTTAAATTTATAAAATTCAGAAGCAAACATTAATTTAGTTGAAATTAGATAAAGTTTTAATTGTCCCTTAATAACACTTACCAGACGAGCCAATAGTATAATTTTAGAAATTTTATATAAAAAAATATTAAAACACCATAGAAAATAAGAGTTACTTAAGAAATATTCAAAATTTATCTGACCAAAATTTGAATTAGAACAGGGTTAAAGACGAAAAAATTGATAATATAATCATTAAACTATTCTATCAATTTACTGCTTTTCCAACCATTTATTTATCCATTTATACTTTAGTATTTCCTAAGTAGTATCAGAAATATGGTTCATAAAATTACAATTAAATCATCAATCAAATGAGAAGTAATCGTTAAGAATTCTCTATAATATTATTAATTTATAGGATAAGTCATATTTTGGATAAGAATGAGTGATTTTTAGGGGAAAATCTACACTATTATGAAAAAATTTAACATCATCCTACCTTTAAAACAAATTATTGAATATGAATTTAAGTGCAATTTCTATACAAATTTTTTGTATGTAAATATTATATTATTTGTAGTTTGTGATTTATTTAAGTTGATAATAGAAGACCCATTTTATTGAATTTACTAGAATACTTATATAGTTTTCTAATATACTGACATATGAGATAGTCATTATATTTATCAATAATAATTACAATAATCACTGAATTACTTTGATAGCAATGTCTGTCATAAAATGATTATACATTTTATCTTTGAAATATCACTATTTTTGACAAAAAACAAATATCAATAGATTTATGAATTCAAGTTTAGAATTAATTCATAATTTGCATAAGTATTTAAAAGCCAAAAAGTCAGATAATATTATTATTATTATATTAAAATAAATAGTGCTAAAGAATAACGACAAATAACTCTCATCTATAAATTTAATAATTGTTATTAACACCGATGAGTGATTTATAACTCTTTTATTCGAATGTTTAAGCCTTTTGATTATTTTCAATTTGATCTTTATGGTTTTTATTCTACTTATATAAATATAATAATAAGTTAAGTTTATATTCTATAATAGAAAGAGTTTCTGTGATTAAAGTTATGATTTAGATTCATTGTTAGTGAACAATACCTATATTGAATCTGATGAAGATATATTGTGGAAATAAAGATTGGACGAATCGTCTGATAGATTTTGGAATAATACAGCTAACATTTTTAGTTTAGTAAACAACACATTATCATAGTTCTATAAATAAGAGTGGGAATAAATATCTAATTTATTCCTTGCCTTAAAATTCACTCCAAGGAAAATATTTCATCTATAAATTTTTCATCGATAATGTAAGAATCATCCATTATTGTAAGAAACATAGATGGTGGCATTTATATAGTTAGAAATTGTAAGTATTTACATACAACAAAATATTTTTGCTTAATCACTTTGATAAACTAATTTCTCATTATAGAATGATAAACAAAAGTGGCCCATTAACAGTTCAATATTTAATGTACAAGATATAAATGTAGGTATGTAATGTATAAACATAGCTAATAAGAAATAAGATTTAACAATAGAATTACTAGAATTCTATAATTGGAGATCATTTATTATCTATGTAAAATATAATGGTTTAAATAAATGTAGAAAATTTGAGAATTGTATCATCAAATCACATTTTTAAAAATGCGATGTGATGATATTTTACTTTGCTGTAGATCTATGAAACAATCATATAATTCCTAGATCAATAAGTGTTGCCGGCTAATTTAAAGATATCGAATTAGCGTAATAAAAGGTAATTCGAATATTAAGTATTATTAAAAAAGAAATGTTATGATTCACTGAAGATAAATCATTGAATTATTGATCAATATTATTTGATATTGTTCTAAAAATAGTTATACATAATTTTGTAGTTTCTTAGAATAACTACATAAGGCAAAAATTCTTAACATAATTTAAAAAGATTTGATTATTTAATATATTATTTCTTAAAAGCTTAAGAAATCTGCTAGTGAGAGTTAGACTCAGCGATAAATCTAACTCTTGAAATCCTAAAAGCATTAGCTATTGATCCTTTAGATTTCAGCGTAGAATGAAGGTGCAATTAAAAACTAAAGAGTGCTTTGCACTTATGATCTGATGAAAAGCTTCTTAGGAGATTGCATCAAAGCTTTAAATTTTCAAATTCAATATCTCATCAATAAATAATTAAGGTATGATATGTATTTTATATTCAGCTCATCTATTTATTGTGATTGAGCACAATGCCAATTTAAGATTATACTAAATCACTTGAGAATTAGGCTATTTCCAGTTTTTATTATTGTCATTGGGATCAATTTTAAGAAATCTAGAATTTTAGAACTTTAGAATCTCTACTTTAATATTGGTCACATCAATTAAAAACTTATCAGAAATAGACTAAATTTTAATTGATTTAGTAGAATCTTGATGAATCATTCATATTATCTTACTATAATTATAAACCCCATATAATTATAGATTAATGATATTTATAATAAAATATAATAATTATCATCCTAAAAATTATAAAATATTAATAGTTCGCTTTTTCATTACAAAATGATTTTTCATTGAAGATATAATAAGATAAAATAAGTACTTTGCGTTTCAAATAAACTGACCCTAAATATTTTTCTAAGGCATAAGTAATTAGTTGTCTCAAATTCAGCTCACATGAGTGCCAAATTATATGTAGTCTGTTGCTAATAGTGAATTATTTCTACCACTTTCTAAAACTCTAGAACTTAATAAATTCATTAGCGAATAAAGAAATTAGAAGGTATTAATAATTAATTGAAAATAATAAATTACTTAAGCCTTTTAAGGCTTTTAGTTCAGCTAATTTTAATTTGGACTGATCAAGATTGAATTTCTAATAATTCATTTAATAGGAATATTTTCCATATGTTTGTAAATAATGAATGGGTTTATAAAATTATCTAATTAAAATATATTTAATTGATTTAACAATGAAAGTTTAAATAAATATATTTCTGTTAAATGTATAATTTATTAAGCACTCTTCAAAATGACCTTTCAAAGATCTTTATTGAGGATTAATTTTTAGAAAATTTTGATTTTTCAGCAGACAGCAATAGATGTTGTTATTTTTTTCTTAAATAATTTGGAGCCACACTACTATGATCATTCTTAAGAAATTTTTTCATCATTTCTTCGCCTTGTAATTCATTAACTACTTATTTAGAAATCAACATTATATTTATAATGATTGTACTTAAATTTGTATAAATATACAAATAAAATAAACCATTAGTTGTGTAATTATGATATTTAATCTTAATATGATATTATTGCATAATTTTAGAGAATTTTATTAATATTTGATTTTTGTGTTAGTTTATTTTGGCAAAAATTAATCGACAGTCTTAACTGTTAAGAAATATTTTGATAATCAATTTATATTATGATAAAATAATTAAGTTTAATTCATAAGAATCATATAGTATAGATATCTTCCTAATATTTGATGTCTTTTATAGATTTAATTGAATTAGTATTATATTTTCCAATGACATCAGAGATCAAGAAAATATTTGTATCAAGAAAGTTATCATCATTTATCTCATCTGTTGTCTATTATAATTGAAAATCTTCAAGTTAAGTTTATATCGTTTCAAAGTTACTCACTAATGAGCTTATCTAAATTGAAGCAAAAAGTCCTATCCCATTCTCTTATTTTGGCTAGGGTTACGAAGGATTGGCTCTCTAAATCATAAAAGCAAATAATTATTTGATATAATTGTAATCTGGCATAACATCATGCTCTAATTTGTCAATGTAAGACATAAAATGATAAAATGTTATATTAGATTGTCTTTATGATACAATTGTTTTAATGAAGGAAGTCTTTTTGTTGCCTATCTAGTCTAAGTCAACTTCTTTAAATCCCCAAAATTGTTTCTCCGACCATGGCAATTTCGCTAACAATATAAAATTATTAATTACAGTCTTTTAAGTAAAATAATAAATACAATACACTTTCCAGGTCGTCTTTATACCCAAGAGGTTTTCCGTAGTGTGAGGATCTACTTGCGAAATTTATAGATCCAATAAACACATCTTTCAAAGTCTCTGAATTCTCTAAGAATTACTGTGATAATCCAAAGTCAATCAGTTAAATCAATCCGGGCTAAAAGAATTATTGATCGTTTGATATTAGATGAGACAACATGATATTTTCAGGTTTTATGTCAAGATGTAATATATTATTTTTATGAACTTTTTCCAAAATTTCTATGACTCTCAAGCCAATAGTCATTATTACGTGCAAAGATAGCGTTCTTGACTTGGCTAAATCTAGTAAACTACTATGCAATAATGGTACAATCAAAAAGAATCTAATTAAATAATTTATCTATTACTTGTTATCATTAGTTAATCCACACTATTTTATTTGTGGAACTCCTTCAACTCCACTTAATTTTTACAACATTTTTATCTCATTCTCCAATTAGCCAACTCTGGGAGATTTTTCAATTTTTACTGCATATAATTCAGAATTTTAACTAAACTAAGCTTTATACACAAGGTGTTCTGATCCACATCCAATATGAGAAAGAACTTTATATTGTTGAATACTAGTCATTCTAAATATCTTCTATAAATTAATTTAGAAATAAAAGAAAGAAAATACTTGGCCATTATAAATTAATAAACAAGGGGATTGAAAATTTTTTTATAATATTGGTCTAATATAAGAAGGAATTATTAATTAAATAATAAGGAAATAAATATTAAATTAATTTCTAGTAAAACAAATTATTGCCCATTAATTATTTATGGTGTTGGATTTTAAAAGGATTCCTCAATCAAAATATATATACTCAAGAAGGGTCAGAGAATTATCAGAGTATATTCAGTATTTCTTTTGGCATTTTAACCTAACAATAAAATTTATACTGAAAGCTATCCTTTATGTAGATATATGTGTTCACTTACAATACTCTGTAAAATCTTCAATAATAAATTAATGATTCTGTTTTCATACAAATAATTATATTATTCATTTTGCTTTATTAATAAAGATCAGATTAAGATAGTAGATGATCAAAAAATTAGTTGGTTTCTTCATTTATATTCATCTTCATTATTAAATTTAAATTAATAGAATGGTAAGATTATTTATATTTGATATGGACTAAATTCATTTTAATTTAATACTTCAATGCATCATTACTTTTCTTAAAGATTCTAATAATTATTAATGTATTTTATAGATTATGATCACTGATATATAAAATTACATAATACATCTTATAATTAATGTTTAATGAATATTAATAAATCTATAAAAACAATAAAATTTGATTTATTCGCTTCATAATGGGTTTTTTAAAATAGATCATAGTTAAAATTGAAAAAGCTAGTTCATTCATATTATTAGAATATTATTTACACTCGTATTATGACTATTTTTTTAAAGATTTAGAATATATCTTACAAATTTAATAAACTGGTAAAATTATAAATCAATTTAGAATAATAAAATTAAATAGTTATTTACTCAGTTAATATTAGTAATTTTAATTTTATAAAATGAATGAGATATTTTATGAACTCAGAATTAATCAGTTAGCTAGAAATGTATTTGCTTATATAAATAGAAATAATAAGAGTATTTTTAATTTAATTTAAATGGCTCTTAAAAGAATAAAGAAAGAATATAGCGATCTCCCTAAAGATTTACCAACTAATTGTTCTGTTTGTCTTATTGATGATTAAGATTTTTATAAATGGAAGGCAACAATCTTAGGATCTGAGGGATCTCTTTACTACGGTGGCCGTTTCAACCTTTAAATAGAAATTCCTATGGACTATCCCTTCAGACCACCAAAAATTTGGTTCTTAACTCGAATATATCATCCAAATATTAATTCACATGGATAATTAAGTTTAGATATATTAAAAGATTCATGGTCTCCTGCCCTAAAATTAAGTAAAAGTAATTGAAACCTATTGATAAACATAGTCCTTTCAGTTATTTGTGAAGTATTGGAAAATCCAAATCCAGATGATCCATTAGATCCAGAAATTGCAAAAATTTATAAATACAATAAACAATTCTTTATACAAAATGTATAAGAATGGATCAAAAAGTATGCAATTTGACATTTCTATTTATAAAGAGAAAACAATTTAAATATCATGTCATCAGTATTTTCTAAAATATAAATATTATATATATTTTATTTTTCTTAGATTTAATTTTAGTGTCTATTGTGAGAAGGTTCAATCTGTATCCTATTTTTATTTAAGAATTTCTATAACTAGTAGTTTTCACAAATCTATTCACTTATACAATCAGATCTAAGGAAACATATCTGAATACATCAGCATAAATAGGATATTTCAAATTA